GGCTCAGCAGAGCAGAAAGGAGTTTCTCCCTGGAAGGCAAGGGGGGAGGACTGGCTGGCTGCCTGAAGAAGTGCCATAGATAGAGCAGTGCTGGGCAGGGGCAGCAGAGTGTGATGGTGAGCCGCTGGCTGACCACTGCCAGGCTGGGGCCTAGCAATAAGGGCTGAGAGGGTGCTAGGGCTACGGGGGAAGTGGCCCAGGGAAAATAGGCAGCAGGTTGGAGGAGGGCAGTAGATGGCTGCTGACTATAGGGTCCCTGGGTCGGGACCCAGAGTAGCGGGCGGGCCTGGTTCACTTGCCAATGAGAAGAGCGTCCGGTATCCAGATTGCAGTTTGCCCCTGAGGCAAGGGGCTGGACCTTGGTCTGCAGTTGGACACTGAGGCATGTGGTGGGACTAAGGACTGCTGGTCCCCCGGAAGTGGGGAGATACAGCCGGAGGATTGTGCCCAAAAGAGGACGCTATGGTACAGGGAGCAACGTGGGTCCAAAGAGTGGAGACAGCAGTGACTGCAGGCATGATCCCGCTAGCTGAAGGCAGACCATGGAGAGCTAATACCCAGGAGGGCCAGCAGGAGGTGCCACGGTTGTGAGTCCCACCCTGTTACAGGATGACAAAAGCCTTGTAGGCATTAACCCCTTGGCAAGCCTCAAGCATTTATAACCAAAGCATAGTTCTACTCCTGTGAATCTCCTGGATGTCTCCCTTTTCTCACCAGTCAGATGCTAAGACAATTTTAAGAAAAGAAGTAAGTTCTCTACATTGAAAGTTTTAGGCTGAGAATACATATTAGCAAGTTTTAAAGGTAAAAATGGTTTGTATGGTCCCTGATGAGATGAAACTGTTGTGGATGAAGAAGAGAGTCCTGTCTTTCTCCGGTCACTACTCTGGGTGCAGAGTTAAGATAGTTTGGGTACCTAAGAATAAATTGGTATACCTTCAAACACTGGTTTATTGTAAATTTAACCTTAACTTTAATTTTCTGGCTTTCCAGTGGTGTGTTTTTTCTTATAAGGATTTTTATTCCTAAATTACTGATATGCCCTCAACCTTCATTAAGCTATTTATCTGGGAATAAAATTGTGTTATATAGTAGCACCTGTTTCTTTTCTTTCAAAGAAAAGGCCAGCCAATGTTATCGCTGCACTGAGAGTTTTAATAAATACGTATAGCCAGCCATCTTTAAAAACCCTAAATATATTGCTACTGGGAAGATAAGAATTTACCACTTAAAAATCCATTTCATTATGGGCTATGACCCACTCGTTTAGAGGGGGTAGGAAGAAAAGAATGTCGGAGGAGTGGGAAACATTTAGAACAATGTGTGAAGAGTGTGAGTTTATATAGTACCAGTACATAACAAGTGAATTTAATTGAAATAAAACAAAAATATGAACTAAAATAACCCTAAACCTCTTTATTTTATTTATTTAACTGCATGTTGCCACTTCTTCAAGGAGAAAAGAGTAGCTGAAATTTTATAGCTCTCTAGAGAGGTAGGAGGGAGCAAACAGAAACTGAGGCACAAGTTCCCCTACTAATTTAGCTATCTGGAGAGCCTGAGGGAAAAGTTAAAATCAGAATGAGAGATAAAATTTCTGTGAATAGTGAAAGGGAAAACTTAAAATAGTTTAGACACTCTTATTTATATAGACACATTCTCCTTAAAATAGTGTCTAAACTTGTTGAATTAAAACTACAAATCTGCAAATATTTGTCTGTGATGGAGCTTGAAATTAACAGTTTTGTTTTTTTGTTTGTTTTACTTAATAGTTTGTGGCTCAGAACCACTGTTGTTGATTACAACTCAGGGGATAAGGGAAGATGATTTGTTAGCTGAAAAGAACCAGAGCTAGAAGATAAGAACACTGTTTAATGTGTAAATTCACCATACAAATACTGGCTATTTTAGCTTTAATTCCATTGAGACAAGGTACAGAATGAAAAGATGGAGCACCCATTCCAGGGGGTGTAGAACTAAGCAGGCCTGACTTTCACATTTTAGGATAAAGGAAACAGTTTTATTACCTGTGTAGGTAACTGTATACACATTAGACCTCCTAGAAGGAATGACCTTTTATAAAGAAATTTCTCAGTCTTTGAAAGAAGTGTTATGGTGTTTCTGTTTGAAGCAGAATGAAACCAAGGACTTCTGGGCTGAGTCTGAGAGAGATAAGCAAATTGAGTGTATTTGTTTGTTTGGCTTGCTGTTTATTTTAAACTGTTTTTTTTATTTATTTTTATTATGGAGTTGTGCTAGTGACCCTATGGACTATATAACCAACTGTTGAAATAGGTAATGAAAATAAGAATTGTAAATCAATTCTCAAGAAAACAGACTTTTTTGGAGCTTGGGGGAAAGAGAGGGAAATGGTCACTCTCATTACCACTACAAAAGTTATTTTTCCTCCCTTGGTATCCTACTGTTAATTGAATTGTCTCATTAGACTGACCTCACACTTAGGCACCTCCCACCTTTTCATGTATTTATACCTGCTCCTGTATTTTCCACTCCATGCATCTGATGAAGTGGGTTCTAGCCCACGAAAGCTTATGCCCAGATAAATTTGTTAGTCTCTAAGGTGCCACAAAGACTCCTTGTTGTTTCTCCTCTTAAGAATATTTTTGAGGTGGTGGAAAGGGACTGTAGGGGAAATATTGGTTGGACTTTACTCATGGTTAAGGCTAGGCCTTAATGGATTGGCCCTGAGGCCATTAAAAATAGAAATGTAGGGCTGGAAGGGAAATTTGAGAGGTTATCTAGTCCAGCCCCCTGCCCTGAGGCAGGACTAAGTATACCTAGACCAGCGTTTTCTCCAGTGCAGCCACCATGGTCACGGGTGGCCAGCAGGGGAATTTTCTGTGCCCACAATAGCTGCCTGGGCAGAGATGGAGGGTAGGGTTGACATCCCTCTAGGATTGTCCTAGAGTCTTCAGGAATTAAAGATTAATATTTAATTAAATATTATGTCATGAGATGAAACCTCCAGGAATACATCCAGCCAGAATTGGCAACCCTAGTGGAGGGAGGCAAAGCAGTGGTCCGTCCCTGCAGCACCCAGCTGTTGCTCCTGGCTGCCTTGGTGTTTGCTGGCACCGCCAGCAGGGGATCAGCACACTGCACCACGCAACCTCCCAGAGGCTCCAGGCAGCGCCTCTGCAGACACATGGGGGTCCAGTGTGCGCGCCCATCAAGCTTTGGGCTTCAGGGCCTGGGCTCTGGCTCTGGGCTTTAGCCTGGGGCGATGGAGCTTGGGCTTGGAAAAATTGTCAGAGCGGCCACCAGCAAGGGTTGCTGGCCACACTCTGAGGTCACCAAAAAATTGTTCTGAGAACCCCTGAATCTAGGCCATCCCTGACATGTATTTTTTCTAATCTGTTCTTAAAAATCTCCAATGATGGGATTCAGTTACCTCCATTGGAAACCTTTTCCAGTGCTTAATTACCCTTACAGTTAGAAAGTATTTTCCTAATATCTAATTAAATCAAAGTAAACAATCAATTTGTAAGCATCTTGGGATGTGAATTGGGACAGAATGTATTTATTTATTTAGGCCTTGCTTGTGTGCAGGAGTTGCACCAGTTTGTCTTAAACTTTTTTTTTAAACCTGTTCCTGTCCTTTCCATGATTTGATCCATGGAGCCCTCGAGATGAAGTGCATCAAAGGAGAGACTGATGTTTAGAGCCCTGCATGGATACAAAATTTGTATTCGCATCCGATCTGCAAAAATGATCCATGGCTATCCACAGCCGTGGATACGGATACCTGTGGATATAAAGCAGATATCTGTGGATTTCCAGGGCTCTTCTGATGTTGGTTAAGACATTAAGAGCTGTCATGTTTTCTCTCCCACATTCTTCCAGAGGATACATTGATTTACTTTAAAAACTTAAGCTCTGATTGCAGAGCAGATGAGTAGGTAACAAATTCTATTTGTGTGCTTTAATAGTATACTTAAAATGTTCCTATGAAACAAATCCTGAATCAGAAATTGATGACTTCATGCTGAAATTGAAATTGATGACTTCATGCTGAGTTAGTGTACTTGCATTATAAGAGCGTGACTGTGATGTCTATACACTTAAGATTGCTGATGTGATTCTACCTCCTTAGTGAATTATTTTCTTTATCTGGGGCTCCTCTGTGTTGTGAAACGTGTACTGCAAGTTATTTGAATGTAGAAAGTCAATTCCTGAACCAAATTGGCTTTGGGGAGGAGGCAGGATGAGATTTTGCATTTATAGGTATATAAATAAAGTTACTGTTCATAAAAGCAAATGGACTGGCTACCTTGGGTTAAGCAGCAAGATGTATTGCTGACAGGCAGGCACTGCACAAGCTTTGTCTTTTGAATATTCACCCCAAACTCTACCAATGCACTTCAGTACTAAATTTCAACACCTTTTCTGGTTCAACCAAAGATCTCTTAAGTCAAGGAGGCTAATTATGCCAAATTATATGATGGCTTTTTGTTTTGTTCGCAAACAGGGAAACTAGGATGATGGAACAAAATTCACCTTTGTGATAGCAGCGTGCCAAAATGACACGTTGCTTTTGTGGAATTTCACAAAAGTGACTTCATTATTTTATTCGGACCATTTTGTGACCCAGAAATCTTAATGTCTTGTGAAACTTTCACAAGATGGCTAGTTTTACATCAAAATATGAAAAAATGGAGTCCCATCATGTTTTGATGGGAAAATGTGATCTTTGACTAAAATTTTGCTTTTTTTTTTTTTTTTAAGTTTGTGGGTGTGGAGAATGTTTGACAGTCAAGGAATTTACTTGGAGCGTTTGATTGTGTCAAAACCTCCAATTTTCGAGAAAGGTAGTGGCTGTAAATGCTTTAAACTACAGTCAGGATTTGAACTTTGGTCTCCAGAAACGAAAGTCTAGTGTCCTTGTCTCCTGCATTTCTGAACTTCGTAATTTTTCTAACTGATCAAGGTAGAAAGTTCCTTGAATGAAAAATTGATTTATTTTATTTATTCCCCGCTAGGTGGTTTCTTGTAATGTAGTGGGAGACTCCATTCAATTTATTGTTCATGTGTCACATACTTCACCTACTACCACAGAATGTCAGTCGTACAGTGTGAAACTGTCTCCACTTCACTTACAGGTAACATTTTTTTTAATGATATCCCTTGCTAAATATTATATTCAGATTCAAAAAGACTAATTGGACCAATTTTTTTACATATACTGCAGTCAAACTGAAAGATTGTTTTAACTTTTGAACCTCATAGTTACAAAATGCTTAAATATTTGTTAGCGCAGTCCACAAAAGTTGTTGTTGTTGTTTTTAAGGTACTTTTGTCCCAATTCTTTGTATAATTAAAACTAAATATTTGTGAAGACAATTCAAATAAATAATATTGCATTTATAATTGTGGACCATGAAAATAATTTTTTTTAAATGAGTCTGACTTTTATCAGTGCCCTAGGCCAGTGATTCTCAACCAGGGGTCTGGCCACAAGCAGGTTTCAGGGCCAGCATTAGTTTCACTGGGGCCCAAGGCAGAAAGCCAAAGCCATACCACATGGGGCTGAAGCCAAAGCCTGCGCAACGTAGTTTCGCAGAGGCATCTGTGTCATGGGGCCCCAGGCAATTGCCATGCTTGGTACCCCTTAATGCCAGCCCTGTCTTTTATATGTAGAAAACCAGTTGTTGTGGCACAGGTGGGCCATGGAGGTTTTTATCATATGTTGGGCAGCAGGGGCTCGGGGGGTGGGGTGGGGGGGAATGGAGACCCCCTCGCCTAGGCTATACTCACAGGATACGCTAAAAGGTGAAATAATTTCTTATGTTCTTCTTAGACCACCTATCATCTGAGATTTATGAAATTAAATGCTGGTATCACTCTGACTTCAGTGATACTGCACTTGTTTACAGCAGTGATGAGCTTCGTCCCGTGCTTCTCTTAAAAGATATTCACAAGTCTGCAGGTGACAAAAACTAACCTCTGTCATTTCAACAGCTGGAACTCTATCTGAAAGAGAAAGGAGAAGACATTGAAGTTGTGTGGTCCTTCCTTAATGCTCCCGAAACTAATATTAAAATCCAGCCAACAGCAGTGCAGGAGGTCAGTCAGTAAGTTTTTTATTTTTATTTGTTTGTCTGTCTTAACCAGTCCTCTAAAACAAAACTAAAGGACATATTTTGACTCCCCTCTTAAGCACAGTAGCATCCCACATGGATACTAAAATGTTAAATCTAGGTTAAGGTAGAGTTGACCAGTTTTGTGAGAGAGATCTTTTGTTGGGTCATTGGTTTAATCCAAATCTTAAAGGATGAAAAAAATTCCTGCTTCTTAAATTATTTCTCAAAGCATTTTTGGACATCTGTAATAAGTGTCCCAGTCCAAAATAATTTTTTAAGTCACTGTTTGGATCACTTGCATTAGTATTAGAAGAGGACGACCTTTAGTCATTTGTCAAGTTGACTCTGAAATGTTTGGCGGTGGCAGGGTAGGGACTAAGCATCTTAAGGGTTTCCATAGTGCTAAGCACTTGACTTGTGCTTTCTGGTTTGCATATGTTATCTTTCAAGTTACAAATGAATTTTCTCATTATTTGGGACCTTCCTCTCTTCACTCCGCTTTGTATTTATCAGATTAGAGAAATTGTACCTTAACAATGAGAAATGGTTCTCTTTTGTGTCCTGCACTCTAAAGTGTGTAGTGTTTTTTCCCCGTTTTAAAAAGTTGACTTCAGTGCATGTTAGAGCTTCTACTGATGAGTTGTATCGACTGAATGATGACCTGAGGGCAGGGGGAGCGGGGGCTATTTAATTTTATTATCATGGATATACAACTAAACGTATTAAAAACTGATGTATAACAAATCATTCTTCAGAACACTTTAAAAAACCCAACAGATTTATTTTGCATGTGTGGCAGCCTAAATGACCTTAATCACTGGGAATGTCGACTAATATCCATGTATTAAACAGTCACTAAGTACTTATTGACAGGTCATAATGTCTCTGAAACAGTGTGCCTGTTGCATTAAAAACTCTGCTTTTTGAAAAGTGCTTGACTGTGGATTTACAAGTGTAGTTATATTGCATTGGGTGTTGTACAGGCTCTTAAAAAGAAAAGAGCCTGTAAGATCTAAGTAACTAAAGGCTTCATTCTCTTTTTAACGTTAATGGGACCTGAGTATGCATCTTACAGTTCTAGAGCTGAAAACCCCTAAAATACTGACATTTGTAAATGAACTACAATTTGGAAATTGTTTCTGCTCCTTCATTTAAATTACATTTTCCCCTGTTCCTTATTTTTTTTAAGTAAATACTTTTACATGCAAAAATAATAATAATCATCACTTAAAGAACTTATCTTCACAGTGCTGCACACACACGTCAGTTAAACTGGATGAAATAAAAAGATTCCAGTTTACACTGACAAAAGCTGGATCACTCTGAATCACACTTGGCATGCTGTACTTGGCTGACTCTTAGTGTTGCGGCTGATATGGCCTTGCATAGAAACTGCACTACCCAGTCACAAAAATAATATTTTACAGTTGGGAACGACCGTTCTAGCATATTCTAAAAATGACGTGTTAAAGGTTCTTCAAGTAACTTATTCAGATGTAGTCTTAATGTTTTTTGTTTTTGTTTTTTTAATGTGTCCTGTGTTGAATTCCAAAAAGAGGGTTGAATGTAAACGTTTACAATTGAAGATGGGGCACAGATAATGGAGTTCAAGTTTTTTCAAACATTATATTCTACTTGAAGCCAACAAGGAAGTGGAATATAACTTTGAAAAAACTTTTATATAAACCTAATTCACCCACCATCCCAAATGTCCATGACATTGGGTATCCGTCTTTCCAAGCCTTTACATTTGGAACTAAATTTGGGTGAGTGGAGGCTTTTTGTTTTAAGTGAACTGCTTCACACATGGACATGAAAGCATCAGGCTAAATGTCAATGAGTATCAGGCCAATTATAACAATTGGCATAACTTAGTTCATAGCAAACTTAGAGCTGGTTGAAAATTTGAAAAATTCCAACCAACATTTTCCATCAGACTAAATTTTCATTGATAGTGGGCAGTGAGCAGGGGTGGGGGGAACACCCAAAAAGAGGGGGTGTGTGTTTTTGGGGGGGGGGAGAATGGAGGTGGTTCAAGCAGGTATAACACAGGTTTGTTATCTATGCACTTACCAAATTGATAAGGTGACACTGCCAAAGTGGGCACTGGAAGTTTAATTGTAGCAGTCTTTTGGGGTATTTTTTAAAATATTGGATCACAACAACATGCAACTTATGGAAATATGGCCCCTTAAATAGGTTACAATAGAGAAGCTGCAGTACAACATGAGAAAAATAAGGTTGAAGGGTGGAGCGTGCTTTATATGAACAATATCTATACATCTTCGAAAAGAACAAAGGAGGACTTGTGGCACCTTAGAGGCTAACAAATTTATTTGAGCATAAGCTTTCGTGAGCTACAGCTCACTTCATCGGATGCATCTAAATTTGTTAGTCTCTAAGGTGCCACAAGTCCTCCTTTTCTTTTTGCGGATACAGACTAACACGGCTGCTACTCTGAAACCTGTACATCTTCAGAGTGTGGCATCATAAAGCGGGTAGTGAAACAAGATTTATATACATTGCAGATTGGGATTGTTCAAACACACCTAATACTACCCCTCCACAAGTTAGTCCCTTCTTGACCACTGACTTTAAATTTATTAGGCCTGTGGTGAAGATTTGGTTGTCACTTGCTCCAGCGCAGGAATATCGCATTAACTTGTGCTAGTTCTAAAACACAGTGTAGGTTTGCAAAATGAAGTGGTCAGTCCTGTGATATGCTGAGCATTCTTGGCTCTCATCAAAGTTGTTGAGAGCTGATGGAGCTCAATCAGAATGTTTCAGGAGACGCTCATCATCTGCCAGGATTAGGCCTTTCATCCCCATTGTGATGATCATCTTGAGTTGTGCTAGTGAGTTGTTGGGATATTTCTGCCAGGAATGCAGCTAAATAACTTGGCTTCTGCAACAGGACCTGGTTAATATCCATTTTTTGGTCTCTATCTTGTTGCCAGAGAATGTGAGTCCTCCGATTGCGTACAAAATGGCTGTGCATTCCCACCTGACCACAGCACACATCAAGATACTCTTTCCATCTTACTGTAAGAATCAGGAGACATGAATGTTTCATATAAGACTCCGTAAATTGGCTCCATTCCTTTAAAAGTTATGGTCTGTAACAGTATAATCTTTCTAAATGAGATGTCAGTTTGAGACACTCCTCTATATATTTTCATCTGTAGGTATTCTCTGTCATGTAGGTCTATGCAGTGTCTCCATCTCTGTACATTAAAAATTGAACCTCTTCTAGATTCTCCCTGGACCACTTCCAGTGCTCTTGAATTTCCTAATTGCTGTCTATGTGCAATAATTTAATTAAATATCCTCTCAATTCCAACTGTTGAAGAAAACTGAAGCATAGAATAGCATGCTGCCACTGATTGATTATAGCTAAAAGTAAACCTCCTTTATCAGATCACTGGCAAGCAAACAGTTACTGCACTGATGCGCTTTATAAGTAACTTTAAAGCTACCATGTATAAGCAAAATTTTGCAATGCATTTTGATGCCTGTAATATAAAAGACAGAGCATAAATGAATGCTGCAATGAACTATAAATATCTGGAAAGCATTTCTTGGATGGCAAGAGGGGATGGGAATGATAGCTTAAGTTTCCTGACTGGAGCTACATGAACATTCATACAGAACTATTTTAGGCATGGTTGAGGTTTGGGCTTAAGGAATACCATAATGATCATTGTGTGCTGAATGGAAGTTACCAAATTTCAGCTAGTTGAAGTCAGCATATTCCATAGAAGTCAAAGGTGCTAGACTGATGATCTGACCTGCTGTCTCTATGTACTGAATTGCTATCCTGGTGTTGCCGAGGTGGTAAAAGAGCTTTAACAGCATAACAAATATGTATGAAATCATGACACAGGTTCTTTTTGAGGTGAGTAATGACTCTACTCTTTCCATTTCTCTTTCAGAACCGCATGATATTATAATGCGTATATTGTGAATGTGGGTTTTTTGTTTTTAATAACTAAGATCAAGTGACTATTTGTCTGACATTTCCGTATGTCTGGCTATTGGCGCTAGACCTGCTGTCATTCTTACATTTGCTTTATGACATAGTGGTAGACTGTACAGTCAGCTGTCCAGTGAATTTCTGCATTAATGTTTATTCTCCTGATTAATTAGAAGCATGATTCTTTTTTTCTCTCCTACTAGGGCCAGATGGCTGAGACATGTGCAATATCTGAGCCGTTCAGAGATGTTTTCCAGAATCTAATTAGTTTAGTTTCACCATCTGTAATCTTGAGTACAAAACCTACAGATGTAATAAAGGAGGTACAGGTAAGTCTTGAATGCATTTAAATCATTTTTTCAACCTGCTTTCTGTTAATATTAATATGTCTGGTTAGAGGACACTCATGATCCCGTGAATGAAGTGCAAGGCTAATAATGTGCTATTTGATCAGAAACCATAGGGAAACACTTTAAAATACATAGCCTCGGGTACAGGAGGATTTGACCTTAGAATTCCTAGGTGACTACTTTGTTGCTAATGCTGCCCTGTAATTTTGAATATCAAATGACTTTTACCATGTTGATCTGTGTGAGCATACAATGTATTCCATATTTTATATAGATGATTCCTTATGTCTTGTTTCCTTTTCACAGAATATACAAAACATAAGAACTCTCCCCCAGGGCACCAGCCCTCCGAAACCTCCCAGGGTTCATGAGCTAAAACTGCTAGTGAAGAACATTGTAGCCACACTGACTGATCACAGTGCTGCAGGTAAAACAAAAGCTAAAGCCGACAGATATTCTGCTTCAAAGCTGTAAGGAGGGTGACTCTAAACCTGTAGTGGTCATACTTTCAGACACAACAAAATACAATGAATGGATCAGATAACTCCTCCTTCTGATCTGCTGCCTCTGTGGCGCTGGTGGGCCTTCTTCCTCTCTGTCCTCTCCACTTCCAAGAACCTGTAGGTGGGGTGGAATAACTGATTTATTTTAATTTGAATAATTAAAAGACTCATGCACAAAGCTAGGTGTCCTGGCATGTAATACTGTAACAAAACAAAACCCCAGAAGCACTACTTAATTATTCCAAAAAGTAATCCTGCCAAGCTCCTTTCCATCCTGCCATTATTGTTGGAAGCGGACCCTCAGCCCTCCCCCAAAACCCCATGGAGCAGATTCCTTTGCAGCTTGCCCAGGTCACCAGTTTTGGGCTATTTCAAACCAAGAGGGGTTATGCACTGTGCACATCATGACACTCTCGTTCTACGCCCCCAGAAAACTACGGTCAATAAACTGGTTTGTAGCACTGCTAGGTACCATGAAGCACCTTGCAATTAAGGGGGGCGAGGCGTTCTAAGGCAGCAGAAGATGAAGTCATTGATAAGATGGCTATAATGGAGTTGCACTGCCAAGGAGCAGAGGGCTCTGCTGCCAGTGTGAAGGCATAGGATTTCTCTAGAGATGGCCCTGTCCTTTGGCAAGAGATGCACAGTCCTCAGGGTGGTGTGGGAAGAGGCAGACATAGAATACAGTACACTGGTTGTGTTCAGTTCTGTGTGTATGTGAGGTGGGGGTGATCATTCTGTTAGGGGCGTTGAGGGAACTCTAAAGGAAACCTCCTTAGAGTCCTTTTTCCTCAGTCAGGGCCCCTCACCTGCAAGTCTGTTGGTGGGAAGGGGTTGGATATGGCCCAATATGAATTGTTATGTCCAGAGATTTCCAAGAAAGTATGGTCTGAAACGTCACATTTGGGGGAGAGGAGAGGCAACAAAAGGAAGTAAAACTCCTTGAAATACCCTTGTTGTACTGTCACTTCTTAATACAACTTTCCACTTTAAATCATTTGGAAGCTCTGCTTAACAACGGATGACTCAACATAAGCCCTCTGAACATAGGTGTTCTAATCCAACTCACGGTATTTTCTATCTGGTTGAATATTACTTGGTATGACACTGGTTTAGCTGTGCTCTGAGTAATTTGTTAACACTAGAACCTTCCATGAGACGTTTATTGAGGGCAGGGATACTTTATTGAAGAAAGATCTACTTTTTTCCAAAAAAACAGTCATTGGGGCACATGGAGCGTGAAGCCAAGCAGGAGGTCACTGCCCACTAAAGCAAGTTGTGCTGCTTATGTTTGGGGCGTAGGCTTTCGACCTGTCTTTCAAGCGTCTAAGCTTCTTCATGATCAAGCCCGCCTGCTTCATTGCTCCAGGCCTAGAACACCAACTAAACTTTTCAGAAGTGGGGGAGGTTTAGGTTGGATATTAGGAAAAACTTTTTCACTAGGAGGGTGGTGAAGCACTGGAATGGATTACCTAGGGAGGTGGTGGAATCTCCTTCCTTAGAGGTTTTTAAGGTCAGGCTTGACAAAGCCCTGGCTGGGATGATTTAGTGGGGGATTGGTCCTGCTTTGAGCAGGGGGTTGGACTAGACGACCTCCTGAGGTCCCTTCCAACCCTGATATGCTATGATTCTAAGTGTCTGATCAGTGACCTTTGGGTGCCTCAATTTTATGTGTGCCCAACTTGAGGCCTTTCAAAAGGGTGTTTGGTTTTTTTAATGTAGATTTTCCTCCCCTCCTCCCCCCAGTATGGGTGATAGGAACTTTCTGAAAATCTTTTAACATGCCTCAGTCTGAGCATCCAGAATTGCTAGTTACTTAACAAACAAACAGATGCCCCTTTTGAAGTGCTTCAGGTTGGGTGCAGTCTTGGTCTCTATGACTTTTGTAGTGTAAATAGGCCAGAATTCAACAGTCATTAAACCCTGTGCTTGGGTTTGGCTCGCTGCTGTGACTGGGGTGATTCCTTAGTACTGCCAGGCTTAGGGATTTTTTTTTTCTTAAGCGACAGTTATTGGATCATAGTTTGTTTTCGCCATTTGTGGGCAGGTCTAAGCTGAGTCTAACCGTGTTGTTGGAGCCCTCTGTAGCATGATTGATTAACCAGCATAGCTGGTTTCTTTGCCTATGTTTCTACATAGGCTAAAACATGAATTTTTAACCTGTCCATAATAGGGTTTTGCCACATTAATATGCCTGTATGAGTTTGTATAGTGAGTTCTAGCTGGTAAATAACCAATGTTTACAATTACTTTGCTAGTAGGCTCTATATGTGTTTTTATGTAGGTCTTTTGTGTGTATGGGGTTCAGGTAACACACATCTTAGATTGATCTAATATAGCAAATTTTGTGTGTGTGTAATTTTTTTTATATATATATATATATATAACTTTGTCTATTTCTGTGCACAAACCTCAGTGCAGATTTGTATATGTTCTTGCCTGTTGTCCTTCTCCAGAGCCCCAAATATGAAAAATAGTGACTTCTGACATTGTAAAATTTACTCTCTTTTTTTTAATGTGGTTTTTAGAAGCTATAAATAATACCAACTGTTCCTACTTGGAATAATAGTAAAATTATTCACTTTTTTTACCTTCAACTTGTTAGTACACATGTCTGCATTAGTAGAGCAATGCTCTTGAATGGCATGATCTCTGTAAAAATAGCAGTCTGTAAATCCATTGTTCATTAACAATATAGCGGTCAATATCTGTTACCACAAGAAATAGTAGTTCCTCAAGAAACAGCTAGATAAACAATCACTAAGGACTTCAAATATTTATCCAATTTTTGTTTTAAGTGACTTGAAACCATGTAGCTGTTCCCATAACTTCTCTTGATAACTACATTTCCTATCGTTATTACCCTCCTCCTCTCTCTAGCTCTTGTGATTTTGTTACACTGACACTCATAGCTCTTGGTCTTTAATTTAAAGACCAAGGTCTTTGGGCCCTGGATTGTTTTTCAGTATGTTTATACAGCACATAGGGCAACGATGCCCCAGTCTTGACCGGATACTAATGTAGTACAAACAAAAAGGGGTAGGAGGAAGGAATAATGCTAGCGTGTGGGGTGGCTTTTTTTTTTTTTTCCCCTCAGTGGCCTAAGCAAAAAGGTGTCTCCTATTTCTCTTGAGAAAATACACTTATTGATGATTTGAAGTCAACAGTTGGATATTTGTTCCTTTCCTTTCCCAATACAGGCAGCATAAATCCAGTGTGTATAACTCAGTTGAATGATCCTCTGCAGAAATTTTCCAGCTCTGTAGCCAAAAATGGCACTAACCTCTCTTGGAAAGAGGATTTCATCTTGTAAGTAACCACCCACATAACATTTTCTATTAAATGTTTTTACAGTCTCAATTTATATAAGATGTTGGAAGAGGAACTGTGTTTTGAACGTATCCTATTGTGATTTGACACTGGCAGGGCATAACTGTGGTTTTTAAAGCAATTTTCTGGTACTGAGTTATAGCAAGTGTTAACATGGATTTCAGTCGTTTTTACTTTTAATTGAGGATTGCTGGGCCTGGGATTGGGGAAGTATATATGTGTAGTTTCTCACAGAAATGGATGGCGGCATGTAATTAAGGGCATGCCTACACCACAATCTTAAGTCGACCTATGTTAGGTCAGCTTACAGCAATCACAGTAATTACTGTGGTGGCTGATGTCCACCCTACCCTCCTATTGTCAGTGGTTTGCGTCCTCGCTATGAGTGCTTCCGCCTACTGAAGAGGGGTAGTGTGGGCGTTCTGAGAGCCAGGGCTCGCAGCTCCACGCAGCTCCCTGCTGGGAGCTCAGCTGCTCCCTGCTCCCACCTGGGAGTGAGGGGATGCCACATGGGGCTTCTCACCTCTGGAAAGGAGACCCATGCCCTGAGTCCGGTCAGTTGCCGTGCTCCCAGTGGGGATCCTGGGCAGCAGCCTAAGCCAGGCACCTGGGTGACAGCCCAGCTTGGAGCAGAGACCTGGCAGCAGGACTGGGGAGCTGGCTTTCCTGTCAATTCACAGTTCCAGCTGAGCTGTGAAATTGACAAGACAGCCGACGTAAGGCACATGGTGTCTACACAGACACTGTGTCGCCCTAACTACGCTGACATAATTCCACCTCCAAGGTGTAGGACAGGGGTAGGCAACCTATGGTACGCGTGCCAAAGGCGGCACCCGAGCTGATTTTTCAGTGGCACTCATACTGTCCGGGTCCTGGCCACCGGTCTGGGGCCTCTGCATTTTAATTTAATTTTAAATGAAGCTTCTTAAACGTTTTAGAAACCTTCTTTACTTTACATACAACAATAGTTTAATTATATATTATAGACATAGAAAGAGACCTTCTAAAAACGTTGAAATGTATTACTGGCACGCGTAGCCTTAAATGAGAGTGAATAAATGAAGACTCGGCACACCACTTCCGAAAGGCTGCCGACCCCTGGTGTAGGACTTATTATACTGGTGTAGTAGAGCACGTGCATCAGCGGGAGCAAGACTGTAATGGAAACACTGACATAAGCTGCCTTATGTCAGCCGAACTATGTAGTGCAGACCAAGGCTTAGCCTTTAAAAGGGCATCTGGTATAGTTATATTGTAAGTGCAGGTCACAGACTGATGTGCTGTGGAGTGGGAATGGAAAAAGAGAATACAGACAGTTTGGATAAAGCTGCTATCTGACAGTACCCTGACACAGCAGCTGCTTAGGTGATCACTATCCGCTTCAGTGCTTAGGAGGAAGCCACTGATGGGGCCAGAGGCTTCTTACTTTACTGGCTAAAAGGAAGGGAGGAGGCAGAAGCAGGTTGTCCTAATAAGTGAGGAAAAGAGGTGCTGCTGTGTGTACTGTGCTGTAGGCCACAGACTAGACACTCTGCCAGGACGATGTGATTCTTTGCCACCCCATTGCTGGAATGAGCATGATGCAACTCATTTGCATTAGTAATAGAAATAAACCAGCTGGATTGAGATATTTCAAGATGAAAGATGCTAAGTGCTTTACCAACTTCATATACTGTATTTGCAGATGGCTTCAGCCATCTGTTAGTGGAACAGAATATCTGTTCCACGCTGCACAGCAGCCGCTACCCTATGTTTTAGGATAGGAAGTGGAAAGAGTATTCTTCTACAGCTGAAAGTGCAGGGGGAGTTCAGGTGAGTGGGATGACTATTTTAACTGAAATTTGGCCATTACACCACAGTTATGGTATGCTTTCCATGGTGATGGGTGCTCTAGATGTGCCTAAGGTAGATAAGTTTGCAAAGTCCTATGAGATCTTTAACAATAAGTAGTCAGGATTTGGTCTATGTCTGCACTGCACACCTTACAGCGGCTCAGTTGTGCCCTACAGCAGTGCCACTGTAAGGTACGCAGTGTAGCCGCTCTTCGTCAGCAGGAGGGAGCTCTCCCGCCGACAAAATAAAACCACCCCCTGCAAGGTGGTTTATTTTCACACCCCTGACCGACAAAAGTTTTACCGACTAAAGTGCTAGTGTAGACCTAGCCTTGGTTGTACATCTTCCCTCACCTCCAAAAGAAAACACTTTCAGGACCACTGTCCCTAGCAGCAGGCTGGGGCATTGGCTCAATAGGAAGAGTACCACCTACTGAATTGTCAACACCGCTGCCCTTCCTGCTGCGCCCTGTGTCTTCCTTGGAAGTCTCCTGCGGCTCAACGCTGAGAAAGTTCCCACCTGAATAGAAGCATAGTGTTAAAACATGTTTCCAATATTAAAGTTCTCCATTGAACTCTTATACCTATTGCAGAAGGAATAGTATAAAGTTTAGAGGAAATGGCACAATATCCATATGCTTTAACAGCCTAGTTGATAGATTTGGATGTGGTGTTTTTGTTTGTCTTTTTTTGTCTATTGCATCAAGCACCATAGGTTGTACCAAAGCAGTTGCGTCTAATGATTCGTGTTGGTCATGTCATGTAGCAAGTGGTTCTTTACTCTTATCCTCTTACAGTGTCCCTTCAATCTAACTTTGTGCCAAAATACTGTAACATGGATCCTTTTTAGAGAAAATACCAGGGGGAAGCACCAATGATTTTTAAATCGGGAAGTTTCACAGTCAGTGGTCAGATATCTATGCCAGAAAACTATTTATTTAATATTTACCTCCTTTATTAAAATCTTACATTGGCAGGATGCACCTCCACTTTTAATAGACCACTGGATCTATTCCATTTTCAGACTTATGAATTTGGGAATGTTGTCTCAGCTGTACGCAGAAGGAATTGTTTCTCAGTCTTCTGGTAGAGAACAGACATGGAAAACTTCATCCTGAAAGGCAAAGTTTATAACCAACTGAAAAAAGGCACTCTTATAATGGAAATGTTTCAGCAATCCTAAATCTAGTGAGGAAGCTAGATGGATCCAAGGTTAGGCTCCACCCCAGCATTCCCTTCCCTCAAGTTAATTGAGTTCAAGAGGTGGCACACGTTTTCTCTCCAGTATTTGAAAGGGAGGGTGCTGTAAATGCTGTCTAACACTTTCCACTGGCTGAACAATAAAACTGCATTGTGTGGTGCAATCTGCAAATACAAGGTGTGAGACATAATAAAAGCTTTGTGTAAAGAGTAATTTTAAAATGAAGAGGTGAGAAACATTCCCAGTATAATAACTGGAGAAGGAATGAAAACTCTTTGAAGGCTTGACATCATTTTATTTATTCCACAGTGAATTAAATGCCAAATCAAAAGAGTTACAACTGCAGATCTTGGAAGATGGGAAATTGGATAGTAAGTACTGCAACTGAATTCTTTTGCATGGTCCACTCATGGGCGTTACTGAGATCTTGAAACAAATCCTCTCTTGTTTACACAGTTGAATAAGATCATTTAAGAAGCTGTCAGAAGTTGGTAGTTAATGTAGACCTGTTCTGTTGACTAACCTTGGTAGCCAGATCAGGTACGCTTCAATAACTCCAGGAACAAAGAAGGCTGATAGTCGCTGGGGAAAGAAAGTCCTAGAAAGAGGAGCCAGGAGTTTTGCTGGCTTGGACCATTTTAAAAAAAAAAAATTAATTCTGAAATTCTTCCTGGGTTGCCTTTTTTTTTTTTTTAAATGTCTGTAAGCCCAGTTCTGCTTTAGGGCTTAGCTACTTAAATTAAAGATCAAAGGCTAACTCCAGTGGCAGTTTTAGATGACCTCCTGCTGCAAAGTGGGTATGGGTTTTTCACTGTTTTCTTCTGTCCCCAAACATTGACACGAGGGATGACATTGTGCAAATGCTTTTCCATATTCTTGGGTTTTGCTTTATTCTTTAACAAAGCCCTAAGGCAGGACTGAATGTACAAACCAGACTTGAGTCTGAGTGCTGTCTTGAGCTTGGCTGGTGTTTTTTATGGTTCCACCCTCTAATATTCTCTTGCCTTAGACTTCCCATGTTTAATGTTCCTGAATGGGCTTATGAGACCCACTTTCTGTTTGGCGGGTCAGCAGAACAGTGCTGCACTTCTACACAGAGTGCAAAAGTTTGACTGCTTACCATAGCCCAGAAACAAACTCTTCTGCCACTTGTGTATGGAACTGCTTAACAACTCTGAATAGTCTTGTGTTTATAAAACTTCAAATAAAACTTCTTGTACCAGAGAAAAGAAAAATACATCCATCGCTTCTGAGTGAATGAATAGAAAGAAATCCTGACTTCCTTTCTGCCCCAAACTGGCTGTTTCTAAGCACATAATCCCACTTATGTATAATCAAACTTTGACTATAGGGAATTGTAAACTACTATACCTGATTCTACCATCCCAGCTTAGAGTTCCTTATCCCTACTTACAAGAAAGGATGTTTCTGTTGCAGAGTAACTCTCTACTTGGTCAGGAGAAGAGCAGACTTTTTTTTTTCTGCCTCCTACCTATTAACTAAGCCCTTATCCAATATAACTTATGTATGCCATATTTAATAACTTAGAGTGCTATGTTAGTCACACAGAATGTGTTTTGAAATTCAAGGCTGGCAAAAAGGAATTACAAAACTATCATAAAACCATGCAAGGGTGAGTGAGTTTTGAATTTCATTACACTTCTGGTAATTGGGGCTGTTTTTAAAAGCTCTGTTGGGCCACAGATTTTTAAGTGGAAATAAGCCAGTTTTGGGGGAGAAATGGTTGTGTATCAGTAACTTTTTTTTTTTTTCTCAGCAAACAAATGTGAGGGGGAAAATAGCCATTGTGTCAAACATTTACAGAGATGTGGATGATGGAAATGAATGAAATGGCAAAAAAAATAAAAAAGTTTCACACCGCTCTAATGTAGAGCCATATTCTAATAACACCTCTCAGTAAGGGGGAAAAGTATGTATTATCACTTACCTACAAAAAATCTGTCCTGCCCGGGTGTCTTTAATAATGGTCTTTCAAGATGTCAACCACTACACATACCATACACCTTTAATGGCACATTTTTATTACTTTATTTGACTTGCTTAAGAGTCTAACAATAAATATAAAATAACAGACTTAAAATTTCTGAAAAAGTAATATTTAGTTGGATATGTGGTGGTGGTGGTTGTTAAATCTTAGTAAGAGGAATGTGGGAAATGCTGGCAGTCATCTAACTTAAATGTAGGTCCATCTATCGTAGAGTTTTATATTGCTGCCTTTTACCATGGCATCTGAGTGCCTTTCATGTAAAATAGATAACAACACTGACAAATAATGGCTCTCCCTTCTCACGGTGAACATTCTGCGTGGGCTGGGGCTTATTGGATAGAAGGGGTGTCAGTGTTGTGAGCGTCTTTTATAGTAGACTAATCTAAAAGGGCCTTTCTATGTCAGTTGAAGAAGCTAAGCTCTAGCACAATAGTAAGGAGAATCATAAATGCTTGTCGCTCTGAAATATGGAAATCCTGACTTCTTAATACTTAGTGGCGTGAAATCCTGACTCCATTGAAATCGGTGGCAAAACTCCCATTAACATGAAAGGGGATAAGATTTTGCGCATGGACCTGCATAACAAAGCTTTAGCATCGTGTTAATTTTGTTAACAATAGAATTCTTTAACATTAACTATAAGATATCAGAGAGAGAATCTAAACTTGCACTCTAAGACCCACAGAAGGAAGTACTCTTAGCTGGCTATGCCAATCCAAAATGAATCCAGGTAGCACCCTCTACGAAATACAAGACAAGGGCAATAGAGGAAAAAATGAAAGAATTCAGCTGGACTGTCTTTTGAACAGTTTAATCAGTGTTCAGAATCTCTAGAGGTTTGTTTATTTTTTTTTCCTCCACGTGTCCAGGATGCAGAGGAAAAGTTATTTTAAAAAAAGAAAAATAGCTGAACTATTTGTGATTAAGTATCTGCCTTCTTTTCTGTCAAGCAGTGTTATAACTATTATAAAAACCTAGCCTTCAAGAACTATAGATCCTTCAAAAATTTTCTCTGCAAATAATCCTGTCTCTTCATAAAGTAAATACCTTATTGTGCTGAAGAGATAATGTCTTGCAATGTTAGGTGCCTCAGCAGTTTGAAGTAGCAATGGCTTCTGCTTTGCGCCTTTTCAAAATAACTTCAAAGATATTAACAGCTCAGACAAGACCTTACTTTGTCACTTTCATTTATTTTAGGTTCTTTTTCAGCATGGGCAACTGTACCTTTAGACTTGTTCAGGAAACAGCCTTCTGGACAACAAAGCTTTGCACTGAAGAGCAGGTCCAACAGCCATAGCCCTGTGTTAGGATCGATCAATGCAGAGGTATCACATTCTTAGTTTATGGTTAAAAGAAAAGGAGTACTTGTGGCACCTTAGAGACTGCTCAATTTATTTGAGCATAAGCTTTTGTGAGCTACAGCTCACTTCATCGGATGCATACTGTGGAAAGTGTAGAAGATCTTTTTATATACACACAAAGCATGAAAAAATACCTCCTCCCACCCCACTCTCCTACTGGTAATAGCTTATCTAAAGTGATCACTCTCCTTACAATGTGTATGGTCAGATTGTCCATTTTAAGAATACAGGCCCAATACGCTGTTGCCTGCATGTTTTTTAACAATTTACAGAAGTGCCAACTGTGTGTTATGCTACGTAATCAAAATGGTAGTGTTGTGAACTCACTTTGTACTTGTGTAAGTGACTGCATAAGGTGCAGTCAAACAGTGAATCGTACCCTACCTACTTAAAGCAAAAGCTGTGACTGTTATGGGCAAAGCTTTAAGGAATAATTTGGGTCTTCTAAGGGCTTGTCTACATGAACACTTAGTTCGTGGCAAGCTGGGGTTTGTCTGCCCCACACTACCCTGGTGTATGCTTAAAGGTCTGTGGGTACCTTGCTAACATGCACTAACAACTCGTCAGTGTGCTTTGATCTAATCTGCTCTACAATTCCAGCTGCTGTTTCAAAGTGGTGTCTCTTTCCTTTCAAGGTGTAATTATTACTTTAATTACCAATTTTTCTCTTTCTAGTTCTCTTACGTGGAACCTAATGAGTCAAAATCCTGGCAAGTTCCTGCTCAGCTTCCTGCCACAAAAATAGAAAAGGAGTGCACTGTAATGCCTTGTGGGACTGTAGTCACTACTGTCACTGCTGTGAAAACCAAACCTCGACTCGAAGGGAAACCTTCTGCACTGAGCCCAGGTGAAGATATCAGTGAAACTTTAAAATGCAAATCCAAGATTGTTTGTTTTGTTTATTTGTTTGTGCTGGTTTTTAGTAGTATAGTTCCAATGGGGGACAGGGAAAGAAAAAAGAACATTGTGTAGATCTATTTAGGTGTGGGGGGGAGGGGTATTTTGGGTTTTTTGTTTTTGTTTTTAGTGTAGTCTTGGATAAAATATTTCTTTTGTGTGAAGCCAGATCCTGCCCCACTGAAGTCAATGAAAGTCTTGCCAATGACTTCAGTGGGAGCAGAATCAGCATCCTGGTAAGTAAAGTGAGAAATGATCATGATTTCCTTTGCTTGGTACTGTGAATGTTAGGTGTCTCTCTTTGGGGGGGGGTGTGTGTGTGTGTTGAGTATTCCCTTTGAAAACATGAATCTCTGAGTGGGGTAGAGTAGATAGTATGATGCTGCTATTAATATATAAATCCATTGTATTTGGAGCGTTTCTTGCACCCTGTCAAGGTGATCATCTCTCCATCTGCCCTTGCAAAAAGATGGCACGTGATCCTCTACAATCACGCAACAAGCTGCTAAAGTAGGCGCTCTTATGACATGTCAGATTTTCTGTATAGAAAAGTTGAAAAAAAAAAATAGACCAAGTGCAAAAGACACAGGACAGAATTACCAGAGCAGAAATTGAAATTGTGGGGGTACCTTGCTTTAACATCCATAATGCTTTCTTGAAGCTCAGTGTAATTACTTTTGTTGTTGATCGTGGGGGAAGGGAATAAAATGTGGAGTCACCCACTTTTTTCCACCCAGTTTATCCCTCCCACATCCTCATATGCATACGTACCCACAAGAGAGGATATAAGTTAAATGATAATACCTATATGAAAGGTTTCAGAGTAGCAGCCGTGTTAGTCTGTATTCGCAAAAAGAAAAGGAGGACTTGTGGCACCTTAAAGACTCACAAAAGCTTATGCTCAAATAAATTGGTTAGCTACAGCTCACTTCATAGCTTTAAAACTATTAACTTCTGACTTCTTTATTTCTTGATCTGTTTATCTCCTCTGCCCCCAACTCTTTAGTATGGATTGGTGTTGTTCTAAGCTACCATTCACACCTGAAGGGGATCCTCCTTATTAAACAGTTTGATTACGTGGTGACGCTTCCCAGGGGTAACCTGAGGTTGAGAGGCACCTCGCTACCCCCTGCCTTTAGCATGAAGAAGCCTTGTCTGTGCCTGGCTGGGGTCAGCTTCCTAACTCTGCTGGCCACGGGCAACATAAGCCGTCCCCTCTAGGCCTCACAGGCACCGCTGGTACTCTGCTGATCAGGGATTGGACTGTGCCTATCGCTAAACCCACTGAGCATCTCCCTGGAGCGGCCAGCCCCTGGTCCACTGGTTGCTTGCAGTATGCACAAATCCGTTTCTCCCAAAAAAGCAGTATATGCCATCTTACCACTTCCACCTCAGATCACCGCTCTGCCAAACACACAGCACTTAGGTTTATGCTGAGATCATATCTATCTAAGTTTATTTAACCAAGTATAGACATTCAGGTAGTAGCAAAGAGAAGTATTATAAACAAATGATTACATATAAAATAGAATCATAACTCTCTCACTTTGGAGACGGGACTTATTTAACAAGATCCTCTCATGTCTAATAATAAAGTATTGCTCATCCAAAATCCGTGCAGCACTTTACAGCCAGACAGGCTTTGACTGACTCTTCTTTAATGAGACCTGTATGCTGTCAGTTTGCCGTCTACCTGAAGAATTTGGTGTGTTTTTTTTGCACTCCAAGGGCTTGTGTTCCTGTACAGTGCTCATGCAGCTGCGCCACTGTAACGCTTTAATGAAGATGCTACTACACCGCTTGGAGAGCGTCTCCTGTCAGTGGAGTTAATCCACCTCCCTGCGCAGCAGTAGCTGTGTCCGCAGGAGAAGCTCTCCTGTCAGCCTAGCACTGTCTGCATGAAGAGTTAGGTTGATATAACTATATCGCTCAGGGGAGTGGATTCTTCCCGCTTCTGAGTGAGATAGTTGTACCGATGCAGGTCTGTACGTGTAGACCTGGCTCAGGATAAACCAAACCGGTCCTTGGTCTTTATTCATAAACAGGACACCCCCTACTGTTTCTTCCTGTAGATTTCCTCTCTTCAATTTCACAATCTCTCAATTTGGACTGAGTCTACAAACAGGCCTACAGCATGAGGCATATGTGACGGGTTGGATCACAGAAACTCCTTTGGGAATGCCACCTGATGTGCCTAGACTAGCTCTGAGCCTGTTTTCCCTGCCAGCTTGGGACTTCAGTCCCTTGCCTGGTTTGAGCCAGACACACTTGCCTGATGCAAACACAGATCCAAGTCTGAACCATGTCCCCCACAAGCTGCAGGCTTAACTGAAAACAGCTTAAGTGCTCCTATCTCCAGCACTCAGATATCCAACTCCCAACAGGGTCCAAACCCCAAATAAATCTGTTTTATACAGGGTAAACTCATAAATTGTTCACCGTCTATAACACTGATAGAGAGATATGCACAGCTGTTTGGCCCCCCCAGGTATTAATACATACTCTGGGTTAATTAAGTAAAAATTGATTTTATTAAATACAAAAAGAGACAGAACAAAGTGAATTACCAAGCAAAATAAAATAAAACACGCAAGTCTAAGCCTAATACAGTAAGAAAACTGAATACAGATAAAAATCTCACCCTCAGAGATATTTCAATAAGCTTTTCACAGACTGAACGCCTTCCTAGTCTGGGCACAATCCTTTCCCCTGGTACAGTCCTGGTTCCAGCTCAGGTGGTAGCTAGGGGATTTCTCATGACTGCAGCCTTCTTTGTTCTGTTCCACCCCCTTATATATCTTTTGCATAAGGCGGGAATCCTTTGTCCCTCTCTGGGTTCCCACCCCTCCTTCTAAATGGAAAAACAACAGGTTAAAGATGGATTCCAGTTCAGGTGACATGATCACAAGTTACTGTAAGACTTCATTGCATACATGTATACAGGAAGACTTACAAGTAAACAGAGCCATCTACAGTCAATTGTCCTGGTTAATGGGAGCCATCAAGATTCCAAACCACCATTAATGGCCCACACTTTGCATAATTATAATATGCCCTCAGAGTTATATTTCATATTTCTAGTTTAAGATACAAGAATGATGCATACATACAATTAGGATGACCACATTCAGTAGATTATAAGCTTTGTAAAGATACCTTACAAGAGACCTTTTGCATGAAGTATATTCCAGTTATGTTATATTCTCACTCATTAGCATATTTTCATCAAATCATATATAGTGCAACCTCACTGCTTACAATACACAATAGGACAGACAGGGAGGTAGGTGTTAATTACCTCCTGCATGAAGGGAATATTTCTGAGGTATGTCACCTCCTGGTAACCTCCCTTAACTCCAAGACCTGAAAAACATTATTTTCAGTATAAATACATAACTCCTTTAATTATTATCTGCACATACATTTCTCAATGATTATGATGACCAGTGGGCTACCAACTCTTGGTGGAGACCTCACATACCACCCTTCGGTGAATTATTATGCAGATACCCAGCCCAGGGGAATCCCTTTAACACCGTATAATATTCTGCTAGTCAGCACCAAGAGCTCCCTGTGACGCTTACCTTAGGTTAGTTGTTGTTGCTCTCAGAGCACTCAATAATGTCTACACTTTATTTATAATATTAGACTTTTTGGCTTAGATCACAATGGAAATGAGTTTGGCTTCTGGTGGGTACTTGTCCAAATTACAACACTACCATACAACTTGATGAGACTGCCAGAGTCTGTGCTTAGTACAGACCTGACTGGCTCTTTCTAATCCTGATCGCTATAACTATCTCTAAAGTGGATTGGCAGTGTTGTGGGAGGAAGCTTGTCCAGTGCTGGTCCAGACTGTGCCTTGCTGTAACTAGTGTTGTTAGCCCTTCTGTGACAGGCACAAAGTTTAAAACCCTCTTTGTGTAAATGTAGATATGAGTTACAGTCGTCAAATCATTGTACAAACTTTTTTTAGTTTTATTTACGTGGCTCTTTTGTCTAGAGTGTTTTAAAATCAAAATTATAAACAGAAAAATGAGCTCATTTTAAGACTGAAGATTTGGCATTTACCAGTGACAGAACTTTTGTTCAGAATTATACTAGACAGGTTTTTTCAAATGCTAATTTGTGTCCGTAAAAGCACTTTTTCAGATGCCCATTATTTTTGTTATACACATTTCTAAAATACTCATCACCAGAGTATCTAGGTAAGAGATAATAAATGAGAAACTTGCTTCTCAGATTCTCCTGTGAAAACGCCAGCTAAAGTGAAGGTGATTGAAAAGGATTTCTCAGTTCAAGCAATCCATTGTCAAGGTGCTCCGGTCAGCAAAGTGTTATCCTCTTCAGATACAGGTAAGAGAGAAACTTCCAAAGCCTGTATCTATATCCCTTTTTCTCTCCTATGCCATAGATTATCCTAAAACATTAAATTAACAGCAGGACCTATGCCTTAATGCCTTCTGGCAGGTATCCTAGCATTTGTTAGCAAATATTACAGTTAGTGTAGAAGTCTGAGTGTAACTAATTCCTAACTTCCTGAAAATCTGCCAAGGAGCTGTGCTGTTGGGAGAGAAGGGAAGCCAATGGAGCAGCAGCCAGGTTGGCTCCTCTTTACTTGTCAACTGAATATCTCTTTCCTATGCATCCCTGGGCTCCATGGGATTAGGAAGGTGCAAAGATTCCCTAATCCACAATTCCTAAACTTCTTCCACCGGAGGGGACAGTGCACAAAAGCCCTGTGAGTGGGACTGCTGCTGAGTCCTCCTGTCAGAGGAGGTGCGCTCTCCCTTGTGTCTAAATTAGAGGAAGAGAAAGATGGCCTACGGAAGTCAGAAGACTGGATTCTCTTCTAGCTCTGCCACTGACTCACTTTGTGACCTTAAGCATCTCACTGTGCCTGCTTCTCTACCTTTTGTAAATAACCCAGTAGATAGAAGATTAAGTGTGTTTAAAATACTAGGTAGTGATGGTGGTAGAACTGTTCTTCTTGTATTCACTTTTGGCATGTGGTTACATATGCTTTTTAATGTATTTAAATATAGACCCAAACCTTTCAAGCGTATATAAGTGCAAACACTTTTTTTTTCCCCCTCCATATTTTGAATCTTCAGTGTCCTTATTTATATGGTCTTGTGGATGTCTTCCTGCAGTCTGAAAATAGTCAAAATGCACTTCAAAGAAAAAAAAAAAATTCCTTTATCCACAGTCCTTGTGTCCTTCACTCCTTGTGTCACAGTGAACATCACTCCCTTCTTGGAACTATAGTATCATGGAAATTAATAATTGTAGAGACTCATTATGTCATCTTTAAATGGCACATGCTGTGGAGTTTACTGCTCCTTTGGGGTAGAGATTAGAGCACACGGCACACTCTCTGGAGCCAATTCACACAGTTCCTGAGACAGACGGAGGGTTTGCTGGATGATGAAGTTCTGCTGGCCCAAGGATAAAGATCTATGGTAGGTAGGCTGTTGTACATCAATGCAGGGACTGGAGTTCATGCAGATTACTTTAAATATTTTTTTTGTTTGTTTTCGCGTAGGCCTCTTTAAGGTCTATTTGTTTACTTCATTTGTAACATTTAAACCAACCTGATAGCTTTCTTTGACAGGGTAACAAATCTTGTGGATGAGGGAAGCGGTAGACATGGTATTTATTGACTTTAGTAAGGCTTTTGATACTGTCTCGCATGACCTTCTCATAAACAATCCAGAGAAATACAACCTAGATGGAGCTATTATAAGGTGGGTGAATAAACCATTTCCAGAGAGTAGGTATCATTGGTTCACAGTCAAGCTTGAAGGACATATCGATTGGGGTCTCGCAAGCTGTGTTCCCTCTGAGCTGCGTGGTCGCGTGGCAGTCCAGGAGTGAATTGGGTGCCGCGCACTTGATTAGCAGAACCACACATGTCAGTGTGTGTTCAGGTGCCCCTCCATACTGTTCTGCAGCCGCGTTGCTCCTTCCTCCAGCGGCTCCTGGGACCCTCCTGCTTGCTGTGCAGAACTGGGGAGGGTGGGAGAAGGAGAGGCACTGATGTCAGGGTGTCCACCTCCCCCCGGCCCATTTAGGCCATCTCCACAGAGCAGGGGAGAGGGGACAGGGCACAGGAGCAGTAGAGCTGCTGGCAGCTGCTGTGGTCTGAGCCTTCTAGTGAGTGCCTTAAAGAGACAGTGCGCGCACACACACACACACACAGTCTCTTTCATACTTACCTTCCAACACATACTTTTGTTGTTGTTACTTCTTGGTACTTCCTGAAATGTGCACATATTCTCTGTAATTTTATTCTTTTCGTTTTTTGACTGGTCTGTGCATTTCATAATTTTATTTCTCTCATGCTTAAATTTAATTATTTGAGTAGTAGTGAGTTCTAAAATGCCTAACCTGTCCTGGCTGGAGTAATTATCCCTATGGTAACTTTAAAAAAAAAAAAATTATACCTAGGTTTTTTGTTTCTACTGGTGGCGCACATCCGCACATTACCGTGATATTGGTGCACATAACAAAATTCATTCCGCACGTGGATGGAGAAAATAGAGGGAACATTGCCCGCAGGGATCAGTTCTGGGCAGTTCTGTTCAAGATCATCATCAATGATTTCGATAATGGCATAGGAGTACACTTTTATAAAGTTTGCAGATGATATCAAGCTGGGAGTGGTTGCAAGTGCTTTGGAGAATAGGATTAAAATTCAAAATGATCTGGACAAACTGGAGAAATGGTCTGAAGTAAATAGGATGAAATTCAATAAGGACAAATGCAAAGTACTCCACTTAGGAAGGAACAATCAGTTGCACACATACAAAATGGGAAATGACTGCCTAGGAAGGAGAAGTGCAGAAAAGGATCTAGGGGTCATAGTGGATCACAAGCTAAATGAGTGAACAATGTAACACTGTTGCAAATAAAGCAAACATCATTCTGGGATGTATTAGCAGGAGTCTTGTAAGCAAGACATGAGAAGTAATTCTTCCGCTCTATTCCACGCTGATTAGGCCTCAACTAGAGTATTGTGTCCAGTTCTGGGAGCCACATTTCAGGAAAGATGTGGACAAATTGGAGAAAGTCCAGAAAAGAGCAAAGAAATGATTAAATGTCTAGAAAACATTGAAAACATTGGGTTTGTTTAGTGTGGAGAATAGAAGACAGAAGGGACATAAGTTTTCAAGTACATAAACGGTTGTTACAAGGAGGAGGGAGAAAAATTGTTCTCCTTAACTGCTGGGGATAGGACAAGAAGCAATGGGCTTAAATTGCAGTAAGGGCGGTTTAGGTTGGACATTAGGAAAAGCTTGCTAACTGTCAGGGTGGTTAAGAACTGGAATAGATTGCCTAAGGAGGTTGTGGAATCTCCACTGGAGATTTTTGAGACCAGGTTAGGCAAACACCTGTTAGGGATGGTCTAGATCAGGGGACCTCAAACTGTGGGGCGCTCTCTCCCCTCCCCCCCCCAGGGGGTCATGGAGGAACCTTTCGGGGGGGGGGCCTGGGCTAGCTCCCATGGGGGGTGGTGAGGGAGCACAGCCAAGCCCTGCTCCATCCCCAGCTCTGCTCTGTCCCCGCTCTAGCCTTGGCCCCTGTCAAGGCTCATTCCCCACTCTGGCACTTCCAGTGCAGAAGGTGGGGGCCTGCAAGGATTCTAAAAATTAATACAAGCCTGGAGTGGAAAGTATTAAACTCCCAAGGTTACAGCTTTTCTCTGACCTTGAGATTGGTAGATGCTGCTACCACTCAAGTGCAGAACCCCTTTGAGAGCCCAGGAAGGCGCACTTGGGAATTACTTCCTGTGGGGGTACCTTCAAACCCCACCCCAGGGGAAGAGCTGAGAAGGGGGGGGTGCGGGGCGCAAGGGAAATCAGCTGTTCCACCAGCTAATTAAACAATGTGTGCATCAACCTCTTAAGACACAGAAATCCGATTCTGCTCTTAAAGGTAAAATTTTATTTTTTTAAAAAAAAGAAGGAAGTACATCTGGTAATTCAGGCTATTGCTAGATCTTAAAAGAGCACTACAAGTATTAAGCACCAAGAATAGCTTTCTTGAGGTCCAGCTTAAAGGTTACCAGCAAAACAAAAGCACTTGGGGTTAGCACAGAGGAATCCACAAGCCATAAAGAAATAAAAGGGATAAACCTAACTGTGTCTTCCTAGACATTTCCTGATCTATTTACATATCTGGGTTTTTAAATGAGTACTTTCTAGATAGGATACTGATGATTTTTTTTTTCATACCTGGCCCAAGCTTCTTACAGGATAGCTGCTGCCCTGTCCACCTCTCCACTGGAGAACAACCACAGACAGACAAAAGGGGAGTCGTTTTTCAATTTTAAAATGTTCTAGCCTTCCCATTCGCACTTTTGGCCAGGTGCCCACTCACTGCCTTTTACCTATGCATAGCAGTGAGACTTTACGGGTAGAGCAATTAGAGAACAGCTACTTAACAGGATTTTATAGCTACTAGCTGGCTGGGTGTCCATAAAAGGGAGCTACCTTCCCCCCTCCCCCCCCCGCCTTCATTTATCACAGTCCCCGACTGCAGCCCAACCGTGGCTTCCACTCCTGGCCCCAGCCTTGGCCCCTGGCTGTGGCTCCGTTCCTGGTCCCAAACCTGCCCTCAGCCTTGGCCTCCTTACCCTGTCCGTGTCCTGTCCCTGGCTCAAGCGGGGGTAGGGGTGGAGCAACTGTGAAAAGTTTGGGGACCACTGAGCGGGTAATACTTAATCCTGCCATGAGCTCAGGGGACTGGACTAGATGACCCATCAAGGTCCCTTCCAGTTCTATGATTCTATTATTCTATGCCCAGAGAGACTCTGAAGCTTCATGTACAATCTTGGAAGAGTGAATGATATACCTATTCCAGGATACAAAGGAAGGATGTGGGCATGGAATGGAAACTAATAGTAAAATGATCATTTGGCTTATACTTGGTTCATGTGGTGTTTAGTTCCATGATTGCTGTAGATCTGTATATTTTTGTGTTTAAAATTCAAGCTGTCTTCCTTTTCCTCCTCTTACGCTTTGCTCAGCACTTAAACCCTTACATACTTTTTATCTTAAAGCACTTTCCTTTCTTTTCAGAGCTGCTGGTGTTGAATGGCACTGATCCAGTTGCTGAAGCAGCCATTCGACAGTTAAGTGAGTCTGCAAAGCAGAAGCTGAAATCTCCAAGAAAGAAAAGCACCATTATCATATCAGGAGTGTCCAAGGTAGAGTTCAAAATCACACATGTTTTTAATGCGCGACACTGAAGAGACGCTTTGCTTTGCTGAGTATGATACTTGAACTCGCACTCTACTCTCTCCCATTTGACAATTTTTGCAGAAGCTGGGTTTTATATCCTTGTTGCTTCAGAAATTAAGTGTTGCAAGTTAAGCCTAAAAGCAGAGAGTTAATCAGACACAATTTAGCCAGATGACTAACTTTACTAGATAGAGGCTGTTCTCTTAGGAGGTGGGGCTGTGGTTGGAGTTGGGGAAGACCTGTCCAGACTCAGCAGCCTGGTGAGAATTCCAGCTGCGAGTCCAAGAGATGGTGTTGGAATTCCTACCAAGCTATAGTCCCTAGACTGAGAATGGGGGCTTCATCTTTCAGACCGAGCTCCCTGTAAAAGAGGTCGTATTTTTTTTGTTTTGTTTTTTGTTTTGGTTTTGGTTTTTTTAAAGCCCCACCACTCTCTCTGGCTGCTGGAAAAGAAAAGAAGCTTTTTGCCTCTTTATGTTCCCTATCCCCATATAGCCACCTGGCTGCTCTCCCCCAACCCCCATCTTGTTCATTCTCCCTACCGAATAGCTCCAAGGCCTCTGCTGCTTCTCACTTTTCCAAGCTGCCGGGCAGTGAAATTTACTGCTGTTTTGTCATTTTTCACAGCTACTTGAAGGATTCTGAGGAGAAGCAGTGCAAGCTGACATGACCCTTGTCTGTCTGCACTGTGCTGTGTTGGCGTGAAAGCTGGGAGCAGCAGCATTGAAACTGTCTGCAAAATGGGGATGATGGCACTACATAGACTTGCATTTAGCAGACTTTCATAAAGGTTCCTTTGCCACCATAAGGTCCTAAAACCTTGTTTTTTTTTCTTTCTTTCTTTTTAACCAAAGTTTAGATTTTTCTGGAAGTTGATACCTTTTTAGTTCCTTCCACACAGATGCTTACTTGCAAAGGAAGGTCTTCTACTGACCAGTAGTGATTACTGCAGTGGATTTAAAAAAAATTTTTTTTTTTTAAATCAAGCCCAAATCATTTTGTTAAAGCCAAATTTGATTTAGCTCTGTGCTCTGCTAAGAAAAGGAGCAAAGAGAATATGCAATAATGTGGATTTCTGGCAGTATCTGGGCAATGCAGACACGGTGCAAAGAATGAATAAAACCCTTGTGGAGGAGACTGGTTTGTCCAGCAAATAGTGTCTTTTTTTTATTTTTTTTATCTCTTTCACTGTGGCAGACCTCCTTATCTCAGGACAGTGAAGCTACACTGATGATGGACTATGCAGCAGCCATGGATGACTCATGTAAAGAGGAGGCTCCTTCCTTGGTGGGGGAGCCTACCACAGAAGTCCCCTCCAATAAAAAACTACCACTATCTGCTTCACAAATGCTACCTGCAACTGACCTAGAGGAAAATAGCCATAATGTGTGGGACTTGGATAACAGCAGCCAACAATGGAACAGCAATGCAATTTTAGACCAGGACTGTGAAGAGATGACCGGGAGTTCATTAAGTGTCTCGGAATCTGGGAGTGTGAAAAAATCTAAAGGTATATGAGCTCTCTTGACACTTGCCTAGAATTGTATCGAAGTACTGATTTCTATAGCTGAACTTCAGTGTCTTTGTCAAGCAGTACTATCAGGTGATTCTTTTCTATTCTTACCTTCTTTTCCCCTCTTAAACTTCAAGTGGATTTGGTGCTGGTAAAAAATGCCTGACTGATAACCCTGAAGAATTAAATCCTCTAGCTAACCACAAAAAATACAGTACAGGCTTCCCCACACTGTGCCCCTCCATCACGATATGGAAAGACTTGTTCCAGGAGAGAGAGGGTAAATTGCTCCAAATCCATTCAGTCATCTGGCTTCTGAGGCGATCAGTGACCAAACTGCGAATCCACTGATGCAAATTCTTTCTGGTAAATTAAGATCAATAGTGAGGGCCCAAATAAAGAGAGAAAACCAGTACAAATCCACAATCACCTCCATCATCCCCTCTGTGCACAACCCCTCCCCTTCCTCCTCCCCTCCCCACAAAAGGAGATTTGTGTCTCTGATTAACTTTTTACTCTTTGTGCATATTAAACTACCCATTGAACAGTTTGTCCCTCTCCCCTCTTGCCTCTTTCAATAATACAAGTGTTTACAAAAGAGAGTGACACACAGGATGTGATTGTTTTCTTTAAATAAGGGACAAATTGTTTTGTTATCACAACTGATACTTGCCTGAGTGTGTCTGCAGGCTGCAAATGACTTGGACATGTCTTGTGGCTCATTAGATTTTCTTCCCCCCTGTCCTCAAACTAACTTTGGAGACACATTTGAGTCTCACTTCTTCTGTTCTTTGGCTGGTGGGATTTTGAACCTGAAAGAAGCCAGCTGGGAACACTCTGTTCAATGGACTCCACTCACCCACTTGCCTGTTACTAGTGTAGGAGAGAGGCAAGTCTAAGGGCCACTGTCCAGTAGCTGCCAAAGTTCTTATGTATGCCATCCCCCTCAAGACCTCTTCTGCCTTTTTTTTTTAATGGCCTTCATGAATAGTACTGAAAACCCCACCACAAAATTTTTATCTCTCGTGCTTTAAATTCATAATCTCTGCCGTAAAATATACCGTGGATCTTTACGTGCTGAGGTTTCTCTCATTCTGTCGTGATTTTTCCCATCTTGTCTTTCCTGGCAGTCACTTATTGTTAGCAACTTACCTGAAGCTGTCGAGGTAAATGAGCAGTTTGGCAAATGTGTCCATAAGCTGGCCATTAAGAAGTGCATTATAGTTTTGTCTGTGCTTAACTGTCCCATATTTTGAGACCTGAATATTAGGAAATACGTGATTCCAGGGTGGCACTGTCACTAAGCCTCTGGACTCATTTCAACATTTACCTTGGAAAACAGTCTTGTATTTGAGTAGCTGTTTGGGTGGGATGGCTGTTAAAAATGCAGTTACATTAAAAACAGACTCTCTTTTCTTTCTCTGTACAAGCTGACTGCTCAGACTTAAATGCTACTCTCTCGTCTATTTTTAAAATAATTGTGTTCACCATCTCCTAACTCTTCAGTAGAAACAGTCTGAGTTCATGATGCAATACAAGAGTGCAAAAAAAACACAATACATCCGGTGTCCGATTCTTACATATTGTGAGGATGTTTGTGTCACATTCCACAAATAGCACAATGTTGTTCTACGCAAAAGCCTGTCCAAAAAAAGATATTCACAGTCTAACTGTGGGGCTCTTGTATGTTGTGTTCTCTGACAGCATCGTGGCTTTTGTGAAGCAAGATAGGAATATTTCCTCCTTCCCTCATCAGCCCCTGGCTAAGTTACGCTAGTACAAGATGTTTGTTTAAACACTCACATCTGCATTCGTTTTGCAGGGGAAGCGTTTGCCAAATGTTCTACTTAACAAAAAAAAATCCTTCAAGTACAATGTTAATGGTTCACAATTTGTACTGTCTTTCATTATTACTTTTGCTCTTGCATGTGTTGCTTTTTACATCTTATTACCTTTCTGACTTCATCTTTCTTACTCATGCCTTTTGTAAACTTAAGAGGACTACTATGCCAACCTGAATTAATTGCCTACACAGTAAGTTATTTTTGTTTTACTTTTATTAAAGAAAATGTAGCTTTACCGAGAGACACTTATTGCAAAAGTGAAGCAAAACTTTCGTTGTTTTCTCACCTATTATCCTCTTCCCTGTGTCAGGGTTGGGTTTTTTCCCTCTCTCCGCAATGCCTTCATTTATGTAGAGAGTTCTTAGCAGCTTAGTCTGTAGTAGCAAGTCATTCTAATTGTAGGTGTGTTACCGTTACAAATAATTGAATTGGGGCAGGGAAGATTCCCCTCTCCTCTGTCCAGATTGAAGATAACGGATTGGGGAAACTTGGATAATTACTGCAATTTTCCTGACATCTTGTGATATTTCTATGGCATTCATTCGTGTAGTAACTAGGAGCCTACCAAAGACATGCATGTGCAAACTACAGATGATTACATAGCCCTACATGAATAGTGTGTGTGTGTGTGTTACAAATTGTTTATGGGTTTCTTACGCTTTCCTAACAATCCTCAATTATTTGAGCTATAATATCTTTATATTTAAAATATTGCAATATTGTTTCAAAAACCGTACTATTCATTACATACATAGTGCACGTTTGTTTGCCTTTATGGAGCCAAGCAAAAAATTAAGACTTGAACGTGACTTGAACTCCTTCAGAGTGCTTGCTAAGGATTCATCGTGCCCCACTCCCTTTCTCTTGCCAGAAATAACGAAAGGATTGCATGAGAATACACGCTGATTTCGTATTTGCTTTCACCTGTTTCCAGTCACTTGTCCGTCCATCCGAATGCCTAGCTAACCTGGCTGTTTCACCAGCAGCTCCTCCTGAAAGAAAGATATTCCTGCTTCCAGAAGTGTAGATTGAACATTAAAGTATAAGCCTTACCAGAGTGAAAGCAGAGGCATGTATTAAATAACTATATTGCACTTCTTAAATGAAAGCTACTTTTGTGAAATAGAGAAGACTGGGAGAAGGAGGGGCTTTAGTCTGAAGCCATGAATAGTGTGGAGACATGGGATAGGAAACTCATTAATTAAAAAAAAAAAAAAAAAAGTACTTAAACACAATTCTTCAATAACCAATTTGAGTGGGAGTGGGGAACAATGTTGTACAGGACAACAACTATTCTGGTATTAACAGTAAGGATATTGCACTGAATTTCATTAGGGTTTATCTTTATATGATGCATTTGACAGGAGATGCCATTGACAATAATGGTAGCCATTTCCAATTTCCAGGACAGTATAATGTAAAAAGTTTCCCCGTCTGCCTTGGTTTCTGTATTCATAGGTAATGACAACAAAGCAAAGCGAATGGCATCAAGATGGTGATGGGTGCCAATAAAAGAACCTAGCTAGAATCATTAGATGAGATAGTGGTGTGGATACAAGCTAGTGGGAAGGTACAGCACTGGCAAGTTAATAATGGAGACCACATTTTGTTCTCTTGTACTAGTGTGAGCTCCAGAGAGGAAGATCATGACTACTTGATGCTCACTGTGTGGGGTCCTAAGCTGCACTCCCCTCCAAGTTCTTCATTTTCACTGCCAATTTCCAATCTGCATGAACCCTCTAGAGGAGATGAAAATGCCACCACCCCACTGTACACAAAACCAAGTTGTCATTTTAAATCTATATTGCTAGACCATCCTTTTAATACCAATGTAGGCTGACCTCTCCTCTTAACTTCAGGGTTTTGTATCAGTCACTGACTAATTCCATGCTTCTGCCTCACAGTTAAGGCTATGTGCACACACAAAACAGGATCACATACAGAAGAGAGAATTCTTAAAAGTGGGGGACTGCTGGCTCCCAAAAGCAATCCATTTTCTTACAGAAAGAAAAGATTACTGATGACTTGTGTTGCATATGCAAATTTATTGAAGAGAGACAGGCTGTAGTTGGCATGACCGCATAACACATGACACAGTTGCCTTTTCATCAATGACATGAAAAATACTTTTACTAATACAATCCTGGAGTATTAATTTATTACATAACTACTTATGTCTGTTCATTTTAAAAACCCTGTTTGGGGAATTTTGAAGAGTTTGGCGGCTAAATTCTAACAAGTCTGTCTGAGCAGGTGCAAACTGAGATTTTTCAAAGATTTATTACTAGTCCAGATTTGGGCTTTTTTTTCCCCTCACGGAAACAGCAAATGGCACATCCTTGACAGCAGGCTCCCTGCCAAATGCGAAGGCACTAGAGTGTCTTAAACACTTGCAAGAATGTTTGTTTTGCCCACGTTAAAAACAATGTATGTTTCCCTAGCCTCATTTTCTGAAACAGCTGAATCCTTTCTGCCGAAATTTTAAAAACGAAGACATTTAGCCTGAGGCAGACACCTGCTGGAAATTTGCCATGCCCAGTCAGCTAAAGTTAGGCAGAGTTATAAGCACCTGACAACAGGTCCTTATAATGGCAAGTGTTGGGCAACTTAACTGTAGGTGGCACTACCAGCTCCATCTATAATACACACTGACTTGTAAAGGCACATGGTAGGTAGCGCTCTTAATAGATTAGCGTTTTACAGATGCCAATGGGGATCCTGAACTTGGAATTTAAATGCCAACTTCATCTTGTGCATAAACTAGCTGTATACACTCTTCCCCCCACCCACCCACCCAGCTTCCTTGATGTTTCAGCAGCAATCCATGCACTAGATATCTGGGGGGAAGAGGGCAGAGTGTGTGTGTATTTCTGAACATGTCATCCCATTCATTGCAAAAAGAAAAGGAGGACTTGTGGCACCTTAGAGACTAACCAATTTATTTGAGCATGAGCTTTCGTGAGCTACAGCTCACTTCATCAGCTGTAGCTCACGAAAGCTCATGCTCAAATAAATTGGTTAGTCTCTAAGGTGCCACAAGTACTCCTTTTCTTTTTGCGAATACAGACTAACACGGCTGTTCCTCTGAAACCCATTCATTGCATATCTCTTCCCCCATACCACATACTGTCCTTCCTAGTGTATTGGAAGGATTAAATCCACCTGAATGGGATGTGAGAACTCGAAGATCCTGGAATGTTGTTGCAGCCGACAGTGAATGCTATGCATGTATCATGGGCTTTAAGAGAGCAACTGAAACTAAGCAAATGGAAGGGAAGAGAAGTCTACAGTATTCGTGGATTGGCCTTGAAAAGTTGGAGAATTCAAAGGATCTCCAGTATTAACAAATTCTCATCTGTACCTTGTTCTGTAACAGCATCTCTGTCCTTTTCAACCACGCTCTTTTTTTCGAGGACTGAAGGAAAACTGACGTTCTCTTTAGTGCTCCTCTTAACGATAACAGTGAATGCCTACATTGCTTCAGATAATATTTTCTTCCTTGGCTTTTCTATTACCTGTAAGTGTCTGTGCATAGATAGAGATCTCTAATTGCTGTAGGTCCTCATGAATCTGAGTGATTAGGTTAGAATGAAAAGTGCTATTTCCATGGTGTTGAGGGGAAGTAAAAAAAATTTAAAAAAATACACACACACACACGCTCTTTAACTTAAGAGGCTAGACTTTCCCAAGATTCGCAAAAAGAAAAGGAGTACTTGTGGCACCTTAGAGACTAACCAATTTATTTGAGCATGAGCTTTCGTGAGCTACAGATCACTTCATCGGATGCATACTGTGGAAACTGCAGAAGACATTATATATACACAGAGACCATGAAACAATATCTCCTTCCACCCCACTCTCCTGCTGGTAATAGCTTATCTAAAGTGATCATCAAGTTGGGCCATTTCCAGCACAAATCCAGGTTTTCTCACCCTCCGTCCCCTCCCCCCCCCCCCCCACAAACTCACTCTCCTGCTGGTAATAGCTCATCCAAAGTGACCACTCTCCCTACAATGTGCATGATAATCAAGGTGGGCCATTTCCAGCACAAATCCAGGTTTTCTCACCCCCCCCCACACACACACAAATTCACTCTCCTGCTGGCAATAGCTCATCCAAACTGACCACTCTCCTTATTGTTTCATGGTCTCTGTGTGTATATATAATGTCTTCTGCAGTTTCCACGGTATGCATCCGCTGAAGTGAGCTGTAGCTCACGAAAGCTCATGCTCAAATAAATTGGTTAGTCTCTAACGTGCCACAAGTACTCCTTTTCTTTTTGCGAATACAGACTAACACGGCTGTTACTCTGAAACCTTTCCCAAGATTGTTCCATTTTGGGGCAGAGGGAGGATATGTCTGAATGTTGCTGGAAATACAGTAGCATACAATGTAGATGCATTCTGTCGTGAGCATCTAGTTGACAGTACAGATCGTGTACAGGCAAACTTAACTTATTGAGACTAGCTACAAAACAGAACTTGGATAGAGCATCGATGTTATCTAACCTAGAGAACTTTCATAATATTCTTGCTCCAGTACAGAACATTCTTGGTTTCCTAGTTTCTTTCACACTTAAAGTATTTCAGAGGGCATAACTTAAAACTGACGATTATTTTTTAATAGAATGTTAAAAACAAAATAAAATGATCCATCGGGAAAAGCGTATTTATATCTAAATTCTCCATCTCGTTCACCTCTGTAGGTGGAATTTTGAAAAAAAGTGCAAAGCTGTTTTTCCGTCGGCGGCATCATCAGAAGGATCCAGGAATGAGCCAGTCGCACAATGACCTTGTTTACCTGCAGCAGCCAACGTCTGATGAAACACGAAGGAAGGGAGCAACGCTAACACGCATCCTTCACAAGAAAATTCTTTCTAAGAACAAAAGCAAGAATAAGCTGAATTGCACTTCCATGGAGCCATGTGTATAAAACCTAATGCTCTCTGAATGATACTTGCACATCAATTGATCAGCTGTTTACAAAACCATACTAGAAGATGTAAACACAGATTGTGACATGCATAAAATGATATTCACAAATGCAGTGGTTCTGGAATAAGCAGACAAAGCTTGGCTTCCGTTTTTCCAAAACACTTTTTTTTTTTTTTTTAAAAGCCTTTAAGCAAGAAGAATCCCGTCCTCACCAGCCTACCCCTAGCATAAATAGTGTTGATTGTATGATGACAGCATGTTCCCCGCCTCCCCACCCCAATCCAAGTTGTCACTCTGCATTCAATCCTGATTTGCAGAAGGTTTGAATCTACCACTCCTAGTGATGATATTTTTATTTTGGGGGGGATGGGGGTAGAGAAGATGGGTCGTACTGTAGAAGTGGTGTGACTGGGGAGGCTCACCTTTTTTTTAGAATATTAAATCTAGTTTACATTTAACTTCTAGACAACATGACTTCTTGGTTTCCAGATAGATGACTGGACTACTGTGAAGAGGTAATGTACCACTGTGGTTTTTGCTTCTGTAATATGAAACAATAGTAGCAGTGCAGATCTCAACTTGGGTTTCTAGACATGCTGAAAGTGGAAGCCGAGAGACCCTGATCTGGTTCCTGTTGTAATTTGGAAACTGCTTTGTTTCTGAAAAAGTAAATTAAATGTTGATTAAGACATCCTGCTGTAATAACTGCTAAATCAGTGTAGATAGACATGTACCTTTGATATTAGCCATAATGATGATTATGCAAATACGTATCCTAGAATATTTAATTCTGTGCATATATTATGCTAAAAACCCTTTTTTTCTAGGTTTACTTTGTTCCCACTTGCAAACAAAGTATTTAAAAGATCTTACTGTTACTTTTATTTCCCCACTATATGAGAAGCTAAAAGTGCTAATGCAAAAGTTATGTTGGGGACTCTACTCCCTTATCTACAGTACTTTGTAGACCAGTATACTAGCAATCGTATCAAAAGCAAAGTTAGGAGCAATAAATTTTGTGTAGATCACATTTAATCCTACTTAGATTTGTATTAGTTCATGGTCTGATTTGCCAGTTACCAGTAGCCTGGAAAACAGAATTTTTGAAAAGTTTCTCTTTCCCCTCCTTCAGTTACAAGTTTACAAGTTTTGTCCTATGGTAAGGGAGTTTTTTGGTTTGTTTGGGTTTTTAGTGTGTGTTTAAAATACATTGCAGTTGGCTCCTTTCTTTAAAATCTGGTAAAAGAAATTATAGTTCTCACTTAGTTAAACTGTCTAAGAAGAGGGGAATAAAACTTCAATCTCTATATGCATTTTACAGATAACATATTTTTCTCATGTATGCCTGTTTACACATTCCTTTGCCATGTATGCATTCCCTGTTGAGAACATAGCACCCAATCCTGCTGTCTTTACCCAGGCAGACACTTGCGTTGCACCAGTATCACCACGAATCTAAACTGATACAATTCCATTGAAGTAAACAGAGTTGTGCCTGCTTCTGTCACTAGTGAATTTGGCCCAAAGACTTCAATAAGACATTTGACTGAGTAAGGATGGCAGCATTGTGCCTTAGCCTTAAAGTTATAGTTTCCAAAAATTGAAACTCTGGAATAATTGAACTAAGAGCTTTCAATACTTTTGGTAGGCTCCAGATTCCTTAGCAAAGATGTACTGAAGGGTATAAAACTGGGGTGGGGGAATCTTCAGCAAAAAATCAAATATCCAAAGAAATGAACCACCAAATGCTTTTAACTGAGCCTCTAGTTCCAAATACATTTTATTTGGCCTAGTAATAGCACTGTGGCAGTACTGTCATGCATACCATTTTGCAAAAAAATATGTACTGTCAACAGTCTTGCTGTATTTGTTGTTATAAATACCTGCAGGCATTTTTAAACACTATTTTAAAAAAATCTTAAGTTTGTTGCAGTTGCAGTTTTTTGTAATATAACTATGCAACACGCTACAGCTTTTGTGGGTTTTTTATTTTGGGTTGTCTTTTTTTAAATCCGAAATCATTATGGATTTGGGATTAGGTTAAAATCCTACTTTCACATATTTGAGACTTTCTCCTTTTTTACTAACTTGCAAAAAAACGGAGGTTAGGATTCCATATCTACTGTACAACAGCTGATGCCATCAGCACTAAAAGGCTGAGGCTGCACTCCTTTGGTGCACGCACAATTCCCCTTGATTTCGTTAGGTGTTGCCATGTAATGGTAGGTAAAAGAGAGATCCCTTCCCTATTTAAAGTTTTTGAACTGGTCTACACTACAGACTTATATTGGTATAACTATATTGCTCAGGTTTAAAAATCCACACCCTTGAGCAATGTAGTTATACCACCCTACATCCTGCCCCCCATGGGAGGCAGATTAATTATGCTGGTGGGAGAGCTCTCTCCTGTCAGTTTAGAGTGTCTTTATTTAAAGCACTACAGTGACACAACTCAGTGCTACATCAATGCAGCGTTTTAAGTGTAAACTTGCCCTTAGTGATGCTGTTTGCTGAAAGGAGGAAAAACAAAATTAAACCCTAAATGTCGTGGCCTTTCTAAACTAAAGTTTTCCTTAGGTGCATATCACCATAGTATACAAGAACCTAGGAAGTGCAGGATTAGGCCCTGATGAGTGAAAAGTATCACTGATTGTGAACAAAACATTTGACACTAAACATGTAAAGTCTGTTAAATTACTGAGTTGGGACTTTTGTGTACAAAACCTTGTGTGGCTCATCTTTTAAATTGGTGTGAGGGATTACATTCATCTTGGCAGAATGCAAGCAGGAGGCTCTCTCCTCCACCCCCAGTAGACCAGTAACTCTTGATTTTTATGGAAGTCTTGGATGACTGCCAAAATTTGAGTTTTGGTGGTGGGGAACTGAGGTGGAGTGTAGCCTATTCTCAAGATGGAGGGGACAAAGACATTTGGGATAAAAGATTAATTTTTGTTAATAAATTAAAAGCTTCTCAATGGGCCCCTCCAAAATAGCCCTGTTCAGATGGATAGTGATTTAAGATTTGCCGCATGTGGCTAGGTAATTTTTCCCCTCTTCTAGAAATCACTGTAGATAGCATTGAGAGCATGTTAGCCATAGTCATTAGTTGTGAGCCCAAACTGACAGTTCAAATCCTCAGTATTTCAAATGTTCAAAATCATGATCCAGACCCTCCAAAATTATGAGATTAAAAATAAATGTGAGGGGGTTATATGCCCTCTGGTTTCTGAGCCTTTAGGGTGAACTTAGTCATGTTTTTCAAGCTTTCTTCTGCAACCATGAGGGCTAGGAACTTACTCTTATTTTTAAATGAAAGCTGAGATTCTCATGTAATTTTGTTTCCAGGCACTGGGGCTTTAAATAAAATCTCATATTGGAAAGCTCACCGTTAAAATTGCAAGAGCTAGCAACACTCAATCCTATGGGAATAGATGGGCACATACCAGTAGTTCACCTACAGCCTGCTCCCATTTAAGTGAACTTGAGTTTTGCCACAGAGTTCAGCAAGATTGGGCACGGCACTTAACATTAACACTGGGTCCAATCCTCTCAGGTGCTAAATGCTTCCTGCCACAGTCTGTGAAGGTTTCAGAGTAACAGCCGTGTTAGTCTGTATTCGCAAAAAGAAAAGGAGTATTTGTGGCACCTTAGAGACTAACCAATTTATTTGAGCATGAGCTTTCGTGAGCTACAGCTCACTTCATCGGATGCATACTGTGGAAATCCGATGAAGTGAGCTGTAGCTCACGAAAGCTCATGCTCAAATAAATTGGTTGGTCTCTTAGGTGCTACAAGTACTCCTTTTCTTTTTGCAATCTGTGAAGAATATCAATGGGCACTGGGGCAGCACTGCACCTTGCAAGATCAGATCCAGCATGGTTCCCTAACTTTGGGGAAGGGCAGGGGTTGTAATTTAGACACACACACCTTAATGATTTTAGTAGTTCAGCATTTGAGAAGGAATATCACATCACGTATCAAAACCTTTGCATTATGTTTTCGTTTTCTCTCTCTCTCTCTCATATAATCTCAAAGCTGTATTGTGGAAATAATTCATGAAATCTTTTTGTGGTGGTTTTTTTAATTCTTATTTATCCGTGCATTCTGTAAGCCAAAGAAAGTATACAGGGATTGGTTTATTTGTTTTTTCCCCGATGTGTTTTCTCTTTATTGTTATGTAAAATTTGCAGAAGGAAACGGTGAAACTAACTATACTTTGTGCATTTGACAGCACTTCAACTCCCCACCCTCACGCCAAATAGTCCCTTTCAGTTCTAGTGATCCCTTAGATGTTAGAGCAATAGTACTATGGGGTTTGAGGGGTAGAGGAGGAATCATATAAATGTGACTTCTTTTTTTTATTGATTGTGTCTCATTGAATATAAAGCCGAAAGTTAAGATATGTGCGAGCAGGGTATCATCATAAACCCAAGTACACCATAGCATAGGATTAAATGATTGCTCGAAGGGAACAGAGCCTATTAGTACAGTCCATATTTAGATGTAGCTGCCCTACTGGAAAAGCTATGATGTAAAGAGCAGAGTTGTTGTTTTAAACTGCTTTTAGCAACCAATGGCCTCACATTTACTCCTTGACATCCACATTGACTTCAGTGAGACGATTCATGTACTTAAAGTAAGGCATGTGCTTAGGTACCTGGCTGAATCAGGGACTTAATGATAAATAAACTCTGAATACATTCAGTTAATCTTCCTACCATTCAGTTAAGGGTGAGCGATGTATTACTCAGGACAGCTATACTGCTGTTGTGCAAGCTACTAGCGAGCTGCAAAAGTAGCTGGCGTATATGGAACTGGTTATCTTGCCAATCTTGTTATTTAACATCCCTATATAAAAAGTGTAGCTGTTTACCAAGGGTGTAATATGCTCGCATATTCCAAACAGGGTGAAACATTTACTCTTAGCACTCAGCTGTGATAACTTTTTTAAATTTGTACACTAAAATAACTTGGTGTAATTAAGAGGACTATGCTGTACAGATTTATTAGACTATCACTAATAAGCATGAAAAGAGGATGTCGTCTTTTTTTAAAAAGAAAGAACTACTGCTGTACATAAAATAATAAACACCGATTGTCTCTGTGTAGTATCCTGTCATATATGCCTTGGTCTTCCAGGTGTACCGCATTGCTTGTCTGCTCATCTGCATTAATAAGACGACTCCATGTTTTCAGGGCCTCTTTACCTGTTTTCTTTTAGCAGCAAGCTCCTCCTAGCTGTGCCTGACCCTGTGTTGCTCCGTTCTTATTGTGCCTGAGCCCATCTAGGAAGGATCCCTTGCTGTGCTATTGGGATGCATTCTAAAACTGTGCTGGGAGGCAGCCTATTGGAGGGGACTGAGGGACGAATGAATAATTTGAGCCTAAGATTTGATGTTTGCATTGTTTGTCCAGGTTCATGAACATGCCCAGCTCTTAATGGACAATTTGTTATATCCCAAAGCCAACTATCACTTCACCATTTTTTGTCAGAAAAGGTCCTTTAGCAGAACAGAATGTCCAGATGTCACCTTGTGTGGAATCCTACAAAAGTAGGGCTTGGCAGATAATGTAGTCCAGCCCCCTGCACTGAGGCAGGATTATGTATATGTAGTAGTGGAGCAGTATTGGATGTCAAGATGCAGTGGTGTTTAGATGAACTGAATGGAGCTGTTTGCCTAAAGGATACTGAGTGTTCTGTGTGTGTTAATTTTTATTTGTGTGCGGAGAGGGAAAAAAAAATCCTGGAATTTTTCAATGTTCATTTTCCAAATATTAAAAGTTGGATGAAATTGGGGTTTTAAAAAACAGAAAAAGGGGGGGGGAGAAAAACACATTCATAATATACACATTTTACTACAGTATAATTGAAACATTTTTTATGTACAAAGATATTTTTGTCTCACTTGGCACAAATAGTTTTTCCAGAAATCCTGATTTGCGTACACTTACATAATTTTCTTCAAAGCATCCTCACTCCTGTTGAGCCTCTTGCTGTCCTGGAGGTAGTCCACCCTTGAAAATAAGCACCCTGTGTCAAGACACCCACGGGGTACACTCAGAGCTCACCATGTCACTTTGCTGAAATTGGGAAGTGTCTTGATGACTGTTCCAAAAAGCCAGCACATCCAGTTTCACATCAGGGTTAAGCATGTTCAGGTAAGTCAGTAGTGGGTTTACAATGGAGCCAGGCCCATGCTCAGAAGAGGCCCCAGCCTGCTCCACTTGCACTGAGCCGCCACCAGCCCGCTGGCTCTCCCTCCCCCGCCCACCACTTGCTCCTCTTGGCCTGCCTGCCGGTCAGCCAAGGGTTCCTCTCCACCCCCAGGTCCCACCTGCCAGCTCCTCTCTGCCTCTGGGCCGGACCCCAGTGCATCTCCGGCTCCAGGCAGTCTCTTTTTCCCATTATCTATACAGCCCCACCTGTCTCCCTGGAGCAGAAGCCTAGCCAGTTGTGGGGGAGGGGACTGTGGTGGGCTTGGCTGGGCCCCTCCAGGCAAATGGGTCCTGAGGGAGCCTGGCTGGGGCAGGCCCTGGCCTGGCTAATCAGGCCACTCCTGAGGGGCTGGTACAATTCCCCGCCCCGGGACCAGCCCTGGCTGCGCTGGCGGCTCAGCCCGGCCAACACAGTCACGCCCCAGCGTGGCCAGTGAGTGCGGCTGGGAGGCAGGGCATGGGGGAGTGGGTCTCTGGGGGTGCAGGGCTCTGAGGGGGTGGGGAAGAGCTGTGTGTGTGTTGGGACACTAGGGAGTGGAGGTTCTACGTGGGGTGCTGGGCAGTTGTGGTGGGGCTGTAGGCAGGGGGGTGCTGGCCAGGGGTGGTGGTGTGCAGGGCCCAGTGCATTTGTGGCAGGGTCTGGGGGTGTGCTGGACATAGCAGGTGGGGGGGAGGGGGCTCTGGGGCGGGGCATGGCATGGGCCTAACCCCCAAGGGAAGGGGCATGCTGGCAGCACAGGGCCTGGCGGGCCATTGCTGGTTTGTAAATAGTGCCCTTGCACGGGGCTGGGCAGAGCAGGAGTGCCCCTGCCATGCCCCTGGCCAGCCCCTTGTATCCACAAAAACAACAAGGAGTCCGGTGGCACCTTAAATACTAACAGATGTATTTGGGCATAAGCTTTCCTGAGCTAGAACCCACTTCAGCGGCTGCATCCCATGAAGTGGGTTCTAGCCCACGAAAGCTTATGCCCAAATACACCTGTTAAGCAAGGGCAGAAGTCTTCTGTGGCCTAAGGTGCGCCGCTAGCGGGGGATTAGGCGACCTAAGGGCATCGTTTCCACAGCTCTGAGCGCTGGAGCAGGTGGCTGTTAGTGCGAGGGGCGGGGCAGGGCCGGCCGGCGGCAGCCTGCAGCATCTTGGCTTGAGCCCTGGCTGGGCTGCCCGAGGCGCGGGGGGAGGGGGCTGCACAGGATCCCCAGTTGTGCAGCGAGCGCGGGGGCAAGAATAAGGGGAGTCGCTGCACAGGCACGCGGAGAGCTGCCAAGCCAGCTACAAAGCAATGAAATAACGGAGGGTCCCTTAAACTGGGGGCGGGCGGGCGCGCCCCACCCCCTTGGGCTGCAGGCGAGCTTGCAGGGGTGGTGGCTGAGCTCTGCCAGGCGACCCGGCCGGGCGTACAGCGCCCTGCACCGGGGGCCCCGAAGCGCGACTGCAACAGCGCTGGCGGGTAACAGCCCCGCCCCCACAGCCCCGCGCGGCGCAGCGGGAGAGTAGGCGCCCCTCCCGCGAACTACGACTCCCATGGTGCTTTGCCGGCGGGCGGCCGGGCCGGCTTCCGGTGGCGCGTGGTTTCCGGAGTGGATCGGAACCTGGAGTCCGGATTCGATCCGGGTCGGAACATTCCAAAAGCAGGTAACGCAAATCCCCGCATTCCAGCGCGGCGCGCGGCACCGCCTGCCCCTGGCCGGCGAACCCCCACCCCCACCCCCACCGCGCCCCCGCCGCGCGCCGCGCCGCCCCCGCCCCCCTGGGGTTGCCCCTGGCGCGCGGGGCCCCCGGTCCGGCTGCGCCGCCGCTGCCGCCGCCTCCATCTCCATCTCCAGGCCGCCTGTTCTTTGTTACAGCGGCCGCGCCGCCGCTGCCGGGGGGGCCGGGCGGGTCCGAGGCAAAACCCGGCGGAGCCGATCCCGGCCCAGCCACCCGCCCCCCGGCCGGCGCCTCGGAGCTGCAGCCCGGAGCCGGGAGCGCGCGGGTCAGCCCCGAAAGGGGCCGCGCGGAGCCCGGCTGGGGTGGGGCTGGGCAGGTGCCGGGGGCGCGGGAGCCTGCAGGCCCCATGTCGCTCTCTGAGGAGCCGTGGTGCATACCCCTCCCCCCTCCATTATTTCTCCGGAGCGCGGGGTGTAAATGATCCCCCCCCCCCCGCACGCAGCTCGCCCCCGCCCGCCCCCCTTGGTTCCCAACCTCTTCCCAGGGCTGCCGCCGCTGTAAGCCCGGGCAGGAGCTCAACGCTAGTAAATCCGGTTTTAAATATAGCCCCCCGCACCCCTCCTGGAGAGCCCGACACAGACTCGCTGCTGAGACCGGAGAGAGATTGTATCTGTTGTCGCAGGGGTGAAATCACCATAACTTAGGTAAAAAGAAAAGGAGGACTTGTGGCACCTTAGAGACTAACGAATTTATTTGAGCATCAGCTTTCCGTGGGCTACAGCTCACTTCATCATTTATGCTCAAATACATTTGTTAAGCTCTGAGGTGCCACAAGTCCTCCTTTTCTTTTTGCGGATCCAGACTAACACGGCTGCTACTCTGAAACGTAACTTAGGTGTTGATGAACAGACTCTTTGTGAGTCCTTCCGGTCCATAAATGCGCAAGCTGGTTATTTAAACAGCATGTTAAAATACAAGCTGAAAACACTTTGCACGTCCACAGCGAGGCAGGATTTATTGTATATATCCAGAGAGGGTTGTTATTACTTCTGTGTCTGGATACACAAGCCCTTTTTGAGCTCTGTGAATAAGTGAGATGTTTTGACTTCCAATTTTAAGGGATTTGTTCTGTCTTTGGGTCTAGTACATTACCTAGACCTGAAAGGACTTAGCTGTGACAAAGCATTATTCTGCCACAGAAAGTGAAATCTGTGCTAAAGACCCCACCTCCAGTGAGGGAAACCACTGCTGTCAGAAAAAAGAAAAGGAGGACTTGTGGCACCTTAGAGACTAACAATTTTATTTGAGCGTAAGCTTTCGTGAGGTACAGCTCACTTCATCGAATGCATTCAGAAGAAGCCACTTCATAATATCTCTATTTCCTTCAATCGTTAAAGACCACCTCTACCAGGCAGTGGGGCTTTTTCTGATTGGTCCCTTATATATTTTTGAAGTGTGACTCACTACTCTTTTGCATTTAATGTAAACAAGATCTTCTTGGGCAATGTTAACAAATAGGATTGTGCCCAAAGCAATCTTAAAGTTAAATTGGATCGGGCCCTTTGTAAGCAGGTTGGGAAGTGGTCTCATTTAGGAAATTATTAAGTATTATTTACATAATACAGGCATTGCCATCATGATATTGATACATAAATTTCTTAGTAGCTTTACATTTAAAATAGCCCAGCCCTCTTGGCCTCCAAGGGAAATGTACTTTTCAGGCAGTGGTGGTAAGGATGAAAGTGGTATGGTCCTCTCCACCCTGTAACTGTCATGGTGAGTTCTGTATTGTCATTCTGGCCCGTGGAAATGGAAGACACTTGAAAGTTTTGCAGTAACCTTATTTTGTTTAGTAACAGATTTTAGCCTAAAATGTAATGTTGTGGCCTTATTGATATCCCATCTATATTTCTTCAGAAACATTTATCTGCTTATTGGGGTACATCAAATGGTATAAATGAATGTATCTGATACCTAAATTTATTGTTAAAGTATGGGGTTTAAAGGCAGGATGAAGTCAGGAAGACAGGACTAGGGGAGGGCAGGATAACATTTCATGTTATGAGGAAGTACTTTGAGTTTTCTGATGGCCGTTAACAATGTAATGTTCTGGTTTTATTTCAAGCCACTTACATTATAAAACATATTGGCCCTGTTATTTTGATTCTGCTTTATAAGTGCTGGCCTATAACTAAGAACAAGGTGTGATGCTGTAGGTTGAATTATAAAGGAAAAATGTCCTTTTCCATGGTGCATTCAGTGCTCTTTCCTATAAAACATTCATTCCTTGCTGATGCCTTTCATTAAATACACTTTGAAGTTTACTTTTTCTTAGTACACACAAGTGATTATCATGTTCATAGAGGGGCTAAATAAAATGTGCTGTATCTTTTTAAAACAGCACAAACTCAGTACTTTACACTTTGCTAATCTGCACTCTAAGTGATTGGGGCATAAAAAATAAGACATGCTTTCCCCATCTCAGCAAAAAAATTAACAGTAGAACTGTATACTGAAGCCTTGTGTTACTAAAACTTTATTACTTGACAAAATATACTGCAAAAAATCTTTAGTATGGTAAAAAGTATTATATGTAAACTACATAGTGAAATAAGTGAACAAAGTAAATTTTTTGATGAATTCTTCTTGTTTTATGTGTGTATTTGCAACCTTCATTCAGTTGTAGTGTGTCCAGTTATTTGTGCAAATTAGTGAAATTATACTGTAATGTAGAAAGGGAAACCTGTATCATATACTCTCATCCTTGTTTGTTTTCATAATGACAGGTATCCTCATAAATTCAGACAGAATTAAAGGTTTGAGTCTACACGTCTTATGCTTGAGTTTAAAAAAATTATATCGTTTCCCTTTATATCTAGGTTACCAGTTCAATTTGTGAAACCAAAATTGCGCATCTTGCCACTATGACCTACATTTTCCAACTCTGTGTTTTAAATATGTAACAATGTGCTCTCACTCTCGTATGCTCAGATAAATGGAAATATTTTTATAAGTGCAATTTAAATGCATAGGTCCTGATCCTGCAACTTGCACCCTGTGCCTCAGTGGGGCTGACTTAAATGAAGCTCCACGTGGATTTTATAGGTTGTGAATACGGAAAAGCTTTCAGGATTGTAGCCTTAGCACAGTTGGAAAAAGGGAGTTTACCTGCTTAGAGCTCTTGCTTATGTACAAAATTGCTCAGTTAGGTGTAAAATCAGAAAATAGGTGTCACCTACATTTACAATCTGCTGATGATTATTAGATTATTAGAGTAATGCTGCAAACTTTTGAGGGGTGGTTAAAATTCTCCCATTTAGTTGCAAAATCTTAACTGGTTTAACATATAACTATAAGATGCTATCTATCACTTGGGTATAGTTATGTATATTGGTAACTGAAGGGACAAACCAACAGATTCTCTTCGCTAACTATTATATTAAAAGTATATCGAGCTGATGATAGCTTGCTATTTGTGGGCTGACAGAACTCATATGCTCCTCGGTGTAGACAATTTGCTAAAGAAACTTGGGCTGTTCACACATCATTTCTTCAACACTTGACCCCAAAAACAAACGCAGGTTGGTAAGTCAGAAGTCACCTATCAAGCTGATGTGAGTTCCTCACTCTTTCTACTTAAAGGGTATACTGTCCTGCCCTTCCTCCATTGCTGAGAGTACATTCTGCACCTGTGATCTAATGGCCATTGTCCGCTTAGCTGAAACATTATTTGCAGAACTCCTCATGCATGGAGATGGGAACATTGCTGTTCATTTGCTTAGTCACCACGGAACTATTCCTGTCAGTCTCGTACAAAAATGTCTGGGCTTTACAGAAGTTCATTATCACTTCTACAAGCCGATAATTATGTGCAGTGGAATGAGTAACTTAATAGATTTCTCTGCTTGTACGAATGTTAGTATCTTAGGGAGGAAATGGTCTCAGGGATCCCATGGTCTCAGGGTTAGAGCAGAAACTGGAAGTAACAACTATTGGGTTCTGTCTTCAGCTGTGCCACACAGTGTGACTTTGTACAAGTTTTTCCACCTCTTTGGGCCTCATTTACCCATGTGTTAAAGGGACATAATAAAACATATTTCAAAAGGGTATTACGAAAACTTACTTCAGGTTTGCAAAGACCTTTGAAGTCCTTGCCTGAAAAGTTCTATGTGAATGCAAAGAAGAATCATCAGTCCAGTTGTAGGGTTACGCTTCCTTCTTCAAATTTGGGAATACCAAAGTTGTAGAGACTAGACAGAAATCTGTATCATGAGAGTGCATATAGTAATGTACAGTAGTCTTTGAGATCTCTCTCTGCACCTGAGGTGTTTCCTTTAGCAAATTTTATTAGCTCAGTCCCAATGGATATATTTACACAGCAGTTTTGAGTCTACTTGATGTATAATTACGGCTTCTGGTTTTCAGGATTTTTTAATTTAATTTTTCAGGGCTTGTTTTTAGTAAGTTTTGAGTTTCATGTAGATGTCCAAAATTGTTTTTTGGGAGGGGCTTTCTCTTTGTACATATATGGAGTACTGTTTCAAAAATACTATGTTAAAGCGCAGTAGGGAACCTTTAGTACATCCCAGCAGGGTCTACACCAGTGGTGGGCAACCTGTGGGCTGCATGCGGCCCATCAGGGTAATTTGATTGTGGGCCGTGAGACATTTTGCTGATGTTGACTGTCCACAGGCACGGCCTCCCGCAGCTCCCAGTGGCTGTGGTTTGGCCACAGGTTGCCCACCACTGCATTAGATACAAGCTGGGGAGCAGGGACATCGCCTGTATAAACAAACTGCACTTGGAAAGGGATGATGTCAACACGAATTGAGTAACCACTTCTGGTGTTTTTCTGGTGTTAATGGGATAAACAGCAATTGAAGTGTTTCATTGGTGTTTGTTGGTGAAACCTAAAATCAGAAGCCTTCTACATATTGCATTATCTGTTCTGTCTTTGCTCAACATAATACAGTAGGTCATTGTGCTAAACTTGTTGAAAAGACCTCTGATGCATCAGAAACCATTGTGCGGTGTAAGAAACAAAAACACTTGTTTAGAAAGGTGGATATTAAGTTGATGTAAAACATTTACTGAGAGTTAGCACCTTATCAATTAATTAATGAAGTGTATTTGTTTTCTATTCTCTTCTCATCTCCTTAAAGGGTAGCATTATGATGTTACTGTGTTCTCCCCTTTCTCTGTTAAATCACTCTCACTTTCCCAGAACAAATAGCAGTTTTGGTTCTTGCACAACAGTACACATCTGCATCCTCATTATTATGAAAAACATGTTTTGATTTAATCTGCTGTTTGTGAAAAATGCCATTTTGATAGTCCTGAAGCCAGAGTTGCTTGCACAACAGGTTTGACACAGGCAGTGTGCTACACCAATGAGTCTCAGCCCTATTCTATAGGGATTACTTTAGGACCCATCCACACGATGTATGGAAACCATTGCAAGGGCACAGACTATGTATGACCTAGAATTCCACAAGTGTCACAGCCGTTGTCAGCACTGAACACACGATGGAGAAGCTGTATGGGCTCTTTTACACTAGAACAGTGGTTCTCAACCTGTTTACCATTGTGGGCTACATATGCAGCTCACTGTTTATGTGAGCTGCAGCCGCACAATATATATATACTATCTGTATGGCCCTGAGGATGTCACATGGGCTGCAGTTGTGTGCTGATTGGGCTGTGGGTGAGAAACAATGCACTAGAAGCACATTTCATTAAAGCTTGAATGGGTGACAATGGTTGGAAGTAGTATCTGGTGGAATTCATAAGGAGACTGAGAATATCCAGATTATCGTCCCGGGGGACGTTGCCCGGAGGACAGATTCAGGAGGAGTCCGAGTGACTGGACAATAGTGGCCCACCCTGTCCTCTTTCTTGCTATGGAACTTGCCCAGTGGAGTGCTGGCTCAGATCCACTTGGTAATGAAACAATGTTGTGTCTAATTAATCAGAAGTAGCTTCTTGATTTCAGAAGGAGGAAGAACATGTTTGGTATCTCTGTGCAGAGCTGACCTTGAGTTTCAGTGATCATCAATGCAGCTAAGAGCTGTAGAGGAAATATCTGATATTTCCTTCTGATACATATATGTGGTACTGGCAAGTCTGCAGCTTGGACTATTGTGCTAGGAGTGTGAATTGCAGGGAAGTCTTAAAAATATCCCTGAGGCTCAACAGAAAGAGTTGAGCATGAGTTGACTTCATTTACATGGTAGGGCTGTTGATGGAACTTGCATGCTTATCCCATGCGCATTTTAGGAGCCATCATCCAGAATGACTATTGCTCCATTCAGAAGCAATTGCTGGTGACTCTGAGATGGTTCTTGGATATTTCTATTTTCTGGACAGGCAAACTGCATGAGGCATGAATAAACCTGGTTTGTACAAGAAGGGACAGTGTTTCTGTTGTCATGAGGGGTCTCTGCTTCTTCAGTGATACTGGGTGACTGCTGTGCTAGATGTATCTTTGGTGAGCGTTTCCTATGGCAGCATGAAGACCTTTTGATTCTCAGAACAGACTAGCTTTGCTGTTTATACCATCTGCTGGGTGTGTGTTTAGTCTTTCTCCCTCCTCCCTCAGTTTGCAGTTTTAATCTCTCATTCTTCTATATTTATCCTCTCTCAAATGCATCCAGCCTCTTTCTCTCCTTTCTTAGTTCTTCTGCTGATCATTTTGCCTTCTCATCTCCCACTTCAGCTCTGGGAAGAGCCTGTCCCTTGTTTGGGGGTTCTGCTTCTCTTTCTTGTGCCTCTAGATATGTCATTAGAGGACCAGGATGACCTCTCGGAGTTGGGAGAGAAATGATCTTCCTGGCCTTGTTTGTGCTTGCCCAATTTTTTGCTGTGAGCCCCAGATAATCACTAACAAAATCTAGGGTCCAGTTATAACAACCAGCCATTGACCGTTTAGGTTATTTAGACATCAGTGAAAAGCAATTATCCAATGCTTCTCATCCGTTAACACTCAAAGTGCTTTAGAAGTGAGGGTATGGGTTCTTAGCCTCATTCACTGGTGAGGGAAAATCTGTTTGCATAGAGGTCAGGTGACTTGAGTAAGTACAATCACAAAGTCGGTGGACTAGATTGTGCGTTTTCTAACTCCCAGTACTTAGATTGTAAGCTCTCCGAGGTAGGGACTGTCTTTTGTTCTGTGTTTGTACTGCGTCTACCACAATGGGATCCTGATCCATGACTGGGGCTCCCAGTAATAATAGTACTGTATCCTCTCTATCAAAGCGTGCGACCTCTCTGGACCAGATGTGCAAAGGCATGAATGATTTACAGCCAAAATTTAACCCAAGCTCGTGGTTGGTGCTTATCAAAGAAATAACTCTCCTCTCTCAGAGTTTTTCCTTTGTTGTGCTGTAATACCAAAAATAAATCAAATAAAATCAGTCTTCCGCAGCTGGGGTTGTAGTTTTTAGAATTCCAGCTCCTTAGCTCTCTGACCCATGACCAAAAAACCCAGCGTCATGACTTGAGCATTGAGATTCACATTGCAGCATTTCTCCATTCTGCTTGCTCTGTCCAATCTCCTTAGTGAACATAGGATTGACGTTATGGATTCTTGTCATTTTCGACATCCTTCTGGCTCAGAAGTACAGTATTTGCAGGTGGAGGAAGGAATGATGTGATGTGACTGTGATCCACACCAAAGCTGGCAGACCTCATTTCAGGCTTGTGAAGCAAAGGCATTGAGAAATGAATCTTCTACTTCATGCTCAATTTGACTCTTTATGACTGAGAGTTTTGTGGGATCTGAGCTCATTGTGAGGTTATGTGCCATGTGCTGTACTGTCTAGATGATAGAAGGTATGAATTCCTGAATAGTTGGTGCACGCTTAAAACATTTCTGCCCCCTTTTTTGTGAATCTTGCCTTAGCTGACACATTACTAACAGGTGCTGTTGTAATGTACAGTGGAATGCACTTAGAGTAAACTCAGAGAGAAGGTCAGTTTATAGTGAAATGGAATAAAAGTCCCACATTGTTTAGTGGATGTTTATTCGTAGTGAGCAATTATGTGGAAGGGAAAAAATACTTGACAGTAAAAGAAAAAGTTACATTGTGTTTATGTGCCTGCTTGGAAAGGTGTGATAATACATGAGCTGGTGGTGAACTGTTTAAATAAATGCTTGTGTAAGGATTAAGGGTTGAAATAATGTATTTCTGCTGTTTTCGTTAAAAAAAACTGCATGAACCAGAGTGGTTACAAAAAGCATCATATTTATTGTAGGCGGGGTCTTGCAAGGCACCTGATATCACCCTTAATATAGGCATTAGGGGATCATTAACCGCTTTAATTTGTGTTTTACATTCTATGTATGATATACTCTGCTCGGGTTCAGTAGTCTCTTTGCACATGCATTGGGGTCAGTTAATATTATCACTCAGTAGGTAACTCTTTTATTAGATCTGTGTATTAGAACTGTGTCAGGAAGCAGCATTTACATTATGCTCAGTTTTCTCCCTTGTATTTTGACAGGTTTCAGAAATGGCAGAAGATGGCAGCAATGAGACCATGTTTATTTGTAAGTATTAGAAGAATAATGATGGAGTCGTAATGTGAAGTGTATTTACAAAGCATTAATTTTGAAGTTCAAACCAACTTACTCTTATATTGTTTTCCTAAAGGTGATTATTTAAGGGAAACCCAAATAGTTTATGGCAGTGTGGAGGGAATTGCACCAAAGTTAAGAATACAAATTCTCAGTTTTTTGTTGGGAAATGCAAGAAATGGCTAGATATGAATTAGAAGCTCAGCTTTTTAATTGCTAGCCTCCAAGAGACTAAGGGTATGTCTACATTGCAATTAGACACCTGTGACTGGCTCATGCCAGCTGAGTCAGGCTAAGGGGCTCTTTAATTGCAGTACAGAGGTTTGGGCTCAGGCTTGGACCCAGGCTCTAGTACCCTGCAAGATGGGAGGGTCCCAGAGCTGGGGCTCAGCTAGATCGCAAACGTCTACACCGCAGCTAAACAGTCCCTTAGCCTGAGCCCCGCAAGCCCAAGTCAGCTGGCACGAGCCAACTGTGGGTGTCTAACTGCAATAGACATGTCCTAAAAGCCTAAAGGTTATCCATGGCTAAATTGTTTCCTTTAGGTTAGGTGACTGCTGCCATCTTGACTGACACACTGGGGAAGGAACCGGGGAGCTCCAGAGCTAAAAGCTTGAGCTGCTACAGCTTGGGCTAAACAGTCAAGACTCTCTAGCTGGGGCTGTGACAGCCTTGCATCCTCTGTGGATATGGCACAGAGGTGGAACTGGAACACACCCTCGCCAGTGAGCTACACTTACATAAGTGGACGGGACCTAGATCTAGCCAATCTGACCTGGGGAGATCAAGAGCAGAGAGTGCTGCCTTGATGGTATGTGTCATAGTCCCTTCCTCTCACAGTCCCTGTAGGTGCACTTCAGGGTTGGGGCTCCACAGGTCAGGACGGGACTGACTGGGACATCTTCTCTCTTTCCAAAATTTGCTGGAGTTCCCCCCTAAATAGTAATGCTGATTCAGTTGATATAGTCCTACTTGGGTTGTTCAGCTCCACAGTGAGCCTTCTTCCCCTTCCCCTCCTCAGAAGAGCCGTAGAAGCTGGAGAGGACCAGGAAGCAGAGAAAAAGGCTCTGACCTCTATGGGTTTAGGGGGGCAAGTTATCTTGCCAGTTCCACAGATGGTGTATGTCAAACACCCCCCACCCCCACCCCAGATGGGACAGGAATGTTGAATTCATGAAGTTTCTTGCCTCCTATGTGAGATTTTTCCACAGAATTTAAGGGCCTCTTCTGTTTCAGAAAAGTGAATGTCTAGACCTGACATTGTGGGCTTCCATAGTTACTGACCATCAGAGCGTTTCATATCCAGTTACCTCAGTTTATAAGCCAGACAACTTGTTTCTAAAATGTCAGCTCTTCCATGCTTAGTCTGGGGCCTGAAAATTGTGGCTGTCTCTTTCTGTTGCATGCAGCACCACCAGAAATATGGGTTTGACAGTCGTGTTGGTAAACCTAAGGCCAAATATAACATGTGGTGCTCTTCAGCAATTATGACAACTTTGCAGTGCCAACAGCAGTGACACTTTTTCCTTTCTGCCAGCAAACTAAGCACATGTGACTGAAAAGATGCACATAAAGTCCTGTACTTGGACTTCAGTGGGAGCAGGGAATTCTACCTTTGAATTCAGTGGGAGCAGGATTGAGCCATCATTAGGGAATAGGAATATGCAGTGGAGGGAGTTGTAGTCTAGTGGTTAGAGCTGGGAATTGGAAGCAGACTTCTTGTGTTCTGTTCATAACTCTCCCAGTGACTGTGCCAAAGTTTACCCAGTTGCAAAATGGATATAATACCTGCCTCATATGTTACTGAGACTTAGTTGTTTGCAAAGTGCTCTGAGATCCTTAAATAAAAAGCACTATATAAATGCAAAATATTATTAAGGTTTGTACTTTTAAAATATTTATTGATTAGAGTTATTCTTCAGCCATAAACTCACTTTTAAAAGGGATCTTCACTGCTAAAGCTCAACCTCATATACTCCCCTTTGAGAAATCTATGGTTTATCTCTTTGTGTCTGACTTTGTATTTCTTCTGTGGTCGTAAGCCCTTAAGTATCACACGTGGTGAGTACTCCAACTCAGGGAAGGGTCTGCTATGAGGCATCCTGTACAGATTCTGTAGACTTCAGAGACATATGTCCAAAAACGCTAGTGTTCCCCGCTTTGATGACTGTTCATCCACCAGGATATTAAAAAAAATGATATATGCTTCTTGTACTCCTAAATAGTGCTGGACAATAAGAAATGTGGAGAGCCACAGGCTGTATGTACATTGTATACTATCTTTGCACAAGTTTCAGGCACTCTTAATTTGAATGCTGAACATTGAGTGAAAGCTTCAGCTACAGCAAATCCTCTAAGGAAGTGCTGTGTAAGTTTCACAGATGTGAACACTGCTGGTGAGAGTTTAGTTTCCCATTGTAAAAGCAAGGTGTTCTTTCTCAGTAGTTACAGTCTGGAATGAAATTCTGTATCGTGTTAATTTGCAAACATGTATGCAATAATATTCTTGTGCAACCTTACTGAAGTCCTCAGGGTTCCCTACGTTTGACGTGGAGCAGAATTTGGCAGCTGGGGAATATCCTCTCTGTGATGACTTCTTGTCCCTATCCAATCAACTGGCTTCACAGTAACATTTTGACAACTCTTTGACATAGAAACGTATGTTTCGACTGGTCCTAAATTGACTCTTATTTTATCATTATCCAGGGCAAAGGTTGTTTCTTGGGATCCCTTTAGCCCTGGATAACTTACAGTATTTTAAAATAAAAGTCAAATTAGGGGAACTGAAAGCTTGTATTATTTTGCCCGGTAATAAAGAATTGCCAGATTGTATTGGAAAGGGACCAGAGGTCCAGAGGAGCTGTTGCCATAGTGCCAAATTTCCCCCCCCCAGCCATACACTTGCAAGGGAGGGTTGCACAGGTTCAACTGTGGGCAGAGCTTGGGACCCAGGGGGAAATCCAATGGCAGTTTTCCATGGATTTCAGTAGGGTCAGGATTTCACTCCCAGTCTCTGAGAGCCCATCAGGTTTTGACTATGCATTTTAAACCCCGGACTCCAGTGAACAGAATAGTGATTTTTTTTAGCTGAGAGAGGCTAGCGCAGTGGGGGTTTGTGTTTTTTTTGTTTGGTTGGTTGTTTTTTTAAGTCCTCCTGCCTTTAAACAAAATATTTACTGGAGTTTTGTTTAGCAAATATTTTCTTTAGGAAGATATTTACATTTTTAAAGTGTCTTCTGGTAGTCTTAGGTATGTGTTGAATGATACCTTTGATTCAATTGTGTATATCTTTTGGGGCAGTACAAATTACTACTTTATTGTATGTCATTAGTTTGGTGTTTAAATTTTCTATGTGTCTGTTGACTGCGAGAGCACTGCCCAATGACAGCATTTACCTTACAGCTCTATGTGCTGTTTACTTACAGGGTGTGAGGATTGTGGTCAGTACCATGATTCGGAGTGTCCTGAGCTGGGCCCAGTGGTGACAGTCAAAGACTCCTTTGTGTTGAGCAGGGCAAGGTAAGTAACTTTAGTGTGACTATATGGCTTGTTTGTTTTTTAAAGAGAATTTCGTCTTTGTGAAAGGTGCCAGACTGACAGCTGAAAAATGAAGTCATCTGTCGACAAAATAGATACAGCCTGGATTAAACAAAGAATCAAAGCACATGCTTAAATGATTTGCTGAATCAAGGCCTAAGAGAGGCTCTGTTTATGCATTCCTTGGCAACTCTTAGAGATTGCTGACAAAGGAGTCAGATAGTACCAGTTGTGGTGGAGACTTGTTTCCTATATTGGTTGAAAATGTTTGACATTTATCCCGTTCCTTCTCCTTACACGTGCTGCACTAGATTTTCAAAATTCAAAATGGTTCATGGGAATTTCCCATGGCGTTAAGAAGAGTTACACAGTTTTGCACTGCCTCTGTAATTCCTCTACTGTGAGAAGCAAAACTTCGGAACATTTCCATCTTTGTAAGTCTTCTAAAGAGTGATCATCAATCCCAGTTTTGTCAGTAAATCTAGGTGTATAATAAAATAGCAGAAATACTTATGCTCCGCAAAAGAAATTAACAAATTAAATAGAGAGTTAGGAATAGGAGTAAACTTTATATCGAAGCATTAAATGTTTCCCTTTGGAATTATATTCTGATGTGGAATGTTTGATTTTTTGCTATGGGAAAGAGAGTTCACTTACAATGGAATTTTGACACACAGTAGAACTCAGAGAAGGATACTGATCTCTAACATATGGCATGGGGGCAATGCGGTGAATGTTTGATCAGTACCAGACTGACTCATTGAGAGCTAAACTGTCCATATCAACTTTCTCTTCTTCGTAGCGCCGCTGGTGGACGAACACCCCCCCTCATACCACCAGCAGTGACACTAATGTTTAGATGACCCAACTGATGTCACTGTATAAATGTATTATAAGAGGAGATGGTCCCTGTCCTGAAGGGCTTACAGTCTAAATAAACACGATAGGCAAAGGGTGGGAGAAATATTGCCATCCCTGGTTTACATCCGGGGAGCTGAGGCTGAGTGAGATTGACGTGCCTAAGGTCCAATGGGAAGCTTGCAGCAGAGCAGGCGCACTGGAACACAGATCTCTTGAGTACCAGTCCAGTGACTTAACCACAAGATCACCATGCTGACAAATGTCCTTTCCTCTCTTATAATAGCATGATCTCTTAGGATGTTAAAACTAATTTTACAATTCTCCTTTGCTTTTCACTAAAAGACTAATTGGTTTACTTTTTGTATTTCTCTCAGCCTTGACAGTGAAAATAGACTGGTCAGATTCACCTTTGTTTATAATTGGTTTCTAGCCAATTTAATTCTCAGGTTCTCATGCACTAGAGCAGTGTTGAAAAGTTGGGGTAGCTAACAATGCAGGGGAATGTTTGTCTTTTTATAAACTTGACTTAATTGGAAATTTAAAAGTGTTTGGAAACCATTTCCCTTGAGCATAGGCTTTGTAACAACTTGCGTTTATAAAACTTATATTTGGGCCAAATTTGACTGGCCTGCATAACTTTTTGAAGGTTAAAGTTCTATAAATGCACGGGGTCAGATCACTCCTCCAGTGGGAAAACGCATGGGGGGAATCTATGCGGGGGAGAAACTTTGAATTACCCCATGTACCTCATCCCTCCCATCTGAGGTGAGGTATTGAGGAGGGAGAGGGGCATGGATTTTGAAAGCTCTGCCCCAAGCCAACCCCACACATCTGGAAAACTTGGGAGTGTGGAGGGAAAGGAACTCACTGGCTTTTCTTTTTTGTAACACAGCTGTTACAGAAGCTTAGTTGCCATTGCCTCAGTCCCCCTGCGGGTGAGGAGGGCCATTCAGTGGGAGGTAATAACAGCACCAGCTGTATTATTCGCTGCCCAGATTTGCATGAGGAAATCTGAGCCCAGAGAAAGGGATGGTATTGTGGAGAGCAGCCCCTCCCTGGTCTCTTTTTCTTACCCTTCTACAAAACCCTGTCAGCACAGCTCTCACTGAAGGCATCAATTAGGGGCTGGAAGAGGGATAGTATAGAAAAATACAGTCCCTCCTCTCCATTTCTATGCCTAAAATTTGGATCACAATAAGTTAAATAGGAAAACAGATTTACTGGGTGTGGCTGCAACACTTGAATATAAATGCATGCTTAGGGTTCTTACAAGCCAACATATTTTTCTTCTACACCAGTGTCGAAGAACAATGGAGAATGGTTTACAGTCTCTTACATCAGGTTCCCATCCAATTATTACCTAAACTGCATGATGGCTCTCGTTACAGGAAGTTATTTTCAAATGTTTGTCACGTTTGGGTACAGTTCCCCTTAAAAACAGATTTGGAAAAATGGTGAGACACCAATGACCAAGGCACCTATGATCTGAAGGAAAGCTACTGCTAACCTCTGGATTTAGAAGGGAGACAGGATTTGACATCAGAGATGGGAAAGATTCTGATTAAAAAAGAAAATATCGTGAAAGCAAATGATCTATGAAAAGATACTGGTGGCTCAGATTTGGACCAAAAAATAGATTTTTTTAAAAATCAGCTTTTATAGAATTGAAGGTCAGTAGAAATGTTTCCATTGTTTATTTTTTTTAAATTCCAATGGAAACTAGCTTTATTCAGCATAACAACCTCCTGTCATTGCAGCATTGAGAAATAGGTGCTGATTTCTTTTGGACATTGCAAGACTTATGTTCTGCACAGCTACTTTACATGGTACTTAGATTCTCTCATTTTTGTTTTCAATAGGTCATCCCTTCCTTCCAATCTGGAGATCAGACAACTGCAAGATGGGACTGAAGGAGTATTTGCAGTGACGCAGCTTGTCAAACGTACCCAGTTTGGCCCATTTGAATCCAAGAGAGTTGCCAAACTGGAAAAGGAGTCAGCATTTCCACTGAAGGTACAGTACGGCACCAGCAAAATGATACTGACATGACATTAGTTTTAAGGTCATCACCTACAGATGATGTAAAGAAACTGATAAGTAGAGATGGGTTCAAACCACAAAACTTGGAGTCAGATCTTGAACTGTAGGGTGCTCCAGGTATTTTTAATGAAGGGTTCAATTTGATCCCACTTCTCTAATAGGTAGTCACAAAAGCCAGTACGCTTTTGCCTTGACAAGTACATAAGATGTGGTGGTGCTGTTTATACAACATGCAGAAGAAAAGTTTGTTTGTTTTCTCATTTTTGTTTCATTCTCTCCCCTTGAAAAGTTTCAGTGAAAAAACTACTTCGGGTGTTTCAGTGCAATCTTCCCATCACAGTAATATCTGATTGAGCAATAAAGATCTAGAAACCAAATTCAAGGGTAATAAGCGTTCAGGATTTTTTTTCCCTTACCCTTGATAGGTGAACAAGTTAAATGGCATTTCTGTTTTGAGGGAGGAATTGTGATCTAGAAGTTAAAGCAGCTTACTTTGAGTCAGAACTCCTGGGATCTTCTCCCACTGTCTGTGTGACCTTGTGCAAGTCTTTGTGCCTCGGTTTACACATCTGAAAGCATATGTGATATATACCTTGCAGGAGTGTTGAGGCTTACTTTGTTTCTAAAGCGTTTTGAGACTCATTGATGAAAGGCACCATCAAGGCACAAAATACACAGTCTGATTTATTATTCATAACAATAATGTGTTATAGGACTGTCAATTAATCGCAGTTTACTCATGCGATTACCTCAGAAAAATTAATCGCGATTAATCGCAGTTTAGTTGCACTGTTAAACAATAGAATACCAATTGAAATGTATTAAATATTTTGGATGATTTTCTACATTTTTAAATATATTGATTTCAGTTACAACACAGTATACGAAGTTGACTGTGCTCGCTTTATATTATTATTTTTTATTACAAATATTTTCACTGTAAAAATGATAAACAAAAGAAATAGTATTTTTCAGTTCACCTCATACAAGTATTGTAATGCATTCCCTTTATTGTGAAAGTGCAACTTACAAATGTAGATTTTTTTTTTTTTTTGGTTACATAACTGAACTCAAAAACAAAACAATGTAAAACTTTAGAGCCTACAAGTCCACTCAGTCCTGCTCGTTGTTCAGCCATGCTAAGAGACACAAGTTTGTTTACATTTATAGGAGATACTGCTGCCCGCTTCTTATTTACAATGTCACCAGAAAGTGAGAACAGGTGTTCGCGAGGCACTTCTTTAGCTGGCGTGCAAGGTATTTACGTGCTAGATATGCTAAATATTCGTATACCCCTTCATGCTTTGGCCTCCATTCCAGAGGACATGCTTCTATGCTGATGGTGCTTGTTAAAAATATAATGTGTTAATTAAATTAGTGACTGAACTCCTTGGAGGAGAATTGTATGTTTCCTGCTCTGTATTACCTGCATTCTGCCATATATTTCATGTTATAGCAGTCTCGGATGATAACGAAGCACATGTTGCTCGTTTTAAGGACACTTTCACAGCAGATTTGACAAAATGCAAAGAAGGTACCAATATGAGATTTCTAAAGATAGCTACAGCACTCAAACCAAGGTTTAAGAATCTGAAGTGCCTTCCAAAATCTGAGAGGGTCAAGGTGTGGAGCATGCTTCCAAAAGTCTTAAAAGACCAACACTCTGATGCAGAAACTACAGAACCTGAACCACCAAAAAAGAAAATCAGCCTTCTGCAGATGGCATCTGACTGAGATGATGAAAATGAACATACGTCAGTCTGTATACTGCTTTGGATCGTTATCAAGCAGAACCCATCATCAGCATGGATGCGTGTCCTCTGGAATAGTGGTTGAAGCATGAAGGGACATATGAATCTTTAGCGCATCTGGCACTGAATATCTTGCAACGCCGGCTACAAAAGTGCCATGCAAACGCCTGTTCTCACTTTCAGGTGATGTTGTAAACAAGAAGAGGGCAGCATTATCTCCTGCAAATGTAAACAGGAGATTGTCTGAGTGATTGGCTGAACAAGAAGTAGGACTAAGTGGACTTGTAGGCTCTAAAGTTTTACATTGATTTGTTTTTGAATGCAGGTTTTTTTGGTACATAATTCTACATTTGTAAGTTCAACTTTCATGATAAAGAGATTGCATTATAGTACTTGTATTAGGTGAATTGAAAAAATACTTTTTTTTTACAGTGCAAATATTTGTAATAAAAAATAAATATAAAGTGAGCGCTGTACACTTTGTATTGTGTTGTAATTGAAATTAATATATTTGAAAATGTAGAAAACATGCAAAAATATTTAAATAAATTGTATTCTATTATTTAACAGTGCAAAAAATCACAATTGATTTTTTAATTGCCCAATTAATCGTGGTTAATTTTTTTAATCGCTTGACAGCCCTAATGTATTATTTATCGTGTTTGTATTATATATGCATTTTGTTTGTATGGGTGGCTCACAGGTTTTCCAGAAGGATGGGCCTCTGGTTTATTTTGATACCTCTAACGAAGATGACTGCAATTGGATGATGATGGTGAGAGCAGCCACTGAATATGAACACCAGAACCTGACTGCCTTCCAGCATGACAATGATATTTACTTCACCACCTCCCGGGATATCCCACCAGGAACTGAGCTGCGAGTGTGGTATGCAGCTTTTTACGCCAAAAAAATGGAAAAGCCAGTGCTGAAGCAGGTCACTAGTGTTGCCAATGGTACGTTTGGGGGGGCCTTTTTCTTCTTCCCTAAGGGCCCAGTCCAGCTAGGTGCTGATCATCCTCCTGAGCTCAGTGGCAGTTGAGGGTGCTCAGTACCTCGTAGGATCTGGCCCTGAATTTGTAAATTATGTAAAAAATCGGACTCTCAGATGCATTTCTGCCCTACAAGAAGGAAGCCTAAGGTCTGCACCAAGAGGTATCTGAGTCTTCAAAAAAAGATGCATGTTCTAATTGGTTCTGCAGCGGCTTGAGAACCAAGATGGGAGGAATCAATAATTTCATCAAAATGGTTCTTCATGGAAGAGCTTTCCCGTCTCTTCCCAAAGAAATTCAAATGTCAGCACAGTCCAAACATATAAATAGATAACCTGCGAAGCAGTCTTCTTTTCTTTTAATTGGAATAAGCTTTCTGTCCTTGCCGTGGGGTGTTGTACAATTGGGAGCAATTACATGCGCCTTTGAAGTCTTGTGTAGGGCCCTGTGAAACAAGGAGAGGAGTTCAAACTGAGCTTTTGTTCAGCATGATTACTCGAGCTTCTGCAAAGGAAGGTTGACCGCTTTGTTAGAGTTCTTTAAACTGATGTTAAAGCTTCTATGCTTTGTGCTACTGTAAAATTAATAATAATCATAATTTCCCCCTCAATTCTCTTCTACCTTTACATTTCTGTAGCCAAAAAACCCAAACCTTTTAACATTGCAAGAGTGTTATTGTTGCTGTTTAGTTGAGAACACTTTAATGTACAGTGTGGTTCCTGGGTTGAGAAGAATTTCCAAGATGATGAATGTAGCCATGATTGTTTGGTGATGTGCCAGCACCATCAGTGTGCTTGGTAACGTTGTGTTCTTGACAGTGCAGCAGGCCATCTGAAGTGCTGTAAAGCTGATTGGTATTTAGGTCATTCTGGCAAAGTAGTTTTGGGCCCCCAAGATGTTTCTGAGTGGTGTAAATTGAAAGCCTACATTTTGTTTGGTTGTTTTTTTCCAAGCAAAAAAGCACCAGAGTTGGTTAATCTTGTGAATGTGTTGTGAGATGAAATCAAATATCCTCTATCCAGGTTTTCTGATTAGCTTAGATCAAGCTTCAAGTCTGTGCTAAATATTGGAATGAATGTACACATTTGTAGGTTAATCCTTTCCAAATGGCTTCAAAGCATTGGTGGCTTATATAGCATTAGTGATCTTTGTTGTCAAATGAAAATATGGAGACCTTACATACCTCTGTAAGGTAGTATATCCACACACAGTGAAACCCATATGTATGCATACTGAGTGTGCACCTGTGCTGTGCGATGCCGCTCTAGCCTAGATTCTAAACTGGAAGCTATTCTGCAGATTTCAGGCATACATAGTGTTTTGCCTTGATTAGGCTCTCTCGCGGAGTAAGTTGTCGAAGACCTGCTGGGTGGCATAGCCCGCAGCACCCACAGATGTCACACTGGCACAACAGCAAGGGTACCACTCAGATACTGGGAAAATAACAAAAAGGAACTATTTTTTCCTTCACCGCAGATGTATGCTTAGTAGTGATGGAATGCGACAAGGAAGGGAACAAAATCTCTTCAAAGCCTCCCAGTGCAGTCTTCTCTCTTAAAAAAATCAAGAAGTCCAGTGTGCCTGTGGCTGACTTTGCAGGTAAATAAAATATTTCATCCTCTGTTCCTGTCTATGGTGTATGAAGCCAATAGTGACAGTGTATGGGCAGATCTGGATGGAGCAAAGGAGTGCTCAGTGCACAGTGTTTCTGAGAAAAAAAGAAAAGGAGTACTTGTGGCACCTTAGAGACTAACCAATTTATTTGAGCATGAGCTTCCGTGAGCTACAGCTCACTTCATCAGATGCATACCATGGAAACTGCAGCAGACTTTATATATACACAGAGAATATGAAACAATACCATAGGTATTGTTTCATTGTTTCATATTCTTTGTGTATATATAAAGTCTGCTGCAGTTTCCACGGTATGCATCTGATGAAGTGAGCTGTAGCTCACGAAAGCTCATGCTCAAATAAATTGGTTAGTCTCTAAGATGCCACAAGTACTCCTTTTCTTTTTGCGAATACAGACTAACACGGCTGTTACTCTGAAACAGTGTTTCTGAGGTGATGGAAACGTTATGATTACGTGACATACAGTAAATATGTATGAGCTCAATCCATCTCTGATAGTTAACGGGGAGAGAATTTAAATCTATGGATTTTCATTTTATTACCTTCCTGAGTGCTGTGCTTAAAAATCAATTGAAGACAGAAAAAGGAGTGAAGGGACATGGAAACTTTTTCAAGCAGATGTTTTTTATCCTAAATGCCACTGACGGCTTTTAATTTATTTTTTTTCATGTTACGTCCTTTTTTTTTTTTGCAAGACATAATATCTGAAATATGGTAGAATACAGGAAGAAAACCAAAAAGATACAGCAAAAGTGGGAGCAACCCCTTTTTTAGGGGTTAACAAGAACAGTGGTTACCCCTGATTACCCCTAAATCTTGTGTTGGCTAAAGTAGAAGGATGTAGTTAAAAATCTTAAATAAACTTGGAAAACCTAAATTTGTTACAAAGATTGGCTCCCACTTCCCATAGGCACAAAGCAGAAAAAAAATCTAATCTCTGGTAACTGGGGCAAAGCAATTTTTTAAAAAGCATTAAACTTTTTTAAATTGCCACACTGAAAACCCAAATCAGGGTGCATGCATGATCCTGGAATCCAGATCAAAAAGAAGTAATCTGGGACTGTTCTTTGAAACATAGTTACACTAACTTTTGCTTATTGACATTAAAAATGTCTTTTTCTTGGTTGTAGAAGTGTAAAACACTCCACCAGAACATCCCCCCTTTGTTAGCTCCAGTACTGTTATTGCTAGAAGGTAGAGCTGGACAGGAAACTGAAATTCAGTTCTGTGAGAAATTTTAAATTTTCAGAAAAATTTTTCATCCACAATTGGGACAAAATCTAAGACTCAAGACATTTTCATGGAACTAAGCTCCTGCAATATTCTGTGTTGGAAATGGGAACGTGTTTCCAAAATGAAATATGGCCCTTGGGATTCCTGGCTATCCACATGGCAGGCTGTGGGATTTCAATAGATTGTGAAATATTCAACTTTGGGGATCTTAAACAATCTGCAGAATGTTCTAGATTTCTCAGGTCCACCTGATGGATCCTTTGATGACCTGTTTGGAACTTAATCTCTGTTCACAGCCCACAATTATTTAACAGTTTTTGTGATTCTGTTACTTTCCTTTTTCCTGAAAAATCCCTAATAGCATTATGTGTTGCATGTTACTTAAAATAACGTCCTACTTTTCTTTCTTTGTATGTAAGAGCTGGGAAGTTGCTTAAGCAAAACACCAATATGCTCGTCTGGCAAAATATCCAGCTCATGAAACTGTTCAAATATGTGATTTCCTTATCACCACCCTTATTTACTTTAACCCAAATGTTAGTGTTTCCATGATGCTTTTCAGATAGTACTTTGTTCAGTCTGTGTCCCCAGTTTGTCCAGAGCTGGGTAACTCCGGTTTTGAAGGTGCCCAAGATTGGTCGCTCCAGGTGTGCTTTTTGTACTGTTTCTTTCATCTCCATTTAATTTAGGAAGAAGGAGATCCTATCTACAACTCAGAAGAGACGTAGGAAGGCTCCCACCTCATAAATCTCTCCTGTTTTTTTTTCCAGTTTCTGTTTTGGCTCCTTAAATGTTGGCATGGGAAAGTCCTGTTTGCAGCCTTCCCTTGGATTAAACGTTAGTCTTTGAGTGTCATTTCTGGCATTTTGTACATTTTAAAGTATCTGAGGAGGTGTGGTTTTTATCCCTCCTGTTCTTTACCAGACTACCATACTAGTGCCAGGTTAGCAGTAGCTGCCTCCTTGAGTCTTTCATGACTGATTGATTGTAATCTGCTCTTCTGAGGGCTTCCTTACAGGATAAACAAGATCATAAATCCCAGAAAGTTGTTGAAGGGTTTGCTGTCTTCATTTTAAAAACTTGTAATAATTTCTCCTTTGCATGTTCCAGTGAGCGCTCCAGAGAGTAGTGGGCCCCTTGAAGCGGAGTCCAACCAGTGGATATGTAAAGTGTGTTCATCTGTTTTCCCAGAACCTCAGTTGCTGACAGGTAAGGGGAATTTGGAATTTGTATCAAACATATACCCAGAAATATTCTGGAAGTTCTGTTCTTCCAAGCCAGCAGATTATGGACAGGGAAGTGGCTTCACAATACCATAAATTACACTTCTGTAGATTTTTTTTTTCCCCAGATCCTAAGAAAAAAAGAGTAAAACTGCAGTGGCAACTGATATTGACTGTAGGCGTCCTGTCTGATAAAATGTTTTCGTTATTGGATCTGGAACGAAAGAAACACTTGTATAACATATCATAGATGAATATTAAGACTGTCAAATGACAGGGAATTGTATACGCAAAACAGTGCAAAATTAGTGACAGGCTTATGCTCAGTGATGTTATGAATGAAGCGATTGGCGCTGAAAGACACTATAAGTAAAAGCGAATGGAGCTTGTCATTTTCATACTTTGTCTTTATAGCTATTGAGCATAATTTTTGAGAGTATCCAAAAGGCTTAGCAGTGGAGGTCCTGTTGACTTTCAATGAAACTTAGGCTACTAAGTCATTTTGTAAAATGGGACGCTGTTATATCACTGAGGCACATCAATGGGCCACAGATCTGTTCAGTACAATATAATGTAATTATTTTGGCTGACACACCAGGGATTGAACCAGGAACCTTCAGAGCAAAAAGTATGAACTGCTACAGCTTGAGCTAAAAAGGCACGGCTCTGTAGTTGGGGTGTGTAACAATTCATATCCTCAGCAGAGTGACTCAGAAGGGGGACCTGAGCACGCACTCACCAATTTAACAACAAATATTAAAACCTCTAAAATTTCAATCCATCTCAATGATCAATTTAGTTTATAATAGAGAGCGTACTTTTAATTAGAAAGGTGTTTTAACTGCAGTGAATACTTGATCTAAGCAAGATTCAGTTAAATAAAGGAGGTCTAATTATAAGTTTTGGTGCTGGAGCTGTCCTCATGTTTCATGACTGTGTTTCCTCCACACACATGCCTGCAGAACATCTGTTGAGTCACCTGGAACAAGCCAAAGGAGTCCCCCAGACAAGCCAAAATGATGCAACTCCAGAGACGCCTGCAGAGGCTCCCATTGCTGATCAGCCTGTAACTGGTGAAGGTACTAGTGCCAACGTAGACTCCAGGAGGACTCCACGAAGGGGAAGAAAGCCCAAAGCTGCAAAAGCAGAAACACCTCTTGTCATTGCTGAAGATAAAGACCCAGCAGGTGAGATGAGAGAGGTTTAATAAAAGTAGTTGCCAAACATGCTTCCACCTTAATGATCTATTCTCAGCAAAGTCTGCCGAGTTCAGAGTCTAAAAGGGGAATCCTGGAGATTTTTTTTAGTTCACATATTAAACCCTAGTGTCATTGCAGAAAATGATTGTCACTCTTTTCTAGATGCCTCAGTGCTAAACACTGCGGGAGCTGCGTTTAAGCTGGTGGGCAAATTTACTGTTGGGGCAGCCAACAGAAAGCCCAAACTTTCAAGTTCAGGTCCAAGTCCCTTTCTTTAGGGCTGGTTTTATTAAAGCAGAAGATGCAGAAAGACTCAAAGACACACAAAATACTGGGTAACAGAGGCCTAACTCGCTTTCCGCAAGCTGGGAAGGGAGAGGACACATCGTTCTGCCTAGCCTCTCCTGGCTGTCCCCTAGGCCTTCTGCCTTGTTCCCACGAAGGGACTTCCCTCAGGGTCTTGCCTCGACCCTCATCTTCCAAAGATTGAGCCAGGAGCCTTCCTTTGTATTGTCTCCAGTAGGGAGTCGCATAATGCATGGCCAGCCAACCCTTCATTGACATGTGCCCTGTCTTGAGACCACTGTTCTTAAAAGGCTGTGCCCCGTGACTGCCACGTTGGCTGTGACTCAGCTACAGTCTGGCACTCCTGTTACACGACACCTGTGTTGTCAGTGAAGCTGTTGAATGTGCCATTGCCACACAGGGCATGGCACCTGCTGTCCTTGCCCTGCACACCAAACTGTGAACAGCTCTAGCTTGAACACGCCCCTGGAGTGCTGGCTTGTGAACCTCAGTCTGCAAAATCAACCTGGCCCCTTGTCCTTTGCCGTACACTACTCTGTGGGTGTAAAGTTTGTCTGAGGCCGTTAGCTCAGCAGGAAAAAAAAATAGATTGGACGTTTATGTGGCTAACAAGAATATCTCTAGTTACGTTAAATAGTATAAAAACAAAATTTGGAAAGGAGATAAACCCGTGCTTCTGGAAAAATAAGCCAACCTCTAACTTGAGTTTGTTGGCAGAAACATTTCTTATGTTTCTTACGGATTTTTCTGTAATTGCCTACTTCCAGGTAAACATCTGAATCCTGAACACTGCTGGTGCTGACTAGAGGCTGTGGCAATTCTCTTGTTCATATTCTTATTGTAGATAGATCTGTCTGGAGACCTTGGTCTCTCTTATGTAAAGAAGGGTCCTGTGGAGAAAGAGAAACGTTTTCTTTTCTGTTCCTTCTGAGAATAAATTGTTCCAAAAGAGTCCTGCCCTCCTCACATAATCAGATGGTTTTGTTTGTCTTGGAGGTGGCTGCTGAGAGGTTCCCATTATGGACTTGAATTTGAATCTTCATTTTTGACTGTCCTATCTATTTTGAACTCAGTCGGATGCCAAGAGTTGAAGCTCCATTTCAGTTTATTTCTGGATCAAGAGTGTGTCAAAGTAAATATAATGGTTAATGTCTGCCTCAGAAATATTCTGAGTTTTATTCTTCTGTGTGTGTGTGTTTAAAACTCTTCATGTAAATATTGTATTTTTATAATAATGTATTCACAGTGGATCAAGTAGCTGAAATTATAACAGAGATCCCACCTGATGAGGCAGCCCTTCCCTCTGCAGCGGAAGAGAGGATTATGGAACTGGTTTTAGGAAAGCTGCCAAGCACCACAAACAACATCAGTTCAGTAACAAAGTAAGTCACAGTGGGATGCAATCCTTCATAACGGGGTAGAACTTTCTCTCCTAACATCTGTAAAGCACCATTGTAGTTTCCCCCCATTAGCATGGAGGAAGGGCTCATTTGGAACAAGTGATGAGAGCCATATACCCTTAGACAGACTTCTTCAGAGTATAATGACTCTGATGAGAACTTAGACACATAGCCACATCCATTCAAAGCCTTCTGCCTTGTATGTGTGCACGCACATACATGCATGCTGCTGGTGGAACAGCTGGTCAGGGAGTCTCTGCACCCTTGTATGCCACAAAGGGGGATTCATGCAGGCTCAATGCACTGTAAGCTGATGCTGGGTTGTAGCCACTGGTGATGGGAGACTGGTGACATAAATTTCACCCTTAGAGTGCAGTGCAATAGGATTATTTCTCTATCTTGCTACAGTTTTGTACAATGGGATATTTGAAACCCGTAAGAGGCTGCAGAGTTAAATGTTACTCCCATTGATTGTTGGTGCTAAAAAAGATATGGACGTTAAAATCTCTCCCAGGCATGTTATTTAGTCTCTCACTGATATTTGTAACTTGTGAATCGCATCTCTTGAATCACTGTGAATGACATTTCAGAGTTTGTAATAAACCTTGAGCAAAGGGGAAAAATATCTATGACATTTACAGAACTTCAGGGAGGCCTTTGTTGTTCATTTAATTACATATTTAAAAACTTGTTCCGGTGAAGCTAGCTTCTTGAGAGACTTGGAGGTGATCAATCCGTTGGTGTTTTAAGGTTCTAGTTCATAGTGCTATAAATAAATTGAAGTCCATCGGGCTGGATGCGCTGCATCCTAGAGTGCTAAAGGAGTTGGCGGATGTGATTGCAGAGCCATTGGCCATTATCTTTGAAAACTCATGGCGATCGGGGGAGTCCCGGACAACTGGAAAAAGGCTAATGTAGTGCCCATCTTTAAAAAAGGGAAGGAGGAGGATCCTGGGAACTACAAGCCAGTCAGTCTCACCTCAGTCCCTGGAAAAATTGTGGAGCAGAAATCAATTCTGAAGCACTTAAAGGAGAGGAAAGTGATCAGGAACAGTCAGCATGGATTCACCAAGGGCAAGTCATGCCTGACTAACCTAATTGCCTTCTATAATGAGATAACTGGCTCTGTGGATGAGGGGACGTGTTGTTCCTTGACTTTAGCAAAGCTTTTGACACGGTCTCCCACAGTATTCTTGCCAGCAATTTAAAGAAGTATGGGCTGGATGAGTGGACTATAAGGTGGATAGAAAGCTGGCTAGATTGTCGGGCTCATCTGGTTGTTTTTTAAACTATGGAATGCTGTTCACTCACTGCCTTTATTTCTCTAATCCAGTAGGTTTGCTCATCACCAAAACACCATGTCCCTCAAAAGAAGTTTAATTCTCTCCAGTAGACATGGAATACGTCGAAAGCTGATAAAGCAACTTGGGGAACACAAACGGGTATATCAGTGCAACATCTGCAGTAAGATCTTCCAGAACAGCAGCAACCTCAGCAGGCACATCCGGTCTCATGGTGGGTTTGCCTTCAGCTCCCTGCATGCTGTGGTTCTCTCCAGTCAGTTCAGGGGTTCAGTAGAGGAACTGAAATATTCGAGATGCAGATATTTTTCACAGGTTCCATCATTATTACTAGAGGGCTCCTTAATCAAACACACAAAAGCATGATAAGATCCAATGGCTGGAAGTTGAAGCTAGATAAATTGAGACTGGAAATAAGGTGCAGACTTTCAACAGTGAGACGGTGTAGTGTGTTCTCCATCACTCTGAGTCTTTAAATCAAGATTAGTTGTCTCTCTAAAATACATGTTCTAGTTCAAGCAGGGGTTATTGGGCACGTAGAACTAAATGCAGGAATTATGTTGGGTGGTTCTATGTCCTGTGCTACACAGGAGGTCAGACTAGTTGCTCACAATGGTCCCTTCTGACTTCAAAAATCAATGAATTAATCCTTTTAATTATTGAAGCTGCTCATGTTTTAGCTGATTGCTAGCCTATTTGTTTGGAGCAACCCATAGAATTGTTTAGCTATCACACATGGCGTTCCCAGGTGGTTACATCAGTCACTCACTCTTTGTTTTGTCTTCACGGATCCCTCAGGTGACAAACTGTTTAAATGTGAGGAATGTGCAAAGCTGTTCAGCCGTAAAGAGAGCTTGAAGCAGCATGTTTCCTATAAACACAGCAGGAATGAGGTGAGTTGAAACAACCAGATGATTCTTCATGAGGAGAGATGAAAATGTGCTGTGAGTTCAGTGCTGACGATTGCAGTGTGTGAGTCAGTCAAGTGTGAACAGAAAAGGAGTACTAGTGGCACCTTAGAGACTAACCAATTAAGATGCCACAAGGACTCCTTTTCTTTTTGCGAATACAGACTAACATGGCTGCTACTCTGAAACGTGTTAAGTGTGAATGGATCCCTGGTATGAATTGCCTATGGAAACGTGCTCAGACATTTGTTACCTCAAGGGGGAGTGTCACTGAATCAGAGCTAGCTGGAGACTCAGGGCAGGGTCTAAAGGTGTGCTCCGACTGCTGTTCACTGTACTAAGTAGGATTATTTAACTGTTGTCTTGTTTGCATGTCATCTCTGGTTATCGCCACCTGTTGTCTCTTGTTGTATGTTCAGGCTATGAGCTCCCTAGAGCAGAAACAGTTGTGTGTGTGTGTACGTACAGTGTGTTTTGCAGTGGGGCTCTGATCTTTGATTGTGGCCTCTGAATGCTATTGCAATACAAATCGTAATGGTAGTAAAACCCATTAATGGCAATGAGAGTGTTTCTGCTGACTTCAATGAGCTTTGGATCAGGCCCTAAACTCTCAGATTACTGACATCTGATGCCAAGAATATTGTGGAGCCTGACTACAAGTCAGAAAACATCTTGTTTTTCCTAAGTCAGATTCTTCATTGCAGGGCTTAGAGTAGCCAAAAAGACACACATGCTCTCACCTACACATGTGCATATGCATCTTTTATAGATCAGTAAGTACAGCACCATATTTTTTGCAGCAAGTTTGAAATTAGGAGTCATGCTCTGAAATTTAAAATGTCAGAATTCTGTGCTGAAATGTACTCTCATGTTTTGAAGAAAAAAAATTCTGTTGAAGAAAATGAAATGGCTCTCACAATAAAAAAGCAGCCTAGAATTTTTTGCAAGCTCTCTTTACATTGTGTATGGTTTGTGTTTCTTCTCCCTCTTTTAAATGTTTACTGTTTGCAATCCTCAGGTCGACAGCGACTACAGGTACAAGTGTGCTACATGTGAAAAGGCCTTTCGGATAGAGAGTGCATTGGAATTCCACAATTGCAGAACAGGTGATAACTGCTCACCAACATTACCTAATCTTGAATCAGCTTTATTAATTTCCCATATGTGATGGTGTTTACAGACCTCTCACTAAGACTAAATGAGCGATGGAGCAGTCCTGGGCCAAGAGGGCCCCGCCCCTCAGCAACCGTAGAACTTGCTCCAGATGGAGGACCTGTTTAAAAGGGGACTCTGGCACTCAAGCAGGCAGGACAGTGAAGAAAAAACTGTCTGCAGGAACGAAGCCAGTTGGTTGGTAGCTTCTGGGACAGGAATCCACAGGGGAAGGGCCTGGACTGTGGGTAAGACCTGATCTAGCAGTCAGGGGCTCCACCCCTTTCTTTCTCTCCCCTTCTCTCTGATGGGGAATCACTGGACAATGCGAAGGGAGCTGCGAAGCCCTGAATGATTATCTGAATTGTTGAGACTGTCTGAGCAACCCTCCCCGGGGAGGGAAGCAGAGTGCTGTGACCCTGCCCCAAACTGAAAAAAGAATAGGGAAGATAGGAAGTAGCCCAAGGGTGGCTGGTCTGGTGTATCAGCAAGAGGGGGGCTGAGACACTCCTTACCCTTTTCCCCCTTGGGCTGAGACCCAGTGGAGAGAGAGGGCCCAGGTCCCTGTACCCTTCCCTCCCCGCTTTGTCCAGCCAGGAGAACCCAGGGAACACTGGAGGAAGACAGCTGTAGCTCAGCTGCCAGGCTCTCAGATTGCCTGACAAAGCCATACCACAGTTTTGGGGACTGTTGAGCCATGGCCTATGGACCCTCAAGTGAAGTCTGCTACACCATAATTCATCTCTATAGCAACCAGGAAGGAAGAGTAGTCATTTCAAACTTCACTTTCCTCACGCTACAGCAGCACTGTAAAAACAAACATTTGTTACCACATCATGGAAAACTATTTCAGGCAATCTGTACAGCAACAATTCCACCTATGCATTGTATTTTATCTCTTTCCCTCTCTCGAATTTCACGTCCCCAGCTGTGCCTCAGATATCTCCTCCCAGATATCCTGCCACTTTCTCCAGCTTGCTTTTTCTAAAACTAAACTGCACACCTTTCCTCTCAATCCATCTCTGCTTTCTCTTATCTTTGTCACCGGTGACAGCTCCAGACTTGCAGCCTCCAGTTTCCCAGCCTCGCACGCAGCTTCACCGGCTTTCTCATTCCTTCTCCCAGTAAATCCAGTATCCCACTAGGTCCTGTTGTTTCTTCCTCTGTGAGATCACTAGAACCTATGCTTTCCTCTGCATCTCCTCCCTAGAGTCCTTAGTCACTCCTTGGACACACAATATCCATCAGCCTGGAATCCTCTGGGTAATTGTTCCTCCAAGCACAACTGGAAGTAACCTTACTTAAGACTTTTCTTCCAAGGAGCAATGCTCGTGTAAAAGGACAGATGGTGCCAAGACCTCCCAGTAATCTGCCTTCATCAGTAGCAGCTCTCTCTCACAGAGTTGATCCTTTCCAAAATTAAAAACATTTTAAACCTACTGTTAACTGGCCTAATACTACTTTCTTCTGTCTTATCCCTGTGGCAACTGCAAGACCATGGAACAACTCTCAGACTTCTGAACAACTGTTGTGTTAGGAAGAAACTTCCCCAGTAGGCCTGTTGTTGTATAACTGTCCATTATGGGGGTTTTACACCTTCCTCTGAAGCACCTGGTACTGTCTGCTCTTGGAAACCAAGTGCTGGACTAGGTGTGCCTTTGTTCGAAGCTGGAATAGCAATTCCTATACTACTGTGTTCCTCAGACAGTGCTGCTCCAAACAGGACATCGTATTTGGAAAACCTGTGACTGAACCCAGTTTGGACAGAATTAATGAGAGTGTGCCAGACTGTGGGGCCGAGGAACTTATTGTGCCAGAATCAATGTTCATGTTAACATCTTTAATATTTATCATTGCTGAATTAACTTGGGAAGCAATTTTGGTGTTTTTTGGTGACTTTTGCCTTTCATAGAGCAAGACAAACCCGAGGGAGCAAGGGTGGAATTTCTAGTAGAGTTGCCTGTGATTGGTTTTGAGGAGCAGATCTTAACCTGTCGAGACTCTAGATTGGTTGATTTTATTTTACTGTTTAGTCAGAAGACAAAATGACAAGTAAGAACAAAAAACTGTCATGTTCTGCTTTCCCCCGATTCATGTGTGGTGCTTTGTAATGCTAGATCTAACTATAGAATAAATTTATCGCATTTAAAAAAAAATTTTTTTTATCTTAAAATAATTGCTTTCTTTCCATTACCTACAGATGACAAGACATTCCAGTGTGAGATGTGTTTCAGGTTCTTTTCCACGAATAGTAACCTCTCAAAACACAAGAAGAAGCACGGGGATAAGAAATTTGCATGTGAAATCTGCAATAAAATGTTCTACCGGAAGGACGTCATGTTGGATCATCAAAGGAGACACTTGGAAGGTAAGTACACTTGGCATGAACCTGATTGTCGCTTTTGAAGTGTCAGTTGGCTTGGGGAAATTAAGTAAATCATTCTGCATCAGTTTTCACTTGATGCTGGCTATCATTTCAAAACTAATTAGCTGATCTGGTGTAGCTTGTCCTGGTAGGGGGTTAGCATATTTTTAACAATAAGGATAATGAACCATTGGAATTGATTACTGAGGGAAGTGGTAGATGCTCCATCATTTGGAGTTTTTAAATGAAGATTGGGTGTCTTTCTAGACTATATGCCGTAGTTCCATCACCAGTTGCTGGGCTACATGCATTATCTGGTGGAAATTGTGTGGTCTGTGTTGAATAGGAGGTCAGACTAGATGATCACAGTGATCTCTTGTGGCCTTAAAAATTAGTCTTCTGAAATTTCTGTGGTAACTGGAAAACTTGTTGGCAGAGTTGCTGTCTTTCACTTGGAATTGGACGGCAGTGAGTAAACACAGATCCATTCCAGAGACTAATATGGGATTTGACTATCAATTTAACAAATAAATTGAATGTGGCACAATATGTTGCCTTACAACATTTAGAGCATTTATGAAACCAGACCAGAAGAGCTGAGCACTCACAAATCTCATTGAAGTGAGTGGGTGTTGCAGGTGCCCAGCACCTTTGGTAACTAAGCCATAAGCCTCTGAAGGAAATGACAGCCACAAAGAAGAGGTTAAATATGAGAACATACAATGAAATCTGGGTATGTTTTAAACTGTCACTAGTAGTTTTTAGGGACAAGATTGAAAGTAATTTAGAAGTAGGGCCAGATGAAACAGTCTGGGCCCTAGGCACATGACAAGAGAGGCCCCTCTTTTTGTCCTGCCCCCCCCCACCACAGCCCCATCCCCCACTTTGAGTGATGTTGGGGGCCGTGGGTCTCCCCTCACCTGTCACAGAGGCTGGGCCAGTGACCTGGGAACCCCTTCTCTCCCCTCGAAAGCAGCAGGGGCGGCAATAGGGGTCTTTGTTAAACATGAAGTGCCTGGGGTTGAGCGGCTCTGCATCTTTAGCACCATTGACTAACTGGCTGGAAGAGTTTCTAGGTTAAACTGCTCACCACCCTGGATAAAGCACCTTGCACCGGATAGACTTGACTGAAACAAATAATGAAAGTGATTTGCTTGCAGTAGAAAAGTATCTTTTCTCGCACTTTAAGATTGGAACAGTAACCAACAGGGAAACAAAAATATATCTTCAACACGCCTCTCTTGTATTTCTAAGATCCCTTTCACCGCTGTAAATAAGCATTGGTTCGTTCATTCAGAGACAAAATTACATATAGAGCGCTACTCCCCTATCTTACTGCACTTTACAGGAACAGTGTGTATTTGACTGAAAAGGCGTGCAGGTGTGGAAAATGTGGTTTATTTTATTTTATTTTTTTTTGGTGGGGACTGTGACGTTAAGGGGTGAGGCGTGTGAAAAGAGAAGACTTTGAGCACAGCACAGAGAACATGGTGCGCTACAAGAAGGAACCCTCGGGATGCCCTGTATGTGGGAAGGTAGGCTTTTTTGCCAGATTATGTCAGGTAGAGCTTTGCATTCAAGCTCCAGCAACCCTCCAGTGCGCACTACACATGCACCAAGAGAAGCTCTGTAGCCAACGTTCTGAGGAGCTTTTCACTTAAAGCAGCATTAAACAAAACCCTAGTCCAACCTCATATTTTCCGAGGAGCAGTTCAGTTATAGACTGTTACACTCCAGCTTTGTCTGTTAATACAGTCTCTTTATTTGGCTTAGGTTGGAGTGAAGGGTTTGTGTTGGAGTGAGAGGAGCGGGATGTGGGCTCTGTGAGCAATTCTGTGTTAGAACTGAAAGTGAGTGTGTTGTGTAGTGTTGACAGCCACGAGTCCAATTGGGCAGTGTGGGGTGGTAAAATATGTAGTCCAAGATTAGTGTGAATGTGAATGGCATGGACATGAATGTGGGCTTAACTACTGTTTCTGAGATGTTTAGTGATTTGCGGTGGTGGAATCTGGACTCAAGCAACCTCATTTCTAAGTAAATGATGGGTTTTTTTACTTGGGTATAGCTAAGAGTCACTGCAGTGTAGCGTATATAGAAGAGACCACCCTTCTTAGGCAGTCCTGTTTCAAGGGACCATCCCCACATATCTCCAAATGTATTAATTGTAGTTCTGCTCCACCTTTATTAATCGTCCACCTCTTTTACATAACCGATCTCTGCTAATCCTTTGAGTGATTATTGATGCATAAGTCACTATGTTAAGAGCTTGTGTAGCCTGGTGTGGAGTGGATGATGGGAGCTCTTACTTCTCTGAAACACAAACAAATAGGTTGCCCTGCCCAGGAACAGGTAGAGCAGTATTAAATATCTCCTATACCTAAATCGCAAATTAAGTTATGAAGAGGAGTAGCTCAGATGCCTCTTGAGGCATGACATGAAAAACATTCTTCAGTGTTCTTCTACCCTAGGTATTTTCATGCAGGAGCAATATGAACAAACACCTCCTGACACACGGAGACAAGAAATACACCTGTGAAATCTGTGGACGTAAATTTTTTAGAGTGGACGTTCTTAGAGATCATATTCACGTCCATTTTAAGGTATTCTGTTAATATTCTGATAACTTGCATTTTTTATTGGAAACCTGTTAGCGAATACTAAGGTGGCGTGATCATGCTGGCCACATAAGAGGGATCACATACATCTCCTTGCCTTGTACGTACATCTCTGTAGGGGTCTGTTACTCGATTCAAGCCTGAATTTGGTGTTTGGAATCTCAGAAACAAGGGTTTTGTTTTTTTTAAGGTAAAACCTTTGCAACTTATCTTCAACACTGTGGGTGATTAAGTATGAGAAAAAACTATGAAGTAGGAGAGTTGAGGGAACCATCACTTTAAACATTAATGGATAGGTTACATAGAGGAGGTGGTGTCTAATGGGTTTGGCAAGCAACTGGAAGTCAGGAGGACAGCTTAGTTCAGGACCCAAGATTGGCTTCTGACACTCTGCCTCACCGTGGGCATGCCACTTAACCACAGTGCTTCAGTTCACCCACCTAAAGCAAAGAAAACACTTACCTCCTTTGCAGGGTGTGGAGGCTCAATTGATGAGTGTTGGTATGATCCCTTTTAGAGCTTTGGGTGGAAGGTGCTATGCGAGTGTTGGGTAGAAGTATGATTAATTATTATAGCAGTTGTCACACTGATCCCCAGAGCACAGGCTGGTGGTCCGCAGACATGGTGCTGCTGCTCCTCCTCCTGGTTGCCAGCTGCTAAACTGCATTAAAAGGTAGCTATATCCTGAATATTTTCTTGATGTTACTTTTCTGTATAAGCAATTGCTATAGTTGCTCCAGGGCTGTTAAGCAATTATGAATGGGAGGGGAGGCATGCCTGAAATAGTCTCTTTGCTATAATGTGTTCCATACTCTGAAAGTCTTTCAGAATCCCTGAGGTATTACAGGATCCTCATGGGGAAACGTCTTGCCTTTTGAACTGTCTGACAAACCCTTTTAATGCAGTTAAGAGTGAAGTGGTTTAGTGAAATGGTGCAATTTCTTTAACACAAACTGAAAGGTATTACGCTCTTCAATGGTGCCATTAAAATGGTGCTATGGATTTAACACTGCTGCAGTTTAGTCCCTATTTATTCTAATATTAATAAAACATGCATATATTTGACATTTAAAAAATAACAAAATTGTGTCTGTCTACAAACTGGGGAACTTTTGCAGGGATTTCATTATATGGGAGAATACCTTGAATCACATTATTGTTGCTGTTTATGTAGTTAGTCAGTGTGGCAGAAGGGTTGGGGCTGTATTAACTTTTGACATTAGATCTGATTAAGATGGAATCTCTTTCCCCACCCTGTATAGGACATTGCGCTAATGGATGACCACCAGAGGGAAGAGTTCATTGGTAAAATCGGAATCTCATCAGAGGAAAACGATGACAACTCTGATGAAAGTGCAGATTCTGAGCCTCACAAGTATAGCTGCAAAAGGTGCCAGGTAGCTTTAAATTCTCCTTTCCAACTAAATGTGTGTGTTGGTTTCTTCTGTCAAAGAAAAAGTTGTTATAATTAGAATTTCACAGAACCTTGAAAATAAGCTAAGAGAGGGCCAGTCTGATGGTCTAGCAGCAGCACAGTCTGGGGGATTCAAGACCACGACCTAACTGTGGTCCTGCACGCCCATGTCAGCAAGAGTTGGTAGCAATGAGAGGCTGCCACAGTCCTCCCTGGCATCTGACCCTAGTGGAATGGCATTTGTGGCCTCTGGAGCATACTTGATTGAGCCATCCACTGTGGGAGGAAGAGAAGATCATCACAGCTGGGCAGGGCTTTCGGGAGTTGGAAAGAAGTGTGTGTGTGTGTGGCATGGCCGGGGGAAAATGTCATCTTCAAGACTCTTAGAATTCTCTGTTGGCGAACTGATTGGTTAGGACAGCTAAACTGACTGAATTATTGGTTATGTCAGAAAGGCAGAATGGCTTTGTGGTTAAGGCACTGGGCTGAGATTCAGGAGATGAGGGTTCAATTCCCAGCTTTGCCACAGATTGTTATCTTGGGCAAATTATTTAGTCTCTCTGTGCCTCATTTGTTCCCCATCTGTAAAACTGGGATAATAATACTCCCCTTCTCCCAGCCTTTGTCTGTCTTGTCTATTTAGATTGTAATCCCTTTCAGACAGGGATTTACCATCTACACCACCTCACACAAGGGGGCCCTGATCTTATTTGGGGCCTCTAGAGGCTACCGTCGTACAAATAATCATCATAAAGATGTGTGACCTCAGCAGTGACGTGCCTCACTTTCAGCTCAGTACAGTTTAAACCGCTGAGAAGCGAAACCCCTGAGGTGGTGCGTTGTGGTAACTCTTTAGGCTGCCTGTTGTGCCAGGCTAATCGTGATATAAACGGGTGAATAACGTAGGCTTCAAAATAAGAGAATTCACGCAATTCAGGTTAGAAAGCTGTTTCTTTGTCAGCTCTGGTATCAAGCATCCCTGCAGTCCTAGGCAAACGGAACAATCCACTATCGGAGCTGACAGCAACAGCTGTGGAAGATGAGTGAGTGCTGGGAAGGGAAGGCTCTTCCTGGCTGGAAATGTCTCTTTGTGCATTCCGAAGGAAGAATAGAAAAGTAAATCTTAGCAAAATGAGACTCCTGCACAAGGAGATAATTTCTCTGTATCTTCTCTGCTTCCCCAATGAAATGGGAAAGATCCTTAGAGTCCAAAAGCTACTCTCCCCCTCTGCAGGTCTGCTGCATTGATGGCTAAGGGTGGTTGGCTGTAGCTCCCTTCAGGGCCAGAAATAATCAGAGGATTCCTAGCAGAGCAATGTGAGACATTTTTTTCCATCTCCAGTGGCTGAGTGGACTGCCCCTGCAGCATTCCCAGCCCCTGCCAGCAAGGGAGCACCAGCCTGAGCTAGCATCCCAAACTACAGTCTCCCATGTGGAGGAACTGGTTTTGGATGTTCTTTATAGGTATGCTTAGTAGTTCAGTGACAAAACAGGTTCCAGGAAGGAGTATAGATTTCCCTGTACTCTTTGTCTGATAGTGAGGACAGTATTTCTGATTGCTGGCTATTTATGCTGTAGATCCCAGTACTACATTAACTGGTCACTATTTCCTGAGAGATTTTTTTTCCCATGCCTTCACTGTTGGTTCGTTCTGCAGTTAACCTTTGGCAGAGGGAAGGAGTACCTAAAACACATAATGGAGGTTCACAAGGAGAAAGGCTATGGCTGTAGCATCTGTAATCGACGATTCGCCTTGAAGGCAACTTACCATGCTCACATGGTCATTCACCGGGAGAATCTGCCTGATCCCAATGTGCAGAAGTAAGATGACATGCCTGAATAATATTGTATGAACAACTACATTTTTTGAGACCGTGGTGGTTGTGCCAAATAGGGGTGCTTAGTTAGTGAGGGATAGACACACATTGACATTCTTGAGGCTTTTCTCTTGAATGTCAAGGTACCAGGAGAAATCCTGTCTTTTTTTCAGTTCCTTTTGTGATATGAGTAGCTGATGTTTTCTGACATAGTCTCAGGTTTATACAGTCATGCAGTTATTGTGTCCCATTGGGATCTTGCTTCATTAAGGGCTGCAAGATCAGGTCCTCGTTTACTAAAGGATTAAAATACACCCCTGACTGTCAATATGTCATGTCATATATATAGCAGGTACACCATCAGGCAGATAATAGTTCTGGATTTTTAAAAAGTAAAGGTTTTTAATCAAATCAAAAAATGACTGTATAATATGAGAGCACAATACTGCCTGGCCACACTTGCCTTCAGATGTACTTGTGTGTGTTTTTTAAGGCTTATTTTATTTAAGCCTATTTTACCATACGCTTATATTTCAAGGAAACCTTTCCAGTAACAATCATCTCAAACAAATTTCAGTTGCTGATTGAGATTACTGAAACCATAGTCCTGTCAAAAAGAGAATGGCAGAGTCTGCTTCCTTTTCTGTTTCAGATACATCCACCCATGTGAAATTTGTGGAAGGATTTTTAACAGCATCGGGAATTTGGAACGACATAAACTTATACACACAGGTAACACAATGTTGTTGTTGTTCCTTTATTATTAATATCAAAAGTTTCCTTTTCTGGATGCTTTCTGAGGCCATACTTTTACTTGTCAGGGAGAAATTGGTTATGGTAGTTTAGTTTATGGTAGTTTACAGTAAGAACCCATACAATTATTGCTATTTTTATGGTTTTATGGCAGGCCAATTTCATAAAGTAAATAAATATATATTATTGATGAGGGTAAATGATACCAGAGCTTGATTTAAGAGATTCCTTGATTATATAATTTAGCTTTCATCCAATAAAAATGTTGGCTCTCTAGTTATCTCTGCTGAAATACTCATCCAGGCCTTCATTTCTTCTCACCTTGAGAACTGCAGTTCCTTCCAGCTCTTTGGCATCCCAGAGTGCCAGCTCCTTACTCCAGCATGTACAGAAGGCTGCTCCCCATCTTCTCTGAGGTGGAGCAGAGCACGTCCACATCCCTTCATGCTTAAATGACTTTGCTGGCTCCTCACTGTGCATTTCAGAATGCCATTCAATATAGCTCCTTGGTTTTTAAAACTCTCCAGTCAGACTTCTGTCCCTTGTCTCCATGCACTCCCCTCACCTGCTCACTTAGCACCACTCACTCTTCTGTCCCTTTACACAATCTCAGCATTGTTGATAGAGAAGCATAAGTCTCTACAGCTCATCATCAGATCCTTCTCTATGGCTTTCTTCTCTCTCTCTCTGCCTCAGTCTTGTTTCAAAACTCAGAGGAAAACCTCTTCTCTCCCTAGCCTATTTCTCATAATTCATTTTGGGATACAGTTTGCATGAGAGGAGCTGTTCAGGAGACAGTTTGAATATTGCTCAGTGAATCTATTGCCAGAGGTTTGTCAGCTTTTAGCACCACACACATTTTCTCCAGAGAGTCTGCTTATATACTGCAATAACCTTTTTTATTTTTTTTTTTTGGGAAGGTGTAAAAAGTCATGCGTGTGAGCAGTGTGGAAAGTCATTTGCCAGAAAGGACATGTTAAAAGAGCACATGAGAGTCCACGATAACATCCGAGAATACCTGTGTGCGGAATGTGGTAAAGGTACAGACATCGCCTTTGAATTAGACATTTTGTTTAGGTTACATTTCCCATATTAAAACCAATAGCTTCATTAAATACCAGGGAAGTCCTCAAAGTAATGAGAGTCTTGTATTTTGAATAGGAAGCCATGCTGATCAGGATGTTAGGGGTCTGCCTTAATTTTACATCCATCAGTTCCCTGGCCTGCAGCAAGCAAACCTGACTTCTAAAGCTCTTCATCTGTTCTGCTGCAAATTTCAGGAACGCTTGCTTGCCTGATTTCCATCACATTTACGTCCCAGAAAAGAGTCAGAAAGAACACAGTTTAACTGTGCGTTCTAGGCTGAGTTTTCAGGAGTTAGCAGTTAGAATATACATTTTTCTCTACTTTGTTACTTGAACAACCTTGAACTGGAATCCCTGCAAGACACTAATATTGTGCCTTAGATTATGCTGTTGTCAAATTCCCTGTCTCTCCATGCTTTTCTCTTACCCTCCTTAGTGATTGTTTAAATATTTTCATATATATATATATATTTTTTTTTTACTTAAAAAGCCCAAACCCACTAGTTAAAGAGCATTTCTAGCTCAGCTGTGGGCATTTGTGGACATCTTCTATTAGGGATGAAGTTAGGATCATCTGCTTGAAACATGCTCATCTTGAGTCCTTACTCTGGGTGCGGGGCAAAGGGTAATGCGGATGAATTTTCCCACCATGTCTTCAGTTACATCTTCATGGCTCACAGGAATGAAGACAAAACATGCTCTGCGTCACCACATGAAACTCCACAAAGGGATTAAGGAATATGAATGCAAGGAATGCCATCGTAAATTCGCACAGAAGGTCAACATGCTGAAGCACTACAAAAGGCACACAGGTGAGAGCAACCCAGAGGACCGGTCATCCTACAGAAATCGCACTTAATCAGTTAAATGGTTGTTTTGGAAATATATGACATTACGCTGCTCTGAGCAGTCGAAGAGCATGAGCAACACAGCTTAAAGGAGTATTTTACAAGGTGTGAAGACTTTGGCCTCTCATGAGCAGAGACCTGCCCACTGTGTCATGGTTTGTTTTTTTAACATAGACCATTGGGTCTAGGGTACGGTTTTTGACTTGAAGTAGGGTTTGAACTCTGATCCCCAGAGACAAATGTCTCACCCACTGCACCAGCTCCAATTAGTGCCTGCATTTCCTACAGTACTTTTGCAAACAATGGAAAAAGTGGCTAGTGAAACTGATTTTTCATAACCTAAGATTCACAGTTGTACTAGGTACCGTTGTTTATCACTCCAGTTTTAAATGTAATCTCTCCATACAGGGATCAAAGATTTTATGTGTGAGCTCTGTGGGAAGACATTTAGTGAGAGAAACACAATGGAGACCCATAAACTGATTCATACAGGTAAGTGTTCTAATGCAATGTATCAAAAGACAACAGCTTGACATTCTGCTTCAAGCAATCCTGAGTCAGCGTTCTGCACTACGTAATTAAAAAAAAAAAAGGTGTTCCCCTTAATGCAATATAACAATATTCCCCTTTAGCGATATCTACTAACTCCTTTTCATTTCATTTGCCACCAGTGGGGAAACAGTGGACGTGTTCAGTCTGTGATAAGAAGTACGTCACCGATTACATGCTTCAGAAGCACATCCAGCTAACTCACGATAAAGTAGAAGCTCAGAGTTGTCAGCTCTGTGGGACAAAGGTTTCTACCAGAGCTTCAATGAGTCGACACATGAGGCGCAAACATCCAGAGGTGAGATCTGTGGCAGATGGATTGTGGCTTATTATCAATTCACTTGGCTTAGCTGTGACTTCAAGTGAGTCATCTACTTCTTCCTTCTTACATTCTGGCAGGACTGATCTTGGTTATTTGTAAACTAAGTGTCTGTGTTAGGCTTGATTTTCTTCATTAATGGCAATTCCACAACTATCTTGCCCCTCTGTTTGTATTCCTTCTAATTGCTGATTCATAAACATTTAATAGTTCCCTTTTCCTATTAATTCAGCTAAGTTTTTCTGCTGCATCTTAACTCCGTATTTTTCTGTTTTGTACTCATCAACTAGAGTGGATAATTGATCCCTGTTCCTTTTATGGCATTCCTTTCACACGTTTGTTGACAGCTATCATGTCTTCCCTCAGAATTCCTTTAATCTAGCTCAGATATGGCCTGCTCTACTAACTTTTCCCTTGGAGATCTTGATTTATAAACCGCTTATCATTATTATTGCTCTTCCTTGATCTCCTTTGTTTCCCAGTGAAGGCTCGGAAACACAATAAGGGGCAAAACTCTTGCAGTCTCTCTTTTGCATTAAAACCAATCTGAATAATAAAGTACCTGAAATGTGGAGAGCTGGTTGTTTCTGATCTTTAGTGAATTGAGATTGATAGATCCTGTTGTATACAGTGGAGCACGCCACACTCAGAGACTTGTAGTTCAGGGGTGCTGTAATTTTTGTTGCTCACTGAGGCATCAGGGCAGGTAAATGATGGTTTGTCTTCTCCTGAAGTCCTTCAGGTTTAATGGGGTATTGTCTGCCTAGGAAGCAAGAATAAAAAGATGCACTGCAGCTGCTGTTACGTTTAAACTAAATTTCCAGCAGTGTGGTCCCTTTGTTTATATGGAATATAGTGACCCATACAGTATGTTTATTTTTTCCCACAGAAAGCAATGAGATGTTATGGAATTGGTTGCTGGGGTGTTAGTGAGAGGAAGGAAAATTATATACCATAAGATTATTATTATGAATGAAAGTAAAACACATTATATTGATTAACCATATCAATTAAAATGCATTCGGTTGCATGATCTTGTCCTGTGTTATTGTCAATGGATCTCTCCATTGCTGTTCTGTACTGGCCATAATTTATCAAGCTGACCAGGATCTGTTTATCTGTAGGTTCTTTCAGTTAGAATTGACGATTTAGAGCAGCTCCCAGAAGCTACCACCATTGATGCCTCCTCTATTGGGATTGTTCAGGTAAACTAACCGTAGCAGAATCCTAAATTCTTCTGTGGCTTTGGGTCCTTGCCATTCACATGCTGTTTCCATGGCACTGAATGACATACACCATAGCATCCACCGCCACTGGTGAGCCACCCTGGATAAAACTGGAACCTGCTGAGGAGCGCTGGGGTTGGATTCAGGATCCTGTATGCACTATGGGCAAGTGTTTTGCATTTGTCACAGGCTTAGTCTTAACGGAGGATGAACAAACTCCTTTTCCTGAAGGTGGAAAAACAGGTTTGAAACTTTACTCAGACACTGTAGCTTCTTATTACGGTAGTGCCTAGAGACTCCAATGGGGATTGGGTTTGTGCTCTGTTTATAGAGAGTGAAAAAAGAAGCAGAGAGGAAATGCAGTGGAAAAATGGAGCAGAGTGTGGGAAGAGTTAACAAATATTATTATTAAGCATTTCGGTACTGTCAGTGTGTTGGCTCTGTGATGAACAGATCAGAAACAGAGGCCCTGCTCTCAAGGCTAACAGACTTGTGGTAATCAAACTGTGGAAGCAGCATCACAGGGCAGATTTGAGCTGGGGCTTTATAGGCCTTGTGGAAGACGTGTGTTTTAAGGAGGGACAGTAAAGAGAAGAGATTGATCAGATCAGAAGCAGGATTCTGAAGAGGAAAACAGAAGGTAAAGCCCTGGCCTTACTGAAGTCAATGGAAAAACTCCCATTGATTTCAACTGAGCCAGGTTTTCGGAGAGGAATAGGATTAGGAAATGAAAGAGGGACGTTAAGTGCTCAGGTAGAGCAACAGGGAACAAGTGAGCATGAGTAGTAAGAGATGGGGTGGTCAGGGAGCAATGCTGGGCAAAAGATGAGGACAGGGAGTTTTAATTTTATGTTAAGTAAGCAGAAGGCAGTGGAGGGATTCAAAGAGGCAACAAACATGATCAGACCGTCTGAAAAATGGAGCAGGAACGGGAACCGCAAAAATGCCAAGAAAAAATAGAGTGAAAAACAGAAGAGGGAGTGGGCAGAGTGGAAAACAAATCCAGAATGAGTGTGAAAGACATTGCAGAGAGAGGGAGAAAAAAATCTAAGGAAAACCAGATTCCATGCCTACTGTAAATAAGGGTTATGTCCTTTGCAAATATCTTAACTGTGGTCAGCATGGTTGGTGGGAAATGCATTTTTCAGTGACTCAGCTCAGCTGGTGTAGGTCATTTTTTGAATAGTACTACAGAGATGCTAATAACCTCTCTGCTCTGTGGTTTAGTGGGGGTACCGGTATTGTAAAGAGTTAATTACAGGGAGCAAAACCATTCCCTCAAATCTGGTGTTAGCCAGTTTGTCATGTCATCTTCACCTGGGGATGGACAGCAAACCAACCTCTGGTGATACTCTGAACTAAATGACTTGAGCAGCGACATTCAATTGTACTGAAAACTCTGTTCTTGTAGCCTGAGTTAACCCTGGAACAGGGAGAGTTACCCGAAGGCAAGCATATGAAAGCTCCTAAACGTGGCCATAAGCGAAAGCAGAAGCCGGGCGAAGAGGAGGAAGCGCAAGTGCCTGAGGACCCTGCCTTCAATGAATACACAGAGAAAGAAGCTGAATTCACTGGGAACGTGGGAGATGAAACCAATTCAGCTGTACAAAGTATTCAGCAGGTGAGTTCCCATGAAAAGCTACTGGACAGACATTGCAACAGGGTTTGATGCTCTTGGAATCCTAAGGGCAAACGTGAATGAGCTAGGGATTTAAAGCTGCAGGTAGAAAGCACAATTCAAAGAGAGATAGAAAGATGGGGGAGGAAGAGGGGTCTATTTAACCTCCTTCACTTCCACTCAACTCCTTATCTTCATTTCTGCCCATTTGGTGCCACTGCCTCTTGCTGAAGCTGTGCTTGCAAGTTTGGAGTGAATCCAGGGGATCATTATCGATATTGCATTTGTCTCTAGCTTGTTAGTTGCTTTCTTCCACTTACAGCAGCAGTCAGATTCCCTTCAGCATGATATCCAGGGCCAGCAGTAGTGGCACCAAAATGGTCTGCATCCAGCTAACACATTTCATTTCAGAGAGCCCAACAGAAGGTTGAGGTTTTATTTCTGTTTTTCCTTAGGTGGTGGTGACCCTTGGAGACCCAAACGTCACGGCCCCTTCTAGTTCTGTTGGGTTGACAAATATTACCGTCACCCCAATTACCACGGCAGCTGGAACCCAATTTACAAACCTCCAGCCGGTGGCTGTGGGCCACCTTACTGCTCCTGAACGCCAGTTACAGCTCGACAATTCAATTCTTACTGTGACATTTGACACTGTCAGTGGTTCTGCCATGCTGCACAATCGCCAAAACGATATTCAGATACAGCCACAGCCAGAGGCAGCCAATCCCCAGTCTGTGGCGCATTTTATAAACCTGACAACCCTGGTGAACTCCATTGCTCCTCTAGGGAACCAGATCACAGAGCAGCATCCGTTGACATGGAGGGCAGTGCCTCAGACTGATGTCCTGCAGCCCCAATCGCAGCAAACACAACAGCAGTCAGGACAGCAGCAAGTTCAAACAGAGCAGCAACAGCAGATGTACAGCTACTGATTTATACTTGAAAAGACTTGAAATGGACTGGACTATGAGACAGTTTAAAAAAAAGTGGAAAACTATACGTGAATTGTTTGCTGGATACCAAACAGAGCTGGAAAAATGTTTATACAATGAAATGTAAACTAAAATTGGCATAGCACCCTGCAACGCTGTGGTCTTGAAATTCGCACACTATTTCTAAACACAGCACCATCTAGAAGTCTCGTTCTAAATTCAGCACCCTTGTGTGGTGGTGTGTTTTGTGCAGTGATGGTTCTGGGTTTTGACAACAGCATTACAATAGACCTTACACAAAGAGAGGAAATCACAAATAGTAAATATGACTAACCCTTCAGCCATACAATTTAATCGTTTTCCAAGCTGGAGGGAATGTATACAGTGAGCTGGGGTTCACTGGTTGTCACCTTCTAGAAACTGAAATGTAAAGATATAATTGAGCCCCCCAAAAAAGGATTGATTTGTTTTTTTCATCCTTAGACGCTCTTGTATCTAACAGAACATCTGGTAAAGTAAGGGTGAGGGTTTGGGACTGGAAGTAGGGTCTATGGGGTGAAAGAAAATGTACCCAATTTCACAAAGTATTTCCATTGTAGTGATGGAAAAATCTTTTATGAGTAAAACATGTCAGTGCTACCTGAAGCAAATAGCCAGTCTAATGTTAAAACAACTTTTACGGTCTTCTAGTAAAGTTAAGTTTGAATCAAACCGGTTATGAGCTGAAACCATAATGTGATAAGATTTTACGTAATTTTGTTAAAATTGCTCTTTCAATATTGCTTTTAGCTAGGAGGCCTGAAGAGCAATCATTCCCCTTTGATCAAGTTCAGGATGTGAATTACCAATTAGTCTTCTTTCATCATGTAATAAACATTTGAGAAAGTAATTTTTTATATAACCTTTGTATTTCACTGTGTGTTCTTGGTGGATATTGACGTATCAACGGCTGGTCTGACTTGGTTCCATGTATCTTTTCATCTCCTTATTCTTCTGCATGGCAGAATTAGTGTGTGGATTTTGCTTGTAGAACTTCCAAATCCCATAGCCATCCACTGGCTGTCATGAAGTCATAAAGTGCAATATCTAACATTCATGTATACTGCCACAAGGAGGCAGTCTGAGCCAATGGATATAGGCCTGCCTGGCTATACGGGAAATGAAGGACAGATGCACCCATCTCTGCTGAGACTGCCATTTCCAATGCCTGATGAGCTGTATCCTCCATATCTTCTGTTGGTACCATGCACAGTCTGGATTGTTGCATATCAAAATGAAGATGATATCCTCTCGCACAAAGGACAAAGCCCTGCTTTTCTCAAAGAGCAGTGAGCAGTAAAAGTTGCTCTCTGCCACTGGACACCTGAAAGGCAAAACTTCCAAACCACCAATGGATGAAGAAAAAGTTCCTTTCCTGCATTACAAACAGAGGCACTCAAACTTGCTAAGAGGGATTTTCCTTGATACGGCAATTGCCGCACTTCACAATGGATACAGACTGATGTAAATGAAAAGCCTGTCTGTGCCTAACACATTAATGGAAATGTTCAGTTTGTAAACAAAAACGTGATGAGGAATGAGTTAAACTTGAAAGTGTGTATCAGCAATATCTACCTCACCCCTAGAGAATGAATTATAATATCCACAGAAAAATCATTCTACTTAGAGACAAAAACAGATCCCTCAGAAGTATGAATGCCTGGAAACGAATAGCTAAAGGATGTGCACCCACTTTGCTCATTATTAATTATTTGTATTGTAGCATTGTCCAGAGGCCTGAAATAGGAGCGGGACCCCATCGTGCCAAGTTCTGTACAAACATTCAGCACAGAGTGTCCCTGCCCCAAGGGGCTCACAACAAAAATAAAATTCAGAACCATATATTCTTTCTTCAGTTACTATTGCCCCATGCAAATTACTCCTTCCCATGCAACCTAAATTATGCACCCTTGTTGTGGTCTGAAATAATAATGTTAGTGAGATGAAGAAATAACATTCTGTTTAATTAGAACTAAAGATTTCAAAACTAACAAATCCTGCATCTTGGCAGGGGGCTAGACTAGATCAGCATTTCTCAAATGTGGCCACAGCCTTCTGGGCAATGATTGGGTGAGGGGGCAAAGCAGCAGCCTCTCCCCCTCCCCCGCCCCAGTACCCTCCCACGCCCCCAGTAGGGGTTGGGCCCTGTCCTCTGCAGACACAAATGCTGGAGGAGCAGGCAGCCAGTGAGTTCCCCACTTTCGTGGGGGCAGGTTTCAGCCCTGGAGTGGTGGACGACAGGCTCCAGCTGCGGGGCTCCAGCTGTGCAGTGACGGCCTCCTTCCCCCGGTGCAGTGCTTCAGGCTCTGTCTCCAGGCCCCATCCGATAGGTGCGGGGCTTTGGTGACAAGCTCCAGGCTCAGCAGCCCTCCCTCATCACCCTTGTGTCCCACTGCCTTCTCCAGCTCAGGGCTTCAGTCACACTGTGGCAGGCTCCAGCACTAGGCTCATCCCCCATCACCCCTGGCTTTTGCTGCCTCCTCTGGCCCCAGGCTTCAGCCACGCAGCGGTTGTCAGCCACTGGCCCCTGCTGCCTCCCTATCCACCTCCCCATCCAGGGCTTAATTTGTCCCCAGGCTTGCAGGGCCGAATTTGTCCCCAGGCTTGCAGGGTCTGCAGTGAAAGTGATATTTGTATGTTTGTCAATATCACTTTTCATAACAAACTTAGTAGCTAGCTGGGAGGCTGTGAAAAGAGATATTAATATACAAGCATCACTTTTCATAGCAGCAGGCTGACTAGACTTAAGTCTAAAATATAAAAAGCAACCAAAAAAGCAAAAGGGGCAACAAAAAGGACAAGAACATGCAAAGCACCTTATTTGTATTTCTATTCTGCTCATACCCAGTAAAGAATAGAGACAACTGTACATTATTTTTATTATTGAGTCTGCAAAAAAAACCCAATCCTACATTAAATACGTACACATGTCCAAATCATTGTACATATTTGTTTTTCCTAAAGTTAATTAAGTATTTTAGGAAAAATTGACAGAGTGGCCACCAGCAAGAGTTGGTGGTCGCATTCTGAGGCCACCAAAAAAATTGTTTTGAGAACCCCTGGACTAGATGACCCTTGCTGTCCCTTCTAACCTTATGGTTCTATGATTCTATGCCCCAGGGTACATTTGCTTATGTCGGAACTCAGAATTTTCTGCAAGTGTGTTGTGCTGATTGAAAGTGGGGTTTTTATATATAGAGAGAGAGAGAGAGAGCGCGCGCACCGGCAAAAACCTTGTGGCTGAGAGAAAACATTATGGAGTTACAAAATATGTTGATCTATGGTGATGTAAAGTTAACTGGTACATTTTACCTACATTTACTAACAAACATATGTATTGCTTTTTAAAAAGTGTACTACATGTTAGAGCCATATCACACTGAAAATAGACCCCTTGATAAGGAAATGTTTGGGGTTTTTTTTCCTTCTTTCATTTTCCTAGTAATATGTATTTATGCAAACTGAAGGTTGGGCTAGGAGGTGTAAGTTCATCAGGTGGCAGTAAAGTAAAATGAGCATGAGTGTGTATTTAGTTTCTTTAATTTCTCCAGAGCCTTGTAGATTGGTGTTTCTGCAATATAAATAATGAGGAAAGTGGCTTCATCCCTTAACTGTTCATTTCCAGACTGTCCTATTTGAGGATTTTTGAAGCAGAAGCACTAGAATACATTTGCAGTGGGACAGGATAGGCTCTATTGCTATATGCTTTCAAAATCAACTCATTCCTACTGAAGTTTGTTGTTTGTGAATTTCCCTGCTTTTTTTCCTTTAAGTGCCAAATGTTGAAATAGGGTTGATGTTTATATGGTTTGCAACAGAGAGAGCCCTGAGACAGATTTTATGAGGACCAATGAAGCAGAGCTTCTTTCCTCCAGATGTTAGCAAGGCCATAGAAGGAAAGTTGGGGGTGGGGAAGAGTTCCATGTGGGTGGGATCAGGGTGGGCACAGTGGAGGAGAAGGAAAGGCTTTTTATCTGGGTGATCATATAATGAATGTGTGCATGCCAACCATTTATTTGATCTACTGTAATCATATCAAAAGAAATGTCTCTTTTGATCCTCCAGTAGCCTTCCCCTAACCCCAAAATACTGAAAGGCATTTCACTGCAGGAGAACAAAAGGCAAAAACACTGAAGTTCCTTGAAGAAATTATGAGCTTAAAAAGTATTAGAAAGTTTTTCAAAAAATAAACTTCAGCTACATTTTTGAGAGCACCTCAACTTTAAAACTGTTTTACTTGGGTCAGTATACTGCAAACATAACATTTATCAGAGCATTTCTCTTGATTATTTTTCACTGAACTTCCCCCCCAAAAAGCCCTGTACCTAGGGTGAGATGCAACATATGGAACTGCAGCACGACTGATGTCTTTTTGGAGAAGTTGGGGGTGGAGGATCTTGAAAATGAGCTGATCTTGGAGAGCTAGTGTGTGCTGCAGCTTCACAACTATTCTCCCTGTGAAAACATGTCCTTTGCAATGCTACTGTGGTCGGGGTTATCTCTCAGGATTGGCCTGCTTTTAACTTTTTTCCACAGAGTTTGTCAAGGATTTTTCTTTAATACTTTGGCCCAATATGAGGAACTTACTTATCTGAGCAGTTTCTATATCTCCTTTGCTCACGAAATATTGTCTTTAGTTCAAATGAATACCAAAGTTATGCCCTTTTGTTTCAAAGTAAAAATACAAGGGGTGTGTAATCCAGCACAGAGACATGCATTTATTGAACAATATCTTTGCCAGTACATCACCAGCCTTTTTTGACTAATGTGAAGTTATTCCCTGTCTTTTCAGCAGTGATTTGGGAATTTTGCACATTGATAATAGCAAAATATTGACTTATTTGGAGCCAAAATAGCAACATATAGCATTCCATGTACATACAATTGTCTGTTGATAAAATATTTAGTTGAATGGTGCCTATGGCACATGGACACTGAAACAAAGGAGCCTCAAGCTGCAGAATCTTTACTAGCGCTATCATTCAAAACCAAAAAAGGATTAGTGTAACCATCGAACTTTGCCTGCTCTAAAGACAAGAAGCTTACTCAAGTTATGTCTTGTTACATTTGTACGTACCACAGAATACAAAAACACGGTACAGTTTTCAAATAATTATACTACAGCACTGCCATTGTAAAGAAGTGGGATGAGGAAAAGGTTAAGTCCTCCTCACCTGTAGTCTGAGATCTCTCAGGAAAACTTACTGTATCAAGTGCTATTACACTGTCTACTATTAAACTTTTTTGAGACTTCTCAATACAGAAGGTGTATATTTTGTGTAGAAATGTATATATTGCTTTTCCATCTGTCTAAATAGCCACATTCTCTGTACCTGTTAATGTTCTGGAAATTTTGAAGTTCTGGAAATTCTGAAGTTGACACATGGGTAGGTATTCAAGAGTTAATTTTTCAGAAAAGATTTCCTATCACTGTGTAATAGAACAACCCAGTAAATGGTGCTGTGTGTGTATGCAAAGGTAACTGAATTTCCCATCCTGAAAACCGTGAGTAAAGCCATATATCTCTCTCACTCACACACACCAGACTCTCACACACAGACAGAGAGCCTATAGATGCCATAACATCTCCAATTCCTGGTTTCCTTAAAGAAGGGAAATTCAGTGCATCTGCTGTGGACTGAGCTTCCCACTGCCATTCAGAAGCCTGCAGAATTTTGTAATTTTGCCTTCAGTTAACAAGTTGTGAGTCACTGATTTCATTCGTAGCATTGTCTTCACATAGAGAAGCCAAATAGCAATGCTAGAAAGAACAAGAAACGGCTGCAGACTCTTCTAGATTCTGATGTTACTTTGAGAATCTATATGAATTTCAATTTCCAGCTGTTTGAATATTATCTAGAAATTTAAATTTGTGTTCATTCACGATGAAACAAGTGAAGACTCTCCCTGGTGGGGCGTCACACGTATGAGGAAATGTCACGGGTAAAAGGGAAATCAAATTACTATTTTTATTCTTGGAGCAAAATAGCTACCTTATACCATTACAAGCACAAGATCTTACAAGAGGGCATTGGAGGACATCAAGAAATTAAACGGAATTCATTGCAAAAATGCAGGGGAGGTGGTTCAAAATAGCATTGAGACAATATCCAAAGGAGAAAATCTCACCGAAAGTGAGAATACTTGTTAGGCCACTGGAGCTGGTGAGCCTTGCAAGGGCAAAAGGGCAACCTGGAGCACCAGGAGAGACACTTCTCGCAACAAATGTGGCATTTGTACTTTGCAACTCCATCACTCTGCAACCCCAAAAAACAACAGATAAGCTTGTGCCAGCTAATGTCCAAAAAAATTAAAAATCACCAGTTTCAAGGAAACAACTGAACATGGGGAAAGACCAAGATGGTTATTAGGTCTTCCAAAGGCTGTTTCCTCCAGCTCTGAGAGGTTTTATTTTTCTGTCACTAACCCATTTGCACTCCAATAGGTAAGAAGAAGTTGCAGTTTTCTTGATAAACCCGATTTGGAAACCTTTATAATGCTGCTGTAAAATTTTACTTCAGGCTCTGACTTACACAAAGTGTAGCATACAGCACATTTTAAAACAAACGTTGAGAACATTGTCTTGGATGTTTTCTTTGTACCTTTCTACAAACACTACTAGTTTGAACTACGGAACTCACATTTCCATTTCAAACTGAAATTCATCTCGTGAAGCATCCGTAAGATAGTCAAACCACATTTGACATATTGGATTGTTTTCTGAAGAATCCAAGAAATCCACCACTGCCCTTGAGCTCTCCCCTGACACGCCGCTATCCTCGGTCCTGAGTGCTCTCATGCATGCTGTCTTGCATCCACACATGCAGTCCCCTAGTGCTGCCCCGCATCCAGCTCTGAGCTCTTCCCCAGATAGACAGTCAGGCTGAAGAGGACCATCCTCACTAGGGGGCCCAGCAGTTCTGGGAACCCAAACTGCATTCTGTCTCTCTGCTTCTCTAGGAAGCACCAAATGCCCAGATCCAATTCTCTCATGTGCCTGTGACTGGGGATTCCTGGTGCTCCCTGCTTTGCTTCTCCCAAGGGTTGAGGGTGCCCAGGGACACCATGACTACAAAAGAGGTGTTGCAATGTGGCACATGAGATTGTAATGCCTTTCCAGTTTGGTCAAGGAAGGGTCTGGACTGCTCCCTCATTGTGCCCCTGCCTAGCAGCGGGTCCTCTAGCCCCACCCACCACCAGAAAGATCCCGGGCATGACTGTGGCGGTAGCCCTCCCAGAGCTGTACTACACAAGCTGCAGGGCTTGACTCTGCAAGGTGCTCAGCACACTGGCCCCAATTCAGCAACTCACTTAAGCACGTGCTTAACCTTCAGACTCATGGAAGTCCAGGGGAATTACTTATATCCTCAAAGTGAAGAATGTGCTTAAGTACTCTGCTGGCTGAGAACCAGAGTGCTCGGCACCTTGCAGGATCAAACCCACAGTACACATCCACCTCCTGCACGGACTCCTTGCAGCCTATTCTCCCGTCCCTATCACACTGAAAGTGCAATAGTTCTGCTGTGCTGGGTGCCCTCTGCTGCCCTGCAGAAAGCTGGAGGCTTTGGGCTTTAGTTTCCTCCTGAATGTTCACAAGACTGAGCTTTTTTCGAAGGTACCTGTGTTATTCGCCAGGAGCAAACACTCAGCAACCTGCAAAATATCAAGTATGTGGGGAATACTATGAGAGTGAAGGGCTTTTGCCATCGTAACAATGGATGGGACCTGCATAGAGAGTGGGGCTGAATTGACATTTATCTTGTACCAGCCTTAACGAGATGAGCTGGTGTCCAGTTATGGAACTGCAGCAGAATGTGTTTTCTGTCTCATCATCTGTCATCTTCTGGTACAAAAATAAGGAAACGTGATTTTGGCTAAACGACTCTTAAAAACCACACCAAGGGAACACGCAGGACTGAAACAGCCTTCGGCCTCCCAGCACGGTACAAACTTCTCTCATGTGCTGCACTTAACATCCAATCAACTTTTGTCTTCTCTTCTGCTGTAGACAGTGGAGCTTAGGTTCACTTATTATTTTAATTTATTTCTAATAGTATGTTCTGGGTTTTAATATTTAGTTTTGTTATATTTAATGTTTCTAAATTTTCTATTAAAGGAAATGGCATTTGCATTTTGGGTGCAGAGGGAATGAAGGATCAGACAGTCACTTAATAAACAGTTATCTGGTAAAGGCACTTTTGTTGCAAGGTTCCTTAGAGAAGGAACTGAAGAAGACTGTCAGAACATTATTCTAGAAACACATGCCAGTCCTATAGACAACCTCCTGTCCCACACAGAACGCTTCTTTATTATTATTTGTCCTACACTATAGCATTAAAATCCCCAATACAGATCACAGACCATCGTACTACTAAGCACTCTATCAACACATAGTGAAAGATCGTTCGTGCCCCAAGAAGCTTACATTGAAGGCCTGGTTTACATCTAAAACTTAGGCTGACTTAGCTATATTGCACCGGGCTGTGAAAAATTTCATGTGCTGGAGAATATATCATCCATCTGTCTCTCTGAATTTTTAATTTCAGTGTCTAAGGGACATAATGCTTGAGAACAAAACTTAACTGTTTTGTATATAGCAGCAGAAGCCTATCATAACCATAGCATTTTACTAAGGAGTACAGTTCCTTGATTTTTTTCCTGCCAGGCTACTAATGTTACAGCACAAAATTCTTACCTGCCTTTGCAAAATTCACAGTAAAAAGGATGAGCAGCAGAGTGTCTCAATTAGATGTGCATTTTCAAACCTGCCACTGAGATGATCATTTCATACAATTAACATTTTACTCAATTAACTGAAAAGAAAAACATTCTTATTTCTAGTTGCAGTGGTTGAATAGGAAAGGCAGATACGCAAAAAAATAGTTGAACAGAAAAATAGTCCATAAATGCTCACAACCCAGGAAAAATGACATCACAGTCTCTAAATACCCAACTAAAATCCAGAAATATTTTGGGGCAAATTTTGCACATCAGTTACACACTTGCAAATCCAGCAAAAATCTTTCCTGAGGCAAGTAGGGTGAAGTACTCCTGGGGAAATTCTGCACCACTGCGCAAGCACGGAATTAATGACCCCCCACAGATTTTTTCCCCCTGCAGAATAATTGTTTCTGACGGGGAGGTGAAGGGAAGCCGCAAGAGGGGTCACGCACCCCTCCTGGGCAGCGGTCCCGAGTAAGTGCATCTGTTTGGGTGTCACAAGCAGCTGGGGGAGGTATAAATCACTCCCTCTGTTGTGGGGGGTAGGCAGGGCTGGGTGTCTGTGCAAGACTCTGTCCCTCTCACTTGCTATCACGGTGCGCCCAGCATGGAAGGGCAGGGCTCCAGGTGGTTCTGGGGCAAGTGTGGGGCAGGCCTGGCCCTCGCACTGTGTCAGGTGGGTGCAGCCTCGTCACTGAGTCTGTGTCCCAGAAGGTATGGGGAGAGGGCTGTAGGGTGATCTCCCTCCTCTGTACCAAAATAATTGAAACTGGTGTGACTATATTGTGTGATTTTGACAAAATACAGGATTTTTCAGAATTTTAAAATATTGTGCACAGAATTTTTTGGTGCAGAATTCCCTCAGGAATAGTAAGGAGAAGGTTAACACAGTTGTAAATGGATTCAGAAGTTCTCTCTTTTTCATTTCATATTATTTTTACTATAAAACCAGAACACAGACACTAAACCCATTTGACAAATGTTTCCTGATAAAGTAATAACACAAAACTTGCAGAAATTTACAAGTTATAGAAAAACATTAATGAAACACAAAACAAAGGCAACTTAAATGTCTTTGTCTGAGTATATGCTATACTGGTATAAGCACTTTTATACCGATATAACTATTGTCTACATTAGAGGGTTTTGCACGTATTGGCCTTGTCCTCACTAAGCCCTGGTCTACACTGGGGGCGGGGATCGATCTAAGTTACGCAACTTCAGCGACGTGAATAACGTAGCTGAAGTCAACGTACTTAGATCGACTTACCATGGTGTCTTCACCACGGTGAATCAATTGCTGCCACTCCCCTGTTGACTCTGCTTGTGCCTCTCGCAGAGCTGGAGTACAGGAGTCGATGGGAGAGCGCTCAGGGATTGATTTATCGTATCTAGACTAGACACGATAAATTGATCCCTGCTGGATCAATCTCTGCCCGCCAATCTGGTGGGTAGTGAAGACATACCCTAAGAAAAAAAGGGGGGTGGGGGTGTTCTTAACTTGTTAGCTAACTAACATTAACTAACTCGAGGTAAAATCCCAGTGAAGACAAGGCAATTTGCAGTTTTCATACCTGTGTGTGACTCTTGAAATACAGAGTTACTGGTTAAATAAACTACTTCAGTATGCCATCTGATTTTTTGTGCAGTATTTAAGGAGACATATTATACCATTAGATCTATCCCAATAGCTTAATAGATGACAATTCCCAATGCCCAAATATTATTTGATTTTGCTGTAGAAATTACATACTATCAAAATATGCATGCAATATTTCCTGATGCAGGCAAAACCCCCTTATTTTTCTAGTGCAGCTGGATAAGAGAGACAACCCACTGACTCGTTAGAGATACTGAAACTGTGACAGGAATATTCAAACACTTTTCAAAAGTTAGTTTTTAATACGTATTTTTATTGCTGTAATACCCATGCACCAATACATCACAACTAATACAAAGTACCAGGCCCTGGATTCACTCCATTCAAGGAAAGTATCTGATTTGTATCATCTTCCTCCCTCTTATTTCAAACAGTTTTTAATACTGACCTATTTATTTGATCTAGCTATTTTGACTTTAAAATATTTTAAAATAAACCGTCACCATTTGATAAAGATGGTTTATCTAAACAAATACACAGAAGAAAAAGTGCAGTATTCACAAGCTGAAGGTTTTCCAAATTTTTGCTTAGAATCGCCTAAATTGAAAGCAGATTTAACTTCCAATTACACCTAATGTGATCTCTGCGTAGCCTTTGGTTAAACAAAACTTTTACCACAGTGCTGGCATAAAAATTTTTGTTCTGAAGAATAAAATAAGTGAAGAGAGAAAATACTTAGCTGGTAGCATAGAACTGTATGTTGAATGCATTGTGAGGGGACATACCATATTAAAGACTGTTTTAAACTAAATTTTAGTGTTTATCATTTTCAAACAGTCATTCCAGGAAGGGCTCTTGTTCTGCACTATGAAAGAGATAACATTTTATCATGTTTAGTCCAGCAGCAAATTAAAGATGAAACGTACTCAATGCAAATAAGTCTGAGATGCTAGAATGATAAGGGAATGATGCAAATCCTCATTTTTTCACTTTCTGGGAAGGGCAGCATGCTTCAGAGCTGTTATACATACTGTTTTGTGGATGGTCTCAGAAGAGAACAATTGAGAGATGTGTTTGTTCTTCCTCCCTCATTCATTCTACACTCCTACATATTTAAGACCCTATTCTGACCTTTCAAAGGACTGCCTGTTTCTGACTTTAGAGACACAAGGTGGGTAAGGTAATATCTTTTATTGGATCAAATTCTGCTGGTCAGAGAGACAAGCTTTTGAGCTACATAGAGCTCTTCTTCAGGGCTGAGAAAGTTACTAAGAGTGTCATAGCTTGATATGCTAAACTATCTGTTCGATCTTGTATTTAGCTGTTTTTCTGGTATGTGTGAAGAAGTCATCATTAATCAATTTTTGCCCTAATCCTGCAGGTTTTACTCAGGCAAAACAAAAGTCTTTGTAAACATGCAAGTTAGAACTATTTAACTTGAGTAATCAAAAGAAAAAATGAGAAACTTGCTCCTGAGGGAAAATGTATCTCATTTTCATTCACTATCCTCCCTACATTTTCCCATGCAGTACATACAGATCTCAACATGAACTAAGTTTTCCTGTAGGCATAATTTATTTGTGTGGTTAGCGAAGTGAGAAAAATGGGTTAAACAGGTGACAATCTCCAGAAACAGGTTTCAGAGTAGCAGCTGTGTTAGTCTGTATTCGCAAAAAGAAAAGGAAGACTTGTGGCATCTTAGAGACTATAAATAAATTTGTTAGTCTCTAAGGTGCCACAAGTACTCCTTTTCTTTTTCCAGAAAAAGGGAGATGCATAACGTGCTGCTGGCAGAAAAGTTTTTACAAGGCACACTGTATTTATTGCTCTTGGGTTAGAGGAATCCCATCATTCCTGAAAATGTCTGGTTGGCAAATGGACGGCTATTATTTTCATTTTATAACACATTAAATTACCTTCCTATTTAACATTCTGTTCTCAGTTAACCAAATCAGAAATGGACATCAACCATAAATGCAAAGGCTTCACCAAAATGAACACTGATCTAAAAACTAATTTCAACTGAACACTGACTAGCTGTATTCAGCTGAAGTTTGTAACAATCTAAATTCTGGCTATTTGATTATTCTGCACCTTTGCTTACTGCTCAGGCAACCATCACAGTGTACAGCAAAATTAACCAAACATGTGGCTTTGATCTAGCTACAAGTAAAGGCCCAGTCCTGTAAACACATACACACCTGTTTAACTTGAAATGTGTGCATAAGTATTTTCAGGACTGGGGCTAAAGAGTGTTGACATTTACAATTTTATTTTGTTTTTTTAAGGATTTAGGACTACAACATAAGTAACACATTCAATGCTGCCATCCAATGTAACAGCAATATTAATGACCGACAACAGTGCTGCAGAAAATGCCCTGGGGAACCAATATCAGTTGAGTTAAAATGGAACAAAGTACACATGAAAAAGTAAGATGGGGCAGAAAAGTCCCACTTTGTTTGCGGAGGTTCTCTTTTCTTTTTCTGGGAGTAGGGGATGGTAGTAAGGCTTAAATAATCTAAAATCTTTTTTTTTTTTTGCCTCGATCCTAAAAGGTCTCCAAAGAGAGACCAGCTATAATTTATCTCGTAAATCAAGCTGTGACATACCATGGTACAATCCAGAGTAATGAGCAAGAGTGTCACACCTGCCCAGCAACCTTGGCTGCCTTACAGTGCCTTGCTGAAGTAGCCACACCGGAGCTGCTCACAAACAGCCTTCCAGCATGCAAGCCACATCCTGAGTGTCTGTGTGTAACTATAGCCTGACAGCCACACTTGGGTTACACTCTGGCTCTCACCAGCCTTGGTTATACTACAGGATGACTCCAACACACCCCACTCCCAGACTTCCCCCCCAAAATGTATGTCATCTATTGCTAACTCTCTCTTGAACACTACAAAATATTTTAAGTCCACTATTCCTTAAAGGAAATATGCCATTTTATTATCTCAAATAATCTTATCTCATTTTATTATCTCAGACACTTCAATTTAAACACACTGGATTAGATAAAACAGTAAAATAATCTTATTAACAGCCAAAGTCAGCACTCAGAACAACCTGCTCAGAAAATTGGCTGGTTCAACCTGGGTGCGAGCACTCAGATGCTTAGAACATCAGCCCTTGCCCTCTGCTATGCAGCTGCAGAGTAATGTGCTCCTGTCTGGTGTCGCTCATCTCCATGGGCAGTGGGTGAAACTTCCTCTGGATGAGGCGAGCTCCTTGTCCTGCCTCTTCCACCCACAGCACCGTCCACGCTCTGCCCCTGCTCTGACCCAGGCCCCGCAGGGAGTTCGGTATATGCTGTACAGAGAGAGATGAAAGCCCGATCTGTCCTTTTGAAAAACTGCTTGTCATTGACAGCCTGCTTTAAAGCAGTAGTTTAATCACCTTTCTTTCACAGAATTCCCTGCCAGACTCATTTACGTAAACTGGGTTTGAATAAGACAACTAGATCAAGAAAAACAACAAGGAGTCTGGTGGCACCTTAAAGACTAACAGATTTATTTTAGCATAAGCTTTCGTGGGTAAAAACCTCACCTCTTCAGATGCATGGAGTGAAAGTTACAGATGCAGGCATAAATATACTGATACGTGAAGAGAAGGGAGTTAGTGGGGAACCAGTGTTGACAGGGCCAATTTGATCACGATGGATGTAGTCCACTGCCAACAATAGATGAGGAGGTGTCAATTCCAGGAGAGGCAAAGCTGCTTCCGTAATGAGCCAGCCACTCCCAGTCCCTGTTCAAGCCCAAATTAATGGTATTACATTTGCAAATGAATTTTAGTTCTGCTGTTTCTCTTTGAAGTCTGCTACCCTTAATTTCCCACTTCACACCCCGTATGCATAACAATCTAACCCTCAATTGCCCACTTCAAGTAATGGACTACAACATGCATTACCCCTTATGCTTAACAATCTATCCCAAACTGTATTTAGCTCAAACACTGTGATTTCCTTCCCCAGATCTGAAGAAGAGCTCTGTGTAGTTAATCTGTACCTTATTCCCTGATAACCAGAAACTTCTATGCTTGAACTCTGTACCGTTTTCTTTCTATTTCAACATTATCTTAATAAAATTATTAAATCTGAAAGCTTGTACCTTCCACCAACAGAAGTTGGTCTAATAAAAGATATTACCTCACCTACCTGATCTCTTTTTTTCTTTTGTTCCATGCAATACTCTTATTTGGCCTAGAAAAAAATTCTATTGAAAACAGGCAGAACAAAGACATAATGGGAAAATAAAAGTCACAAACAGCAATTGCTCAGTAGGCTACCATGAAAACGGTATGACATCAACAACGTCTCACATTTATTATGTGTATGTATTGTGATAGCACCAGCTACAGACCCCAGTCAGGACAAGGGCCTTATTGTACTGGAATTACACCGTCACATAGTAAGAGACAGTGACTGCCCCAAGATATTTATAAAGATTTACACATTTAACTAAGCACATGAGTCATCCTATAAAGCACCAGTGCTGCATACGCTTAACCACATGAATAACTTTTAAGATCTTGCGTAGTCCCACACTGACTTCAACAAGTCTACACGTCAGTAAAGTTAAACATTAATGTTACTTAGCATAGCACTGGCTTTCAAGAGTGGGCAACACGGCTGACCTAGGCCTAAACCAACCAGCCCAGGACACTGCTGTTCCTTTTGGAAAACCTGAGTCTTTCCATCATCGGAACACTGCGTCCACCTTTTCTAGAGGAGCGGGGGGCCACCCCTGGCAGGATCAAAGAGGAGTGATTACATTTAACGCAAGTTGCACCTCCGCCTTTTTTTCTGTCGCCTACAGCGTCACAGCTGATAATTTACAAATCCCACATACAAATCATAGAATCATAGAATCATAGAATATCAGGGTTGGAAGGGACCCCAGAAGGTCATCTAGTCCAACCCCCTGCTCGAAGCAGGACCAATTCCCAGTTAAATCATCCCAGCCAGGGCTTACCCTTACCCCATGCAAATCCCAGCCGTCTATGAAGGCCACACAGGCGGCAGCTGCAGCCCTGTCTACACTAGGGAAACCTGAGGGGCGGGCAACGGGCCAGGAAAGGCAACCACCCTGCCGGTGGGTGCGGTGTTGTGCCTCACACACAGCACCGCAGGAGAAGAGGGGCTTGGGGACGGGGTCACGGCAGCGGGGACATGAGGAGGGAGCTGGTCACTTGGCAGCTGGAGGGGGAGGGCTGGGGGAGCAGAGGCGACCCCGCCCCCAGCTTGCTCTTTTCACCAGGGGGCGGGGCTGCACCCCTCCATGTCCCCGCCTCCCTCTGGCGCGAGGGAGAGGGCGGGGCGGACTCCCTGCGGCTTCTAGCCCCGCCCCTAGCTGATCCCAGAGGGCCGGTGGCGGTTGATCGAGGAGGCGGCGCCCAGTCAAGGCGGGGGAAGGAGAGGGGGGCGGGGAGCACCAAAAAGTTCATCCGTTGGCGGCGGTTGCGCGAACCCCGCCCCCGCCCCCGCACCTGCTTGAGGCGGTGCCGCCGGGGACTCGGAGTCTCGGCCCCGCCCCCCGGGCTGCTGGGAGGGGGCGCCGCCTCCGCTCTGATTGGCTCAGCCGCGGGGCCGCCTGAGCGCGCGGCCGGGCATCCCTGCGGCAGCCCCACCTCGCGCCCCTAGGCACGTGAGTTATCCGGGCCAGCCGGTGGGAGCCTCGATCCCGCTGCTAGAGCGGCTGAGGCGTGTGGGCTCAGGCCGCTCTAAGGTGCGCGCGCGCGCGCGCCGGCTCGCCCAGCGCCCGTCTGTGTCCGCCCTTTCCCCGCGCGCCGGCTCTGAGCGACCCAACCGTGTGCGTGGGGCTCGTGGTGGGGGAGGCGCCTGTTAACGCCAGCACTTCCCCCCGTCCATAAGTCCCTACAGCGCGGGGGAGGGGGGCACAGCATTGGCGGGGGGTTATGCGCAGTGACGGGCGAAGGGAAATATTTGGACCGTTGTAATTCAAATGCATCGATTGGAGCCGCAGGGACGGGCGTAGCCGGGGTGGCTGCTCTGAGACAGCCCTCCGGAGCCAGCGGCCCCGGTCCCGCAGTCCTTTCCAGAGAGTAGAGCTTGCTCTGTCCAGCCTTGCTGCACGTGGCGCTTGCCCCGGGGGGACCTTCTCCCCCCGCCCCTCCCCTCCGCCCCCCCCCCCCGTGGCAGCGGGCTGGCCCCTGTTGGGTGCAGCTCGGGCTCTGTTAAAACGAAGAATCACGGTTATTCAGAATGTGAATTTGATTGTGTTGTTAATTATTCCGAAATCGGGCAACTTATTAATGCAGTGTTTGAAAGTGAAAGACTGCCTGGGCAGAGCCCAACCGGGGGCGGGGGGCGGGGGCGGACTCAGGGCAGGTCTGGGACCATCCCCGCGTTCTGCGCCCGGGGTCCCGTGTCCGTGACACTGAGCCGTACAAGCCGGTGTTGCGGCGGCGCGGGCACGGTTGCCATTTGTTAGAGGCTCCTTTCACGGGGTAGCGTTTTCAGGTGTGTGTCAGCGGCTTGGGAAAAGGGTAGTTAGTTAACTTGTGTTCCTTTTGCTAGCAGTTTCTCTAGGCAAACTACAGACATATTGTCCGCAAATGCATTGAGTACCCATTTCATTTCACTTCATGGTGTTGACATAGGGAGAGAAACCGATTTAGGTCCCATTTCCTCACGCCTCTGCCTAAGGCCTAGTCTTCACATAGATTTTGTATTGGTATTGGGTTGCTTGGGGATGAGGGTCTTTTACCAGTATATAGTTATACCAGTACAAGCGCTTAGTATGAGCCCATTTATCCTGGTATACATCATGGTGCTTATATCAGTATAGCTTAGCCCCCTTTCTGCATGGCAGTGATTCTCAAACTTTTTTAGGGGTGACCCCTTTCATGTAGCAAGCCTCTGAGTGTGACCTCTCCCCCGAATCAATTAAAAATGCTTTTTAATATGTTTAACACCGTTATAAATGCTGGAGGTAAAGTGGGGTTTGGGGTGGAGTCTGACAGCTCGCGACCCCCCATGTAAGAACTTCACGATGCCTTGAGGGGTCCTGACCCTCAGTTTGAGAAGCCCTGCGGGAATAAGCTATACTAGTATAAACAGATTTATATCAGTATAACGGTGGCTGCACTTGTGTGTACCACTTGAATTATACCAGTATTGTTAAAGAGGTGCAACTTTTGTGTGTAGACAAGGCCTGTGTGTGGGCAAGATTAGGCCATAGAGTCTGAAAGGTATTATCCACCCAGTTATAAAAAGATGGTTGTTTTCATAAGAGAAATTTCTGAAAATCTAATAACAAAACTACTCTGTACTTTAAAGGATTTTAAGTAATGGCCCCTGGAAACAAATTCAAGTATTCTGAACTGATATTACTGTGTGAATGGGAAGAATGCCTTTTTGTAGGAAAATGCATGGAGGAATTTTGTGATCACATTGCAGAACACTTGAAAGATTATCGACAACATCCTCTGGAAAGAACAGGTAATATATCTGTCTCATTCACCATACAAATAATACTGCAGTTTTTAAGATTTTTGTACTTTGGTCCTGATCTTGCACTGGCTCTGTGCGGGTAGAATGAAGTCAATAGAACTCTATGTGTGTGCTGGTGACTACCTGCACAGTCACTTGCAGGACTGGGGCCTATTTTTGTTTTTTTATTTGCATCTGATTTTGCTGGTTTTCTCTTTTTCTAAAGATATAGTACTAAAATAGAAATAATGCTAATGCAGGTGAAGTCATGAATCAGACGTTTAAACTCAGTTTCTTCTTGAATTAGGGCTAAAGTGTGGTGTGTGTTTTGTTTTGTTTTTAAATTGGTAGTCTCAAAAAAGAATTTTTAGCTTTCTGGGGCTTATGTGTTACTTAAGATTTGTAACTTTAAGGTGGAGGTTGGAGAAATCAACTTAGAGGTAACTTGCCCTTTGGTTGTAACTGTTTTCTGTGAATAAATAAACAGTATTTAGTTGCTCCTGTTATATATCTTGCATCTTTCTTCTAATTACAGTTACTTACAAGAAAAACTTAGAAGTTGTATCCCACAGAAAATTATAAGCAGTCTATGTAGACTGTAATAGCAATAGTAGAGTAGATATTTTTAATATTGCTACTGTAGCTCTTATGAATCCTGACCTTTATTCTTAACACTGTTTTCACATGTTTAATTGCTGGTGTAGATACTAGACGGAGTTTAATTAAAGGTACAGTAAATAGAAAGTAAAATTGAACCAACAACAATATGCACTCAGTGCCTCCACTATGCAAACTAATGGTATTTTAGCTCATACATAAGTAAAAAAGCTAATTTTTACAAAATTCTGTATTGGTCCTCTGAAACCACTGAGCTTGTCCTGGTGTTTTGGTGCTCCAGAATGAGTAATTCTATGGTGTTACAGCTGTGTATAACCTGCTGGAGTACTGGACATTAGAGACTCAAGTAATTTCTGTGTTAATTTTTGTTTTGTTGCCTTATTACATGCCTTATTTTCCTGCAATTGAATCGATGTGTGCAGATCCTTGGATGGAGTCCCTTTCAAATTTAGAAACTCTGCCAACTCACTGGATTGAAACAAGTAGGCAGAACAGAGTGATGACCATGTGAAAACCTGCAAACTAAAAATACCTGATACAGAAACTGGCTGTTTGGCATTCTTAACAGTGTCCTTTTGAATTCAAGATTTGCACTGTCAAAAATCAAATATTGTGCAACACTCAAATATCCAAACCAAAATTATCTGAAACTCTTTTATCTGAAATAGATATATCCTCTTCTTCCTGTGTCTTGGAATTTCCTTTGTGTTTCCATACTTATTCATTGTGCCCATTACCTTTGGATAATCCAGTTTGTACTATACAACTAACTACTCAAGTGGGTTCAGGAAAGATTATTGAATAATTAAAAGTTTGGTTGACTGTTATACAGGCTGGAGTGCAATTGATTGTAAAATTTGAAAACACAACCAAGATTTTTGGAGCAAGGACTGTCATTTGCTAAAAGTCCAGTGCCTAAGAATAAAGCCTCAAGTCTTTTACTATTATTTATATTGTGGTAATGTGTGATCAGTTATATGCAGCGTTCTTGTAGCCATGTTGGTCCCAGGATATTACAGAGACAAGAATATTACTTTGCCCAACTTGTCTTTTTAATAGTAATCAATAGCACTGTAGAACTGTTCAATAGACTTTACTCAGACATTCTAAGCCCAGTGCTCTCTTTCTGGGGAAATTCCACTTGTTAACTTGTTGGGTATACTAGAATTGTCTGAGTTTTGAGAAAGTGAAAAATCTTGTTTATTGCTGAGGCTTAAAATCTTCAGATACTTAATTATCTGAACACAGCTGTTATCCATCACTCTACTAGTTTTACCTATGGCTCAGTAGATCATCACCTAAAATGTAAGTAATAGTTATCTTCTGGTATCTTCTTGAAGATTGTCACACACAGTTCCTAATTTAATACAACATTCCATGAAACAGTATTTCTTTTTTTGTGTGTTTAGAGCAGTACCAGTGTTGGTGGAGAAATTGTGAATTTTTGGCTACAGGTCCCAGGGAGCTGGTAACCCATGTAAATTTTCATAGTTACCACACCAAGTTGAAATTCTTAGGCTCTCAATTAAGTGCATCGCACCAAGATTGGCCAGCATGTTCCCAGAACAGCCATACCCAGAATCAGATACCAAGGATTTCAGAGATGTATGTTTGCCATTGGGAGAATTGTGATGTAAGTGAAGTGAATGTTTCCTTTCTTGTCTCCTAACTCTACCTTAACTGTCCCCATCTCCAGGACCTGGAAAAGGGAATACCACTCAATAATAAATGGTAAAACCTCTATTTCCTCTTCATATCTTCCACCTTGGGGAGAGGGATAGCTCAGTGGTTTGAGCATTGGCCTGCTAAACCCAGGGTTGTGAGTTCAATCCTTGAGGGGGCCATTTAGGGTTCTGCGGCAAAAATCAGGCATTGGTCCACCTTTAAGCAGGGGGTTGGACTAGATGACCTCCTGAGGTCCCTTCCAACCCTGATATTCTATGATAAGTAGAAGTGGTAATTATTGTGATAGTGTTTGCCAAAGAATATACTGTATGTAAACACCATTTATTTTAGCATATGCAACCAATTTACTTTAAATCCAAGTATTTTTCCTTTTGTTAGAACTAAAATGACTTTTTTCCCACTGCACTGCTTTTTATGTGTTTTAGAAATATATCATACAAAATTAGAATATTTCTGGTTACTTTACAAGCTAATGAATATGCCATCAACCTAGCTAAGAGACCCGCTGTATTTACTTTATCCATTTTCTGGAACAAAAATTAGACAAGAATATCTGATATTTTCTCAGGCATTGCAGCCTTTTAATGATTCTGGAACTGGATGGCTCAGAGGATTTGTTAATGAGTCTTTCATCTTTAAGTCACTAATTCAAATCTGACATAGCCTGGGAGTAACTGAAAAATGTCAGCTTCTGACAGCTCTTTGGTGGAATATGTAAAATTAATTAGTGGTCTCCATCCAATTCCTAGTGGACAATGTCTGTATCAAGAGTCGTTTGCGGTGTTGTTGTACCCCTGTTGGCTGTTGAAGAAGAGCTCTTGGTAAGCTTGAAAGCTTATCTCTTTCACCAGCAGAAGTTGGTCCAATAAAAGATATCACCTCACCACTTTGTCTTTCTGTATCAAGAGAACGATTACATTTACACCAATTAATATCCTCTTTGCCAGTGTTTTAGATTGAGAACACTGAGCAAGGTAGGCTTCAGACAACCTTCCTTCACTACTACCTCTTTTTTAAAAGGTTGTTGCCCCTCTCCAGGTTGGTTTTCATGAAATTTACAAACATCAATCTTTGACTCAATTTACTTATTTGTTTTTAAACTATTTAAGAATAGAGAATTAGATTAAAACAAAAGATTTGGCATGCAGAACACAAACGCTATGAAACTCAGTCTGAAAATCTCACCTAGATAGGTTCACTTCAAGTTTAATTCTACAAAATTAAAAATAAGCAGACACATTTCTAAAAGAGCTCTCTCTCCCCTCTCTCTCCCCTTCCTGCCCCCCACTCTTTTGGCCTCTCAGCTTTTCAAAGTCATATGGTTTGAGGAGTCTCAAGTACCTCCTCCCCTCAGCTTTCAGTTGTTTCTCTTTGTGACCATTTTTCTTTGCAAAGGTGTGCCAATTCTGGTTGAGGGTGCAAACAATTATCCTGATTCTTCACTGAAGTCCATGAGATGTCCCCCCATTGACCTCACTGGTGCTCTGCAGAGGCACAAAGGTCTGCCTGCATGGAGTTTATTGCTGAATTTAAGTCAGTGTCATGTTTGAACAAACGTACTTATCTTGAGGGAGTGAATAGTTTCCATTCTCTGTATAATGGCTATTGTCCCATGTTTTTATTAACATTCCCCCTATCTAGCACTGGAGGTATTTCCCAATTTCTTCTCTCAAGAAGTAGTATTTCACAAGCCCTTTTATCTTAGTCTGCCTAGAGGGTGACTGGATCCTGGTGTGTGTGTCCTCTCTATTTAAAAAAAACCCTTAATGTTTATGGGAGTTGTTCTGATGGAGTGGTAACTTCATTTTCCGTTTAGCATATTTTCAGTTTTTATGGGTAATTGGTGTTTTTTGTATGTTTTTTTTTTCACTTATTAAGATGAAATATACCCTTTAATTTTATTTCTTTCTATACATGTTCCTTCAAGCTTAAACTGCTCTTATGGATTTTATTAATTAAAACAGTGTTTCCCAACCTGGTAGGCAGGCTAGACTAGTCCAGAAAGGTGAGGTAAGATGCAAAACAAAAGAGAAGAGAGTGGGTGCAGGGAAAGCTGCTAACCTCTTCCACTCACATTGCAAATGTGATCCCAGAGCTACGGATAAAGTCCTCCTTGAAAATCACCCATTTTGCCTCCCAGCTTCTGTGGTGGCTTCTAATGTATCAAACTGCGGATCAACTTAATGGTACAAACTATCTGGCTCAGGCAGCAGCTCTTAAATTTCTCTCTGTCTCCTCCACTGCAGCAACACTTAAATCTAAAGTTACTGAGGTGATGTGCAACATGCCACCAATGCCCACTCTGAGGAGCCTGCACTAGTAGGTTTCTGGTGAATGGGAGAATGTAGGGGGGAAGCAAAAAAATAAGGAAAAAGAAAGAAACTAGGGAAAAAAGAGAGATAGGAAAAACAATTTTAAAAAATGAGAATAGGTAAAGAAATAAGGAGAGTCAGTGACAACTGTACCAGGGCATAGTGCGATGGGATGGTGAGGGCTCCTATTTGCTAACCCATCAGAAGAGGGGGCTTCCAATAAAAGAAAAGTTGGGAGCCACTGGACTAAAATAGACTGACTTTATCTTTAAGCTACTACAATTAAGGCCAAATTCAGGATCTGGTATATGTGGAAGCAACTCTGGTATGTTCAAAATTAGGGCTGTCAAGCAACTAAAAAAATTAACTGTGATTAATCGTGTAATTGCACCGTTAAAGAATAATAGAATACTATTTTGATGTTTTCTACATTTTCAAATATTTTTTTCAATTACCACACAGAACACAAAGTGTACAGTGCTCACTTTATATTTTATTATTTTTAATTACAAATATTTGCAAAGTACAAAACAAAAGAAATAGTATTTTTCAATTCACTTAATACAAATAATGTAGTTCAATCTCTTTATCATGAAAATTGAAGTTACAAATGTAGAATTATGTACAAAAATAACTGCACTCAAAAAACAAAACAATGTAAAACTTTAGAGTCTACAAGTCTACTCAGTCCTACTTCTTGTTCAGCCAATCGCTCAGAAAAACAAGTTTGTTTACATTTGCAGGAGATAATGCTGCCTGCTTCTTGTTTACAATGTCACCTGAAAGTGACAACAGGTGTTTGCATGGCACTGTTGTAGCTGGTGTCACAAGATATTTACATGCCAGATGTGCTAAAGATTCATATGTCCCTTCGTGCTTCAACCACCATTCCAGAGGACATGTGTCCATGCCGATGGTGGGTTCTGCTCAATAACAATCCAAAGTAGAGTGGACCGACGCATATTCATTTTCATCATCTCAGTCAGATTCCACCAGCTGAAGGTTGATTTTCTTTTTTTGGTGGTTCAGTTCTGTAGTTTTTGCATCAGAGTGTTGCTCTTTTAAGACTTCTGAAAGCATGCTCCACATCTCATCCCTCTCAGATTTTGGAAGGCACTTCAGATTATTAAACCTTGGGTCGCGTATTATAGCTATCTTTAGAAATCTCACATTGGTACTGTGACGTTCCCCTGGTGTTATCCAGATCAGTGATCTGCTACGTCACTCCAGTCCTTGACTCTGGGAGCCAGCCTTACCGTGCTCTGCTGTGAGAACCCCCACTCCTGGGCTGTTCACGCACAGCCTCTGGCCTGTAAGCTACTCCTTGGATTGTGCAACCGAATGACACTAGCCAATATCTCCGGTCCCAGATACAACCCTAGAAACCTCCATCTTGCAGTGTCCAGTTATGCCCACTGGACGCTGCAAGCTTATATGAGTTTGTCAATTTAACAAAGAAATTGATATGTACCAAGCTTGTTATCCCAAGGGGAGTCTCTGACACACTTCAAACCAAACGCACTGCTTCAGGTAGAATAAACAAACATATTTATTAACTATAAAGATAGATTTTAAGTGATTATAAGTCAAAGCATAACAAGTTGTATTTGGTCAAATGAAATAAAAACAAAATGCATTCTAAGCTGATCTTAACACTTTTAGTGCCCTTACAAACTTAGATGTTTCTCACCACAGGCTGGCTGGTTGCCCTTCAGCCAGACTCTCCCCTTTGAACAGCGCTTCAGTCGCTTGGTGGTGATATCTGTAGATAGAGGTGGAGGAGAGAGGAAGAGTATGGCAAATGTCTCTTCCTTTTATCATGTCCTTTCTTCCCTCTTGACTTGCCCCCCCACCCGCCCCTTCAGATTCAGGTGAGCATTACCTCATCGCAGTCCCAAACTGACCAAAGGAAGTGGGTGACTCAGTCGAGAGTCCGACAGATCCTTTGTTGTTGCCTAGACCAGTGTCCTTTGTTCCTGTGAGTCTGGGCTGGATTTGTCCCATACGTGCCCTGATGAGGTGTGAACTGCTCCTCTGTTCTTGGAGAGTTTTTGCCTGGGCTTGCTTTAAGCCATGTGGACACATTTTCAGCCTCATAACTATATACGTGAAATTACAACCTATAACGTTACTATAACAAAGATTACTACTATAACATTACTGTAACAACAGTGCACAGTGCATCATGAGCCTTCTGAAGACACCCAACATGACAAACTTTGCATTAGATACCACACAATCACATTATAAGGATGAACTTGGGGGTGCTGGGTGTTCCTGCAAGGTACAGAACATCACAGGTACCTTCTTTGCATTTTATCAAATCTGAAGTGAAAGTGTTTTTAAAACGAACAACAAGTGCTGGGTCATGACTATAACATGAAATATATGGCAGAATGTGGGTAAAACAGAGCAGGGGACATACAATTCTCCCCCAAGTAGTTCGGTCATAAATTTAATTAACGCTTTTTTTTTTTTTTTAACACATGTCATCTGCATGGAAGTATGTCCTCTGTAATGGTGGCTGAACAAGAAGTAGCACTGTGTGGACTTGTAGGTTCTAAAGTTTTACATTTTGTTTTTTGAGTGCAGTTCTGTAACAAAAAAATTCTACATTTATGAGTTGCATTTTCACGATAGAGGTTGCACTGCAGTGCTTGTATGAGTGAATTGAAAAATACTATTTCTTTGTTTATCATTTTACAGTGCAAATATTTGTAATAAAAATAATATAAAGTGAGCACTGTACATTTTGTATTCTGTGTTGTAACTGAAATCAATATATTTTGAAAATGTAAAAAAAGTCCAAAAATATTTAATAAATATCAATTGGTATTCTATTGTTTAAAAGTGCAATTAATCACAATTAATTTTTTTAATTGTGATTAATTTTTTGAGTAAATTGCATGAGTTAACTGAGATTAATCGACAACCCTGTTCAAAATTTCTTCCATAGATGAGGCACCATTTACTCTCTGTAAATTCTCTAGAAATCACTTCTATTAGTGTGTCTTTTGTTTTTTGTCATTTGATTTCCTGCCAATACTATCCATCATTTCCATGGTTCCATTTTGTCCTCAGGTTACCTACAACAACCCAGAATGGTTTTATCGGCATGTTGCCATGCATGCATACTCTACTGAGAGAGAAAACATTCCAAGTCACAAGAAAGCTGTTTGTTGTTGTCACTGGAAAGGTAGCTCACATTCTATCTTTAATTTACAAAATATGGAATATTGCCCTAGTAGTTTCACTGCCACTGTTAAATTTACTGAGTGTTTCATGAAGCACAGGAATATGTTAGATATCTTCATACAGCCCTTTTCCAGCAATCTTAAATAATTAAAGTACTTTACCTACATTGTATGCTCCCTGTTTAATTTAAATGGATTACACTAGCAATACCAAATCACTTTATTAAAAGCCTAGTATGCCAGAGTCCAGTCCTTCAAGGTTCTGAGCACCCTCAATTCCCATTTGACCTCAATGGGCGTTGAAAACTTTCAGCACCCACAGGCTTGGGGTCCTACATTGAAGGCATGTTTTTGAGCTTAGAGTAACAATTTTGCAGCCCTAAAACTTTTTCGCACTTTGTAAGAATGCAAAAACAGTAATTTAATGGGCATTCTGCACATAACTTCAATGGGAATTTTGCCTAAGCCAGTGATCCCCGAACTGTGGGGCATGTCCCCCTAGGAGGGGCATGGAGGAACGTTCAAGGGGATGCGTGGTGGGGCCCAGGCCAGCCTCCACAGGAGGTGTGGAGGGAGCGCCATCCAGCCCCGCTCTGCCCCCAGCCTAGCTCCACTGCCAGCCATAGCTCCATTCTGCCCCAACTCCAGCTCTGCCCTCATTCCCTCTCCACCCCACCTCCAGGTCAGCTCTGCCTCTAGCTCCTCCCCCATCCTCAGTTCTGTCCCCAGCTCCGCCGTCAGCTCAAGCTCCTCTGCTGAGGAAACCTTGGCTGAGGAGTAATGTGGGGGTTGGGGAGTGTAGACAGGAAAAGTTTGGGCAACACTGGCCTAAGCCAAGGCCCACTGAAGTCACTGGGAATCCTTCCATTGATTTTTAGTAGGCTTTTGAACAGGCCCTGTGTAGCATTTGAGGAACTGAACTCTTTGTAGTGTTTGCAGTAGTAATGTTCTGACTTTTCCTAAAAACATTTTAGTTGTGCTCCTCTAAAAATGTACTGGTGGACTATATATAATACAATCTTTCCTGTTTGTACTCAAGAGAAAATAAAGTGCTCATGTGCAGCTGTTCTGTAATCTTATGTAGTGTGTGTTTTTAGATTGTTCAGGAACTTTTAAAGGAAAGCACAAGCTATGGGATCACTTAAGAACCCACACTCAAGAAAGAGTGGTGGCCTGTCCCTCTTGTGGAGCGATGTTCTCCAATAATACCAAGTTTTTTGATCATGCCAAGCGACAGGTTTCAGAGGATCGTAAGTGGATTTGCTCTATTTCCGTGTTTACGTTTATTTAGGGATTTACTTTTGGGCTGCTTTATAACAGTACATATATAACACCTATTATTATTTTTCAGAAGTGTCAATTAAATGCAAAATTGACTTTAGAAGGAAATTATCTTCCTGAAGCATGGAAGTACTTTAGGCTTTGCAATGATTGCTTGACATAAATGATGAATTGGGGTAATGGGGGAGAGAGAGAGAGCACTCACAGATGCATATTTAAATATAGTGGGCTCTCCACCTGATAGTTGTGGCATTACATTGTAAGAATAGAGATTGCCTCTGACTTCATGCCCATAGCTTCTCAGGGCAACTGCATTCCACTGGAACAATGAAACTGATGACCAATAGAAGAGGCTGTTGAATGCCAGAGTCAGAACTCTTAAAGGAGCTGGACTTAAATTACGGAATTCATTTGTGAAAGTGATCTGAATAATCATGGCACTAAGCACTCTCAGAACTAAATGCAACACGCTCTTGAGCTTAGATTTTACTCAATATGTTCTTCACTGCGTCACATTCTCCTACCCCCCCTTTCAACAAACCATAAACTAATCACGATATTTTTTCTACAGGCCAGGAAGGAAGAGAGATTTTTGTTTTTTTAATTACTTGGAAAGTGCTCAGGTACTATGGATGCTATAGTGATGGGGTCTATATAAGTACTCAAAACAAAGTTCAAAAACTTGGCAGGTTTCAAACTGTTAATATTTTTTAACAGATTAATTTTATTCCTAACAAGACAACAATGTATTGCTAATTAAAATTCTGCAATTACCCTAAACCAGATTTTTTCTGAAAACCATCAGGAATACAAAATACTGAAATTGTCCCACTGCTGCCAGTTTAGTTATCAAATTGACAACCCTAATCTATGTGTTTTAAAAATAGATCAATAAATTTCTATTGCATCACTGATCAGTTCCCATTAAATTTCAGAACAAGTATTTGTTTGTCAGAATTGTGACAAACACTTTGCCAATGAGAGATTACTACGAGACCATATGAGAGTACATGGTGAGTCAGAGCTTTTTAAAATAAATTTTCCACTAAACTGTAGCACAACCATAGATAGATGATAGTATTATTAAGATATCTTTTCATATGTCAGCTGAGAGAAGCAGTATACAGACTCAAGGCAATTATGATACAATTGTAGAGAAACAGAAGTCTTACTATCCGATTAAGTGAGCTGTAGCTCATGAAAGCTTATGCTCAAATAAATTGGTTAGTCTCTAAGGTGCCACAAGTACTCCTTTTCTTTTTGCGAATACAGACTAACATGGCTGTTACTCTGAAACCTATCAGATAGATAATTCATATGAGATGGGTTTTCTCCTCTTCGCATGCTTTGATAAATACAGGGGGGTAGCTCCCTTTGCTGAACACCTAGCCAGCCAGTTAGCTGTAAAATCCCTCTTGGTGGTAGTTCTCTACTTGCTTTACCTGTAAAGGGTTAAAAAGTCCCCCAGGTAAAGAAAAAAAAAAGTGGACACCTGACCAAAAAAGCCAATGGGAAGGCTAGAACTTTTTTAAATTGGGGAAAAAAACTTTCCCTTTGTCTGTTGTTCTCTCTGGGCTGCAGGGACATGGAGCAGCAATGCTATAAGCAGGAATGCTGTGTAAGGTTTGAACCAGGTATGAAAAACTATCTTCCATACCTAGAAGGAATCATTTGGATAGGGAACGTTTAGATAAACGTGATCAGGTTTATTTCAGCTTGTGGATCTCCTCTGTGCTAATCCCCGATGCTTTTGTTTGCTTGTAACCTTTAAACTGAACCCCCCAAGAAAGCTATTTTGGGTGCTTAATTTTTTGAATTGCTCTTTTAAAATCTAGTAAAAGCCTAAGTTCCAAATGTATTTTCTTTTTGTTTTTAATAAAATTGATCTTTTTTAAAAACGGAATTTGGATTGTTGTGTCCTAAGAGGTTTGTACCTATGCTGTTTGATTAGCTGGTGGCAACAGCTAATTTCCTTTGTTTTCTTTTCAGCTCTTCCCTGGAGGGGGTGTGTGAAGGGGTTTGAGGGTACCCCACAGGGAGAAATTCCCAAGTGCTCCTTCCTGGGTTAAAGGGTTTTTTTTTTGCATTTGGGTGGTGGCAGCGTTTACCAAGCCAAGATAAGAGAAAAGCTGTAACCTTGGGAGTTTAGTACAAGCCTGGAGTGGCAAGTATTAATTTTTAGAATCCTTACTGGCCCACACCTTCCGTACTCGAAGTGGCAGAGTGGGGATTCAGCCTTAACACGTGCCCATTTGTTTAGGACTTTCTCCTCTTCATGTCCTCACTTGACTACAAAGTTTGAGTATTACAGTCCTCTCTTAGGGTTTGTCTTCATGGGGAGGTTATTCTGGAGTAAGATAGGGTATAAATTTAAAGTGCTAAACCTATTCTGGAATAAGAGTGACTTTCTGTAATTTAGTTTAATTAACTTTCCAAGTGGATTAAGCTCAATAAGAAAAGGGCACTCTTATTCCGGGATAAGAGTGTCCACATATGGAGCTATCTAGCAGTAGCTAATGAGGAATACCTTATTCATCAGTTGTTATTCTGGTCAATTTCCCCATCCAGACAAGCGGTTAGCATGAGCACATTATACCAACCGTACATATTTTATATTGGCTGCCCATAAAGCGTCAGATTATAAAATAACACATTTCTTTAAACTCCCACCAAAATGTAGATCCTGCCTACATTCAAAATTTCCTGTTGCATGCACTCTCAGAACATCCACCTTTTACGAATTCCCACCATTGTGCCATAAGCAAGTAGGCAATTATGCCTTTGTTTTACTAGGCCCTAGAGAGTGAAACAAACTCCCCCTTCCCCTCTGAAATTTGTTTCTCTCTCCATCTACCTTTTGAAAATATCTCAAAACACCTTTTCACATACACGTTTATTGGAATGCCTACTGTTTGGGCCATATTTATTACCCCTCCGTTCTCTTTCTTTTCCCCTCTTTTTTCTTACGCATTGTATACCCAAATTAGCTTTAGTTGTTAATTTTAGTGTGAATGGATTTTTCTAAATGTTTTTATCATATTGCACCGCAGACTGAGTGTCTTGGCAAAGGAGTGACATAGAAATAAAAGTATTGTTATTTCTCCAGTTACCCATGTTACATGTCCATTTTGTGACATGGTATGTACAAGTGTCTCCTCTCTGAAAGCACACATCAGATTCCGACACTGTGATGAACGCCCTTTCCACTGTGATCTCTGTGAAAGTAGGTAAGAAGATTTGGAACTCTTAGCTAATCAACAGAAGTGTGGAAATAATTCAATGTTCAATGAATGTAGGAGGTAACAAAGATAAGAAACTTTCAACCCTTAAAATAGCCACCATTTGCTCAAAAAAATAAATAAATAGGTAGTCTGATGTATTAGTCTGCTGGAACACATAAAGGCATTTCTTGAACTTATGGTGGAAGTAGGATTCATACTTGGTTTCTTAGTGCCTAAAGATGTCTTCCAGGTAAGAGTTTGCATACTGTAAGAAAAGGTCATCAGTGATCAATTTAGACCATATTTAGAACCATTTATCTCCTCAATTGGGCAGCTGCAAGCGTTACTGGATATTTCTGTGAGAGTCAGATGCTCCTCTTCTGAATTGTCCTCCTGCTGCTGGATCATCTTACCCATTTCCTCTCAGCTACCTCTATTTTTCTGCTCCCCACCTGATTCTCTAACTTCCTGGTGGCTCTCACAACCTTCTTTACTTTTTCCAGTTCAATCAAAGGGAACACTGACGGTGGCATCACTGATGGAGCAAAGGGAGCAGGGCGTAATGGTATAGGATACTTACATAAGTAGGCAGGGGTTGAATTAAATAGGGCCTTGAAAGGGAGAATAAGAAGTTTAAACCTGATGCAGGGATGGATTCCAGGAGAGATCAGATAAACGGATAACACTTTCATGTGCACGTTTTAGATAGACTGGAGGGAGTAATATGAATATTGGAGAGACTAGAGCGGAGGAAGTTTCTCTTATTATGACAACAGTTGATCAGCGCATGGACAAGAGTTTTAGAGGACAGAGAGGCATGGATGGATCCTTGAAAAGTTATTGTTGAAAAAGTGGCAATATTTGGACATAGCCTGGATGCCTAGGAAGAAAGTAGAATCAGATTACCCCCAAACCATAATAATGAGACTGTTGGAAGTATATTCCCCTTTCACAGATTGTGAAATGGACGTAGAGAGGATAAGTGATTTGTACAAGGTCCCCTTCACTTATCATTGTCAGAGCCAGGAATAGAACCTAAGAATCTGTGACTCCCTCTCCTGTGCTTCAACCGCTAGATCACGGTTTCTCAACTTGTGGGTTGGAACCCAACACTGGGTACCTAGAATGTTTCCAAGGGTCACATGGCAGCTCCTGTTGTATGAGGCTGGCTGGGATCGCCTCCCTGCTCCAGGCACTGCAACCTTTGGGGTCCCAGCACCACTCAGGTTTGGCCTAGTTGTTATGACAGGAGTCTGGGTAGGCCAAATTTGAGTGAGTGGCACTGCAACCCCCTGAGCCAGATCACAACTCCACTCAGACTAATTTGGTCCAGTCAGGGGGGCAGGGCCAAACCTGAGTAGCACTGCAATCCCTGAGGTTGCAAAGCCTGGAGCTGAGAGCCAAGCCCAGTGAGCCCCACAGCACAGGAGCTGCCACTGTGGGGTGAGTGCCGGGGCAGGACCCAACCTCCTCTCCCCCAGGTGAGTAGGGGCAGGATCCAAACAAAACCGTCCCAGGGCATCCACCCCAGACTATTTACTGGGTTGCAACAGGCCATAAACATTTTTAAAGGGGTCCTGAGCCCAAAAAAGTTGAGATCCACTGTACTAGTCCACACCCTCTCTGCTATTTTTGCTGTTATTTGAACAGTAAAAGTAATTTGTTTCACCTGTATGCTCCTCAGTTTTAAGAATGCTTATGATCTTCATAAACATGTTGAAACACACAATGATTCAAATGCCTACAGCTGCGATGTAGAAGGATGTGTTTTTACTTCACGGACTTCACAGATCTTGAGACAGCATTACAAGAGAGCACATATGGTGGGTATTTAAAAAAGTAGACTGAAGTATCTTTTAAGAGACAGTAGGGGCTGATTTTCAAAATGCATGTGTTTGTCCAAATACCCGACCTGTGCTTGCATCTAGGCTATTTGGGTGCATAAATTAACTGTACACAGTTGCATGTTCCCAATCTTGAAAACTGGGCCAATATCATGTTTTTCTTTCCTGTAAATCAACAAGCCAATCCTAGCCTGAGAAAATATTTGGAGGAATATACTTCTGTGTCAATTTACTGCACTCTGTCCCTAGAACTAGTACAGCACACTAAAACAGAACTAGAACTGGTACATATTTATTACGTGGTTTTGAACTTGTCTGAGTTATAATCAGGGTCTGGCAAATGGGGCCCACGCCCACGGTGCTATAGCCAGGGAGTCACCACAAGGGGCTCGGGCTTCCCCTGGCTGACTGTGGCTGGACTTTTCTCTTCTCCTGCCCCTCCCCTGCGCTGCGCCGGAAGGCTTCTCCCTGCCCCTGTCCCCTTGGCCCCTCCCACACTCAGCCAGCTGGCTGAGGACTCCGGCTCTGCCCCAGCCCCAGGGAGCCCAGAGCTGTACAGCCCACCACTTGCTGCCCGGAGTGGAGCCGAGTCTCTCCCTGCCTGTGGCCCTGCACCACTTGGTCTCTGGTGAGGGCTGGCTGGGCAAGGGCCAAGAGGAGCGAAACTTCCACATGAGTGAGGGGAGGGCGGTGGGGAGGATCTGGGCTGAGCTGGAGGGGAGGGGGGACTTAAAGTGACTGTACTCACTGGTTTCAGAGTGGTAGCTGTGTTAGACTATCGGCAAAAAACAGGAGTACTTGTGGCACCTTAGAGACTAACAAATTTATTTGAGCATAAGCTTTCGTGGGCTAAAGCCCACTTCATTGGATGCTCACTCTCTCAAACTTCCCTAACGTGCACACACACAGAGACTGGCTCTCACATACATTCTGTCTCTCTCACACATACAGTCTCACACTCCCCAACACACACTCTGTCTCTCACACTATCCCCCAACACACAGTCACAGGGCCATCCTTAGGCATATGCAGAATACGTAGCTGCGCAGGGTACCACATAATTTAGGGCGCCAAATTTTGTGGTGGCCTAGGTAGCCGCATGCTGCGTATGCGGCGCTGGCTCCAGTGGCCAGCACCATCCCCCGGCCAGCCCCCCTGCTCCTCCCCTGCCCTGCCCCCATTTGACCCCTTCCCCCAAGCCTCCACCCCACCCCTTCGCCTAAGCCCCCACATCGAGCGATGCAGCCTGCAGGATTAGTGGGGGTACTGGAGCCGGCAGAAGGGGTCGGGCCCACTCCCGCACGCACCAGCGGCAGCGTCGGCGGGAAGCAGAGTGACCCGGCCCCAGCCTGCTCCGCTCTGCCAGCTCCCAGCTGCGTTGCTCTGTTTCCTGCTGCCGCTGCTGGTGAGTGCAGGGTGGGCCTGACCCCTTCCTCCGAGCCCCCTCACCCAAGCAACAGGGCTGGGAGCTGGGAGAGCGGAGTGGGCTGGGGCTGGCCTGCTCTGCTTCCTGCTGCCACCACGGGGGCGGGCACAAGTCCTGCTGCCGGTGCCAGGCCCCCCACAAATCCCCCACGCTGCCCCGCTGCTGCCCCCCACAGCTCCTGCCCTCACGGCCCTGCAGCCCTTGAGCGTAATGGGCCCCCCCGCCATGTGGAGGAGGCTGGCCCCCCAGCAGGGCGGCTGCTTCCCCCGCAAGGGGGGTGCAGGTGCTCGGGCTGCATAGGGCACCACCATAGGTAGGCACGACCCTGCACAGTCTCACACACACTCTCTCTCTCTCTCACACAGACTAGCTCTCACACCCACATATACTCTGCCTCTCACAGTCCCCCAACACAGATTGTCTCACACACACAGAGTCTCACACTCCCCAACACACACTTGAACACGATCCCCCAATACACAGTCACACACACACACACACTGGCGCACTCTCTGTCTCTGTCACACACTGGCTCTCTCTCTCTCACACACACACACACACTTGTATTATTATTGTTATTACTGCGTGGTACTTCTGTCAAAATGTTCGTGGTGAGCCAGGAGTGGCTAGCGGCTGCAGGAGGGCCGTGGGCTGTGGCAAGATGCAGCCCCTATGTGATAGCGCGAAGCCCGGCTTGAGCCGCAGGCCAAGCGCCAGACACCACAGGCCACTGCAGCAGAACAGAAGTAAGTGTGGCAATACACCATATACCATGCCACCTGCGCTTCTGCTGACAGTGGCCTAGAAATTTGCTAGTTGTAGCAGTTACTTGTGACGTTATCGGATTAAAACATGATTTATTTGAGCATAAGCTTTCGTGGGTAAAAACCCCACTTCTTCAGATGCATGGAGTGAAAATTATATATGCCATCATGTGCCAGCAATGCCCCTCTGTCATGTACATTGGTCAAACTAGATAGTCTCTACGTAAAAGAATAAATGGACACAAATAAGACGTCAAGAATTATAACATTCAAGAACCAGTTGGAGAACACTTCGATCTCTTTGGTCACTCAATTACAGACCTAAAATTTGCAATTCTTCAACAAAAAAACTTCAAAAACAGACTCCAAGGAGAGACTGCTGAATTGGAATTAATTTGCAAACTGGACACAATTAACTTAGGCTTGAATAAGAGACTGGGAGTGGATGGGTCATTACACAAAGTAAAACTATGTTTATTCCCCCCCTCTACCCCCACTGTTCCTCAGACATTCTTGTCAACTGCTGGAAATGGCCCACCTTGATTCTCACTACAGAAGGTCCCTCCCCCCCTTCCTGCTGGTAATAGCTCACCTTAAGTGATCACTCTCTTGTTACAGTGTGTATGGTAACGCCCATTGTTTCATGTTCTCTATGTATATAAATCTCCCCACTGTATTTTCCACTGAATGCATCCGATGAAGTGAGCTGTAGCCCACGAAAGCTCATGCTCAAATAAATTTGTTAGTCTCTAAGGTGCCACAAGTCCTCCTTTTCTTTTAGTCAAAGTAAGTGGCTCATCAAGGGACACTTAACTCACAATGGACCATGGGAGACGCCCATCTACATTGAATGGACTTTCCTGTGGACATTCCATATGAAGTATAGGTAATGGCCGGGGGGGGGGGGGCGAGGGAGCCCATAGGAGCCAGGGGTGATATGGGGAGAGTAGGTGCCAAAATACAAAATCCCCCAGGGCACCATTTTCACTAAGGCTGATCCTGGTTTATAATGGCTGATGTCTTGCAATCCAGTGCTGTCCAGCTGATGTTTGTTTAAGCTGCAGTTGCTTAAGGGGAAGCCACAGATCCTGCTACCAGTAAAGACTGAGGTATCTGCAGTATAGTTTTAGATCAGAGAACTGCAATATTCAGTGGAGGTTATCTATCAAAAATGTGTACTTAGAAAATAATGTAAAATGTATTACAGGAGTATAACATATAGTTAATATTAAATTTTTCTTACTTTAATTTTACTCTTTGTATTTATCATCAACCTCAGTTACTGATTTCCACACCATCTTTTCCTCAGAATAATGGCAATCTAAAATATAAATGTCACATCTGTCAGAAATGTTTTTCCTGGTGTTATACATTGACTCTGCATCTTCGCAAGGCACACAAACTCAGCTGTCATTCTCGCTTCAGGTATGTTATCAGTTCTTACCCAAAGCAAAAAATGAAATCTTTTTTTCTTGGCGGGGGGGGGTGTATTACCATCTAATTCTCAGTTTTAGAGAATGAGGAGATCTTCTAATAAAACATATTATGAATAGCTATCTCTTCCATGTATGTTCACATTCACAAAGTAGTTAATGCCATTGTGTTTGTTTCTTTGCATAAATTTCATTTCCTTTAACTACCATTTTATAAGTTGCAATTAATGACCTGGGTTTTAAATGCTAGCCGTTTTGGTTTAGTATGCATTTTTGTAGCTTTTTATTTGTATGCATGTATATAAAGCTACATTAATTTTTATTTTCATTACTTCAATTTTATTCTCTTAGATACAAAGAAGATGATGATGGGTACTTGAGGCTGAATGTAGCAGTTTATAATGCTGTCGTGGGTTTAGATCAGGGTCTGGAAAACAAGATGGCACCAAAGAAGTCTTCAGTAGTTCAAAACAGTACTGGAAAAGAGAGCTATGCCTCTTGTGAAAGAAGCCATTCATTAGTGGAACTACATTCCACAAGATGTCAGAGATGGTCACAAACTACTGCAGAAAAGGTTATGGTAGAATCAGAGACCTCCATTAAGGAACCAGTGTATTTTGAACTTCAAACTACACCACAGTCATTTGAAAGCTCTGCTGCTCCCTCTGAACTTGATGAAGCAATGACATTGAATACAAAGGAAAAAATAATAGAAATTGCAATGGGCTTGGGAATTCAGATTGCTGTTTAAGAAAAATGCATTTTCTTGGATTTTACCTTGGTCCCTATTTAGTACTCCTGGAAGAGTTAATTATTTTAACTAAATATGACATTTACAAAGAGTCTGCATTGTTTTCACTTGTCACATTTTGTATGTAACATTGTGTATGTATTTGTTAAATATGCTAAATAAACTAAATTTATTTTATCTGAATATATGATAGTATACCAGAAAGGTTTTGCTGTATGTTCAATATGCGATACTAACTCATCAAACAAGAAGGTATTGGATTTCATTAATCTGTGTGCTCTTGTAGCCTGTATATACAAAGGAAATAAAGCTATCCCTCAGAGGCAAAATTGTGAGCCAGTACCTAGACCAGAGGTGGGCAAACTACGGCCCATGGGCCACATCCAGCCTGTGGGACCCTCCTGCCCAGCCCCTGAGCTCCTAACCTGGGAGGCTAGTCCCCAGCCCCTCCCCTGCTGTTCCCCCTCCCCGGCAGCCTCAGCTCACTGAGCCGCCGGCACAATGCTCTGGGCGGCGGGGCAGCGAGCTCCTGGGGCAGCGCAGCTGCAGAGCCCGGCCTGACCCGGTGCTCTGTGCTGCGCAGTGGCGTGGCTGGCTCCAGCTGGGCAGCGCGGCTGTAGCACCGGCAGCCACCGGTGCTCCAGGCAGCGCGGTAAGGAGGAAGGGAAGTTCGGGGTGGTGGTCAGGGGGTGGGGGTGTGGAGAGGGGTCGAGGTGGTCAGAGGGCAGAGAATAGGGGGGGTTGAATGGGGGTAGGAGTCCGGGGGGGGGGGCAGTCAGGAAGGAGAGTGGGGGTTGGATGGGGTTCCGGGGATGGTCAGGGAGAAGGGGTGCTTGGATGGGGCAGGGGTCCTGGGGGAGCAGTCAGGAATGAGAAGAGGGGGTTGGATGGGGTGGTGGGGGGCAGTCGGGTGGGGGTTCCAGGGTCGGTCAGGGGACAGGGACTGGGGTGTATGTGGATGGGGCAGGGGTCCCGGGAGGGGGGCCATCAGGGAACGGGGTTGGATGGGGCAGGAGTCTGGGAGGGTGGTATCAGGGGGCAAGAAGCGGGGGGGGGGGGGGGCAATAGGGGGCAGGGGCCAGGCCATGCCTGGCTGTTTGGGGAAGCACAGCCTCCCCTAACCGGCCCTCCATACAATTTCTGAAACCCAATGCGGCCGTCAGGAAAGTTTGCCCGCCCCTGACCTAGACAAAGGGTTTGATTTGGTAGATTGTGCATTGCTATTTTTTGATTAGAAGAACATTTATTTTTCATAATGCATCTGGTCTACAATATTTCTAACAAGTGTCTTTGCCTTTAGTTAGTGATGTTAAGTATATATTAAATATATGCAAGAGTAATTTTAAAAGTATCTTTCAAGTAGTTTACTTTGGCTTTAAGCTATGATGTGTTTTGTAAATGGATATAATTTTAAAACCTTTTTCATTGTTTAAAGGTGATTACAATTCAAGAATTGTTTGCATTCATAGAATAGTGAAAAAGATGTTCAGAGAACCGATCTTGGTTTCAGCTAGCCCTAATTATAATTGAGAGATTACAAAGTATTTCAGAACAATCGTTTGGGCACTAGAAGTGCTGACTGTAGTTTTCGGAAATAATTCTCTGCAGCCATGGTTATTAGAACCTGTTAAATAAAAAATATTGGTTGTGGCTCCAGTATTATTTAGTTTTTTAATTCACTTATAAAAGTGCCAATAATGAGACCGCTACTGCCATGCAATAAAAAACAATACAAACACTTTTTAAACCTAAAAAAGAATAAGCTCTCCAACTAAAATGTACAGGGATATACAGTTTCAGAAAAACTGGGACAGGGTCATACCCATTACAACCTAGAACAAACCTAGTATCCATCAAATCACCCAACCTGCAGAGCGATCAGTTCCTGACCAATAAGAAGAGTGGAGAAACAAGAATAGCAGATATAAAAGCAAGGGGAGGGAGCCCCGACAGCCAAAAATAGGCCAGCTGAAATAAATGAAAACTTGATGTATTTAAAGGCCGCTAAGGAGGGGTTCTGGCAGACTTTTTTTGGGAGGGAATTCCACAATAAAGAACCCTCCTTGAGAAAAAGTTGTCCCCATTCTAGTCCTACCAAGGAATTAGCTACCAAGTTCAGACCTGCCCCTTATCACCTAATTGTTTCAGAAATTGTTGTAGGATCTTTTACTTCTAACTAGATGCCTACCAGAGAAGAAACCTTTGAGGTATTTAACTAAACAAAAGCCAAAAAAGTTTTTCATTTTTTTGGTCAAAATAATGCACTTTTTGACCAGGTTCCAATCTATACATCTGAACCTCCACCATTGCAGCACAGACTTCTACCACTTGAGCTACAGTGCCTATGCATTATGGTTGGAGTCCAGCTTGGCTTGCTCTCTCCTGTCCTAAAAATTGGGGAACTACCTGCCCCATGTAGTGCCCCCAGAGGAGGTTTGATTTGATAGGGCCATATGCTGGATCAAAAGGGGATTTTTGTGGGAATCCCAGCTTGTCTCTCTCACACCCCACCCTCCAGGAGTTGGGGGAGCTTGTGATGCATAATGTGCCCCCTGAAGTGGGGTGAGTAGGAAATGGGATGCTGGGGTGAGATTGGAGGGATTGCTGGGGGGAAGCCCAGCCTGGCTCTCCCCCCTGCAGTTGCTCCGGCAGCCCCCAAATGTTCCCAGCATAGTGTTGGCTGCTGCAGCTGCTTTGGTGGCAGCAGGGACCAGGGTGTCTAGAATAGTGGTTGATTTTGGCAGGCTGCCAGTAGTTGTCTGTGGAATGCCAGTAAGAAAAAGAAAATTGGGATTGTAACACTTCACAACTAACCTAAATCTGAATGGAATTTTACTGGCAAAAAAAAGGTACTCCTGTCGCCTGAGGGATTTCTCCCAGCTGACTATCAAAGGCCTGCTGCAAACAACAGAGCTATTAATGCTTCTGAAAGAAAAGAATCTTTTAAAATGGAAAGTGTTGGGCAACCTAAATCAACAGGTCATTACCAGTTCCCCTGCAAGAGCCACTAGAAAAATCTTAGGCCTCAATCCTGCCACTAATTCCCGCAGCAGACCCCCATACCTGCACTGAGCTACACTGACATCACTGGGGACTCCATGCAGGTGCAGGCGTCCACTTGCATAAAGTCAGTTGCAGGATCAAAGACTTAACATCAGATCAAAAGTTCCTGTAGTGAATATCAATACATGAGAGGAGGATTTAGTCCCTACCCCACCCCCCGTTCAATGGTTGCATTATACTAAAATTCCAGTCTAATCTGTGGAGTTGCTGCCCTCCCTGTGGAGCAAGGGGGTCACAGCCCTCCCCATGGAGATGGGGGGCTCTGCCCTGTATGTGGTTGGGAGCCACTTTCAGCCTGGCTTTTTCCTGAGCTCCAGCAGTGCTCTTGGTGGGAGTGGTGTCCCAAACCCCACTCCTACCTCTGGGCTATTGGCTCAGTGGATTGCCTTGACCCAGTGTGGTGATGCCAGCAGCAACAACAATGGGATCAGGGCCCAGCTGGGACAGGCAAGTCACTCCCCACATTATCATGATGGAAAGGCAGCCAGACCAAACCTGAGACGGGTCCTGTGTAAGTGCGCTGGTAGTGCACACTGGATAATCTGGGCCTGATTTCCGTGGGTGCAACTGAAACCATGCTACAGCTGGCTCTGCATGAGACAAATAATAGGAAGAATGCGTGTAGTGGAGTAGTCTACAAATTCACTGTATATTATAAGCCTGCAGGAATTGCTAATAGTTAATGTGATCCTATTAAATGTACTGTTGTAAGGTAAAACAATTCTGTTAAGAGTAGCAACAATGCAATGACAAGTTTTTTCAAAGGGAAATCATCCCTTTGAAAATCATACTTTTATTTCCTCCCTTAGTTACTTTATTAATCACACCATACTCCCCGCATCCTGCAAACAGTTATACATGTGTTTAGCTTTACTGTTATTCACGGTAGTGAAATTAATCATGTGCATGTTTGCGGGACTGGGGCTTCAGAAAGCTGACAGTGAAATTTTTTTTCAAATCAGATTTGTAATTCTCTCGCTTTATAATGTGTTCATATACTAATTCCTGTGCAGATCAAGAGGCTTTGTTTACACTGCTTATTCTTACTGCTCATGTTCACCAGTCCTCAGATCCAGTTGATAGGAAAGATGGATTTCAGGTTTTATTGTTTTTGTTTTCAGCTGTGTGTGTGCTTGTTTGCACTATGCAAAACAAAATACAATATAAAATGTGTATCTGGTATTTTTTTAAAAAGCTCTTTGGTGGAAAAAAAAGCTTTTATTTCAATTTCACTACGATGTTGTGATTCCAAACCGAAAAACCCCCTTTGTGTTAGTCATTCAGTCCGAAAACCCTGACAAGTAAAGTCACCAGGAATGCTCTGGTGTTTGTAATTAGTTTCTGTTTAGCCTTTACTTTCAAGTTGTTTTCTCCTCAGGTTGCGCAGCTGTGTTAGGTATAATTGGAGGATATAAAAGGCTGCCATTTCCTGCGGGGGGCCTGTAGAGGGTGCAGGTGTACTGAATGCTCATGATTATAACCCAAATCTTGCCATTAGTTTGGTGTTATGCATTGTTCTGTACAGTGCGCATATCTATCTATCTATCTGAACAAGATAATTTAATAAATGTTTGAAGCAGCTATTTCTTAGTGAGAAAAAGCTTTGTAAGAAATGTAAAATCATGTGTTGTGCTGTGTGAGATCCCAGCTGAAAAACTGCTACTTTACTCCCACATATCAGTATGAGATGGCCATGATTCACTTAGGGCCCGATCCTGTTCTCCTGGAGCCAGATCATCAGTTAGTGTAAACTGGCATAGCACGATTGAAGTCTATGCATCTATGGAAATTTATACTAGCTGAGGATCTGGCCTTTTAGCTTTAACGGACGTCAGTGCCACAGGACTGTGCCCTTGGCTTTGAGGAGATAAAGGGAAAGACAGCTGCAGTACTGACTGACAAACAGTGCAAACCAAACTCATTAGATGCCCTCCTGCTCACCTTGCAGCAGGAGGAAATGCACCATGAGACTGGTTACCCCTGCCAGAAAGCAGCAAGACTGAGTTAGTGGAGATGGTAGAAGAGCAGCAATCTGTGTTCAAGGGCTTGAGGAGCCCCACAGGTTTTCTTAATACGAGAGAAGCAACTTTCCTTTTCAGTTATTTATTTTAATAATATTCATTTGTTTTATCTTATTCATATTTTGCACTTGTATAGGTCCCCCCTTCCTCCGAGGATCATGGTTATTGTAGGCGCAGCCGGTAGTGACGCACTCAGTTAAGGTTTCCTTACACTTTCCATTGTAAGGGTCCTGGTTTGAGTTGTTTATATGTTTGCCAAATGTTAATAGTTCTGACTGAAATTTCGTATGCTGGATATCTACCTTTGCCTGATTTTTTGGGAAAATATCAGCAAAAATAGTCCAGCTCTTTCTAAGAATGCAGTTAGGGAAAATACAATGCTTTCTTCATAGTTGTATTATTACAACTGTTTAACTGAAAAGCCTGGATTTGAAAATTGGCAGAGGGGTCTGCCTGGTGTCAGGGATGTGCGTTTTGCCATCCCCATGGAAATCTGCCCATTTGGCCAAATGATAAGCCTCTAAAAAAAATCACAATTCACACATGCTCAGTAGAGGCTTGTTAGAGTTTTGTAGCTAAATTCTC